ACGTTTTATATATAGGTTCAAATAAAGCTGGAAACCACAAACGTTTAAAATGGATGTTTCAGATTTAGAGTAAAGGTGCACCTATTTTTCATCAACTATAGAACTATCCTATAAGTCTTATTGGTTGCACAACCTACTTATTTAAAATATCAAGAGAAAATAGAAAATCTGGATAGAGTTGAATCGTAGTCTAAGGAACAATAATTGTGCCTTTAACAATGCTTTGGCTTTTTTACCTTAATTGTATATAATATAAAACTTTACCAGTAATCATTTATCTAGATAAATAAATATACGAATAGAAATTTTATAAATAAAAACAACAAAAATATTGCACTCGTTATCAATCTAAAAATTCTTATTGCATTTTAAATTCTTGGACTTCACAACCTTAACAACACCTACTTCAGTTTGACTAATGTAAATGACATTTTGTACTTGAATTTACGAGAAGCCTAGACTAAACCTCTAAAGCCTCTAGGTATATTTACACACAAAATAAAAATAAAAAATCTGTAGAATACGACCCAACTCTGAGGGATGTATCTTGTAAATAAATAAGCAATTTACACAAATTTTCAGTACAAATATATTCTAGAATTACTAAAAAATAAAAGTTAAAAAAAAACTCACATATTTTAGGTTAAGTATGGGTACTTACATGGTAAATTTTTTAAAGCTTGAATGGGAAAAATAGTTCATATTAGCATTTATTATTTATATCAGCAAACTAGATAGTTTAAAAAATCTTTTTGCCTTCGCAAGTAAATTTTTTAATAATAGATTATAATCAGATTACGATTTAACTGAAAATATATCAGAAAAATGATTTTTTCGTTAATCACTTTTCCAAAAAGGAGTTGTTAATGAACTAACGATTTTGCTTAAATGCTCACATTTTAAATTAGCTATCTGCATTATTACAAAATAATATAATATTATATTAGATTAAACACTCCAAAAATTATGGTTTTATTCAATAAACATAAAGAGGATTTCTACATGCAACAAATAAAAAAAATATATGTATATAATATTTCCCATTCTTGCAAGTAAGTAACCATATTAATACATATGTGGCAATAAAGCATTTGTTAAGTATATTAATTTATATTGACTACTAGTCCAATATCATGCAAATTTCTTTGATTATGATAGTAAGCTCATGTATTGCCTAAAGCACAGGGAGTGTGGTACTATAGCTGACGTCTAACCAATGTTTTAAGATTTATTGTCTTTCCTACCCTCCTTGTAGAATCTTATCAGGCTTGAGCAGCGAAATTGTCAGCTAAGACCTCCTACTCATTAAACTAGCCATTCACTAACTAACCCGTTATATATTGCTAATAAATATTAAATACCAACACAGTAGGAAGTTTTATTTTTCCCTTCCTTCACAGTTTAAAACAATATAATTTCATTACATATATTTTTCTCATATATTTAATATATATATATAAAAATGAAACATCTAAATATAAAACTACATTTTCCTTTTCTAATAAATAAAGTACATGAATATGTAAAGATTTGATACGTATAGAAAGACGAGATAATAAATCTGTATTAAAGGTATATTATATATTAGTACATATGTATATAATTATATAATGATAGTAACATAGATACTCTTTTTGGTGTTATATATTATGCAATTCGAAGAGTGTTTGGTAAAAATATATTTTATGACAAGGACTAAACTTATAATTCATAAGAAAAACTATATAATTCATCAAAGGAAACTAATATATAATAACTAATAAATATTTTCAAATTAAAGAAAAAACCTAGTACAACCAGATAATACAATAAAGAGCTCACAACAATTATAATAAATATAACTAAGCTACCTATAACATAGAAAATATTAATTTAAAAAGGGGATAAAAGCCTATCATCAGTTCATTTTGCATAAAAATTAATACAGAAAAAGATCAGTGCTGGCAGGAAAGTTATATGTAGTGAGCATTTCACATGAATTAATAATAACCACCCAGTATATTTCTGAATCAGTAATTTTCTGGTCCAAATGGCACGACTAAAAGCTAATACCTATATCCGACATTGTATTATCACCCAAAAAACTATTAAATATATAATTATATATTATAATAGTAATATTTTTGTTTTAATTATTTAAACTTCTACCACAGCCCGTTTAATTAGTAGTTTTAAAAAATGCAGGTCATTTTGTTTATGCCCAAGGGATTGTGCGAATGTGAAAATAGGAAGCGTTAAGTAATTTAAAATACTAATTTCAAAATGGAAAACAAAACAATGTAATCAGATTTAATTTAATATTCAAAAAGACAATCAATTGTTATATTTGTGCAGTAATGTTAATTTAGTTAGCTGTATTAGAATGCAAACCTGGGCTTCTCAAACACACAAACCACTGAAGTGCAATAAAAAATACTTAAAGTACATAAACAATAACATCTAAAACACCGAAAACAGTAAGACAACATTCACCCTACAGACAGTAAGCTAATACTAAAAGTTAAAGAAGAAAAACAAACATACAATAAATGGAGATAAGAAATGCTCTCTCTTTTTTTTTTTTTTCACTTTCCTAATTCATCTATTCTTTCTAAATATCCAGATACTTTCCCAGGCACAAACAACAAATTTGGCATGTTCATAACCACTATTTACAACCGATTCAATTATCCTTGATACCATTTTATAAATAAATACTGTTCTTCCCTACATTTTCTTACCGCCTGGTAACTAACTAATTTTCTCAGTTAATAAATACCCCTAAACCACGCTAAGAAATAAATATTTAGTACCTCTATATAATGGGTATATGAGCTGCAATAACAAGATCCGATAACAAATAATAAAGATTCTTAATTTGGCATTTTGCTACTCCAGATAGCAATCTTTTCAGAGATAATTTAGCTAAACAGTTAATATAATTAAGTTATAATAAATGGAAATAAGCTTCCTACAGTCGTATGACCTAACACGGAAATGGAAGCATTAATTTGATATTTTCTATTAATAAATTATCAACACTAGTAAAAACACTGCAGAAAATATAGCTATAAATATATTATTAATATTTCATCATAAATTCACATTTAACATTTTGAGTGATAAAAAGAGAACTAAGCAAATAGAACAATTAACTAGTAAACCCAACTATAGTAGCCACTGGGTGAGTGATAATAATATACCACATTCGAATATAGTTAATCAATATAGCAATGTTTACCTGACTATACACTGCCTAAACCTTCCTCCTGCATCAGGTAACGCCCATCCTAATTAATTATTACAATAATATCACATCAAATTACAAATTAAGATTGTCACTATAAACATCTAACTGTGTGCCTATACAAAGTTACATATCAGCATCTAATCAGAATCAGACATCTGGCCTTTTTATTCCTAAATCGTCAAAAGGCCTGCTCAAAGTCGACCCGCACTAAGAAGAATTGGATAAACTACTTTGTTATTCAATTTAATTATTGTTCTGGTTTATCATAAACTGATTTCTGTATAAATGATACTTAAGCCTAAAACAGCCCGAGAAAATTTGATATTCTTACTTCATTTTATACTTTTGAGCAACTTTGTGGTCAGTTTACATAGAACAACTTTGTATACATAAATATAAATAAGTTAATAAAACAAAATCTTCTAACCGTATTCAATTTCTCATCAATCAAAACCTTTCTTTATTTCAAAATACATTTCTCTTTTGTACTATTATTAAACAAAATGAAAATTAACTACGAAACTAACGAACGATTCTAGAATTTTATAACAATTACTAACACAAAAACTATAAATCTATTCTATATGTTATTAATGAAGCAAGTAGTTCAAAAAAATTATGGTGTCCAAGAGAGCACTTCATGATATTTTTAAAGAATTTTTTTTACAATAAAATAGTCTTAGGTGCTCAAAGTTGGGCTTTGATTAATACCCCATAGAAAATGCTAACAAAGCTGTTGTAATAACTGCTTGTTTTTTCCTATAATAAAATTTCCTAAATATAATTATCTTATAAACTTTTATAGTGTTACACTGGACCCAGGCTATGTGATAAAACTGACGTTACATGTATATCTATTATATAATATATAGATACAACATTTAATAATCCAAGTACCCATACAGTAAAGGCAAGCACGTTACACAGCAAAGTAAGGTGTTATCATTTGGGGGACTATTATTGCCTAAAATATAACTATTAAGCACAGTACGCATGAGCTAATTACAGAATGATTTAGGGAGGAACACATTGAGCATACAATTAGGGCGGATACAAATAAATATATATATATATATATCAAAGATGTGATTCTACACTTTTAGAATACAAATTTCTTTAGGTAAGAGAGGGCTCATTGTTAGGCCAATAACTTCGTTGTGGCCTCTTGCTACAATTCTTTCACTAAGTAATCCCCCAAGATAAGGGCACATATGAATATTTTGAAAATAGGACCCATAAAGTTTAAAAACTAGTCAGTCAAATTCATCCAAGTCATAGCACTAATCGAGTTATAAAAGCTTAAATTCGAATTTGAAATATTTTTAAGAAAAAAATAGGCAATTCCTTAAAGGTATCAAAAGAAGAAATTATAAAAAAAATTAAAATTAAAAAAAGAGAAAAAAAAATCTCTCAACAATATGATCAAATGTCATGCCAGAGAGCCATTACGAAGAAAATATTCCATAAGTATTCTTGTACGCAATATTCATATTAATGGATATCAAATAAATATTTTCAAACAAAAACAATACAATAAATAATATAATATGATATAGAGAACTTAAGTGCACTTAATAAATGTTAGAAAAATAGCTTAAAAGAAACTTCTATAATGAATCGATTTCTTTTAAATATAAGTTCATTAGGGAATAATCAAATGATTATAAATAATTTTGAAAAAATAACAATTAGCATTTAGTCAATAAAATATTAAGTTTTTAACAAAATAAATATATTAGTTATTACTCTGCTGGTGTAATACTCTGCAAGACTAGTAAGTTGTTGATTCATGAAGTGTGGACATAAGAGCACAATACATATGTGTTCTTGCACAACGTGTAGCAACCATCAGTGCCTTTATTGCGTTTGTCAGCCTGCTCATATCTACACAACAATAAATTATAATTAATTACAATAAATATATAAAAAACAACAACAAAAATACACTAATAAGGCCTGCTAAGCCCTGATAGGTAACTAGTGTGTCACGTCCAATAATAATTTTTGGCAGTAGTAGTTCTTATCACTGTAACTTATCTTTTAAATACTAAATTTAGAGTATCTACAGAAGTCTGTTAGTTGGATTACCTGACTTTTCACCCTAGTGAATAAAATTCTCTGACTTACATCCAGGAAAATGAAAACAGGAGATTGAATAATAACAAATACAATTCAAAGTTGAGCATGTTCCAAATATTTGAACATCAATGTCAAAAACTAATGCCACTAAAACTAAATTATGACTATTATCCTCCTATGTTAATAATCATCGATGTCTGGAACTATTTCAATATGTTTTCTTTGTGATAATTTTTGAGAAGACTATCAATTTTAAGATAGCAACATTGCATTGGGCTTGCAAAATGACACCTGTTCTGTTGACCACTTTTCAATTAAGATTGATTTACACAATCCAATTGTTCACAGTAAAGGTCTGCATTCACAGTTTGTCCAGGTTTCAACACTACTATAGAGCAACACCACAAATACTTCATTAAACATACAAAAGGGCCTTTTTTTTGTGTGTAAACCTGGCTTAGCAGTACTTTGTGGAAACTCATTTGCAGATGGCTCTTTTGCATTTTAGATTATCATAGAAGGCCCATTTTTCATCTCCGGTGATCAAGCGATAAAAAAAAAGCTTTTGTATTGTTTTTTGTCTAATTCACAACATTGAGCAAAACCGAATGAGTTGTTTGTACGTCATGTCTAAGAAAATACATTTGCATATAAGTAATCAAAAGTAGTGAATGAAATTGATAAGGAACCATCCCGCAGATTTCTGTACATACTTCAAAATCGAACTAACAGTAGTTGATGTTATGTCTACATCATGATTTTATGTCACATAAAATTCACTGCAGAATGATAGGAACCAAAAGGTCTGTCTGGTAAGGTACGTAAAAGTATGTAGAGAGGTAAGTGGCAGCGGACTTACACATATTTACATCCTCATAAGAAACTTAGTTCACTCAAGTTTCAGATATCTAGTGTTCAACTAAGCCACATAATTAGCCCAAGTATCTTGAAACGCTGATATTTTTTTCACATTTTTTTTTTTTAAGATGGTTTTGCATAAAATTCTGGATCAGAAAAATTTCCCCAAATTAACTTGCATTTTTTCTCTAATTATTTTCACTAACATTTCAAACCGAATGGAAGGTAATAATAATAATTAATAAACACACACATGCATATATACATATATAATTATTTTTTTTAATTGTTTCAATTTAATATTACCTTGGACAGTATTGAGTATTTCATCCATTCTAGATTTCTGGACTTGTTTGATGGAATCTAACCAAGAGGCTATTGAATCATGAATCGATGGAGAAAGAGATCTACCCCCTCTAAGTGCCTCCATTTTATGAGCTAAGGTTAGAATCCTTGCATGTTCTCTTAGCTGATCAACAATCAACCTGTCCACTCTAGTAGGTGACACAGGAAGTCGAGGCACTGGGATTGAGTTTGTAGAAGACACCTTCTTGCCTGGATTGTACCTAAAACAATATAGTAAAAAAAAATTATGGCTATTTTAAAGAATTGTAATTTTATTTCATAACAATAATCCGCTATAGAAATAATTCTGAAATATAATTAGTAGTAGAATACTACCACAGATTATTATAATGAAAAACTCAAGGTCAAAAGAAAGGTTTTAACACATTTGCAAAAATAAATACTTGAAACATTAAAAAAAAAAAATTCAAAATATCCACACATAAATAATATTTCAATAAGGCTTAAGTCATAATAAACACTTCAATATTGAGGCAGTGGTAAGTTGGTGGATCGAAACAGGACAAATTGGCAGTTAATGTGGACATCAAGTATGGGTGTCTATTCTACTGAGTTATCCTTGTTTAGAATCTTGTATAAACAGAATGGGACTCTTTTCCACCTCTCAGCAGCGAAGGACTTTGAGAAAGGATGTGTGAAAAGAAACCAAATTTCATGGAAGATAACAAATCACGATTCAAGAGATATACATAATTAACCTACATTAAAACTGTCGGTACTCAGGGGACACAGAATCTGATACTCTACAATTTTCATTCAATGAGTTTTTTCTCTTAGCAAACTCATTTCCAAGTTGCAGGGGCATTTATAGTAATTTGTCTCAGTTTTTGACAAATTTGGTAAAAATCAGCATTCGTTAACGGTGGTTATCAACCATACCCCTTAACCAAATTATTAAGTTTAAGTACTGATTCAACGCACAATTTAATTTCAATTTAATGTTCTTTAATTTCTTAAAGAGCACATTTTTAGCTTGGATGCACTGTTTAAGAATTATAGCTGAAAAAAAAAAAAAAAAATCTTTCTTTTTTTGCTGTAAAGTATGTTTTCATTGGTGGTCTGTGTTAGCAATTTTGTTTTTTACATGTTTAAAGCTATATATTGAGTTGGCAAATAAGTCCTTTCGGTTTATTTTTATGCCACTATGATACACTTCTTATTCGATGAATTAACCCCTAAGGTGAATTGTTTATCCTGTTTGTTTGTAACTATAAAAACTACTTGGATCAGTTTTTTAACAATAAACTCTATTCTATGAAGACGGCATTATGCAGTTAGTGGAAAGATGGGAAAAAGTCATATTAAATAATGGTCAATATAGTGTAGATTAAAATAAATTTTCTCTACTGGTAATGGTACTGGTGGGGAAACTTGAGCAAGTGGGCCTATTGGTCCTTTTTGCCAACCCCAAACCCAAAGACAATACTACTCTATTATACCTCCAACTCTGTCTCAAACCTTTTTGTTCTTCTAATGAAGTTCAAAAGGTTGGAACGTTTTATGGAGGTAGCTTCGCATACTTGTACTCTGTCTGCACCCAGCAGTCTGTATCAGAGTGACGCAAATCGGTCACATTCTGTAATGAAGTGAAGGGTAGTTTCTGGGCGTTTCTGCACAGATTGCAGAATTCATCATTTACAATCTCACGGATCTTTAAATGTCTTTTAAGTCTGCAGTGGCCTGTTAGTACTCCGATGATGAGTCGGATTTATTTGTTAGGTGGGCTCAGCAGCCACTTAATTTAAATTTATGTCTATAATACATTGTGTTTTATTTCACCCTGAAAAAACTGAAAGGACTTATTTGCCAACCCAATATAAAAGATAAAAAACAAAAAATGTTCTCAATAAATAACCCATGTCCACCTTAAGTTACTCGCCCAATATTCTTTAAATAAGCCATCATTTTTTCAGATACCATGTTTCAAAATTTTCATCAGATAATGTCAATTTTTTTGCATCGACTCTCGGACTGTTTTCAGACCTAAGAATTGAAAAAATACACTTCTTGGCTATTGATAAAGAAACAACTCATATTGTTACACAAAAACATTAAATTTAATCCCATGGAAAATTTAATTTTATGTCAAATGAAAACAAACAGAGCTTGGTAGATCAAACAAATGAATTATGGAGAATCGTTGGGGTTGACAAAATTTATAAAATGAATGGTGGATGGCAGATTCCAAAACAACTTGTTATCTTTAGCAAAATTGATCTAAAGCTGTTTAGAAAAAAAATATGACAAATTTTCTAAAACCAATAGATGTGGAACCAAATTGGCTCAAAAGGGCTAAACATGAATTGTGAAAGAAAAATTTTGATTTTTCTAGGACAACGAATTTTCAGCTTATATAAATGATTAGGGTTACATATAACTTTTACAATCGTCCATAGCTTGGAAACAACATGAGGAAGGAAATAAAAAAGGAGATTAAGTTAAAATTTATATTTGTTAAATTTAATCATTGTAAAAAAAAAAATAAATAAAAAAGCTTATGAATCTGAGAGAAACTATAATATCACAGTACAGAGTAGATACAATGATTTTAATTATCAAATGCTTTTGATACTTTAAACCTAAAATTATTTTTGTAGTAAAAATTTAAAAAATATAAAAGTATATAAAAACAAATACCTGGCAAGATCAGCTTCAGTTTTCTTCCTTTCACTCTCTAGTTCCTTAAACTGGATGTAACATTGCTCAAGCACAGAATGCAATTCAGCAGAACCACTGCTACGTCTAACAGAAAGACAAGAAACATAGCTATATTAAAGATCAATTGAAAGATTCCATCTTCTGCAATGAAAAAGGACTAACCCTTCAGTGTTAAGCATGAAATAAATCGTGATAGGTTGAGTAATCTCATAAAAATCTCTTTAGACCCAAAAAATGTTTATGATACAACTTTGTAAACTTTTAGAAATGATATGACTGCAATCTATGGTTTATAATTCAGATTTCTAGAAATTTTCTTTTATGTTAAGCAATTAAGGTTTTGAAAATTTAATTTTGTATTTGTCTTTTGAGGAAGAAAGTTCTGTTCAGAACTTATTTTTTACTTAAAAAACAAATTGATTTATAAAACCACAATCATTGACTTTTACATCTAATACTATATGTAAGCAATAAACACACATACCTGAAGGATCGGAAGAGTGCTGGAGGAAAAGCATCATAAGAATGAATGATGTGATCTGAAGGTCTTAAGTGTAGTAGAAGAGGGTCCAGACCTAATCGTGGTGGAGGGAAACCTCCATCTGTCTTGTTATTGTTCGCAACAAATGGATTGTTATTGTTATACATCAGTTGGCCCCTGACACCATTAAAATTCTGAAAATTGATATAGTATTAGTACAATGGCAAATTTTAAAATATTTCTAGAATGAGAAAAATAAATAAAATTACTTGTGTGTTCTTGAAGTGTGAAGTACGTTGTGCGAGAGGACGCGGAAATCCAGGAAGAGGTGAAAATTGATTTGGACTGGTAGGGAACATTTCAATAGGATGGGCTGACTTGATGCCAAAATCACCATTCGGAAAACAGTTGCTCATCTATAAAAACAATGATTATGAAAGATAATTTAAAAAATACATACTTAATACCACAAATAAAATACTAAATCTAAACTAGCAGCAAAGTATTCATTAGAATAATTCGAAAGAGTGCTACTAACTTTACTGACTGATATTCAAACAAATAAAATAGTTCAATTGATTCAAGTTTGTGCAATTGATTCAAGTCAAAAAAAAAGTTTGTGCATATGTCATTACTTTTTTCCACTTTCTTTTTGGTAAAGTATGATATATATTAAAGAGCTTTAAGACAAAAACTTTGGATAAGATTCATAAACATCGTAGCTGTTTTGGCTCTAAAGTATACAGAAAATTAAGTTTCTTTAGCCCCATAAAACAAAATGGGTCCATCTGTTCAACATGGTACAATATCATTACCCCAATAGCAGTAAGATAGTATTTTGTTTTATTTTTTCCGAAAGTCTTTCTTAAAACAATTTTAATATATTTTAAATGTTTGCCTTATTTTTAAAATTGGTAGGGTAGGGTATATACAATTAATAATCAAGCACAATATGGAAACAAAATTGCAGAAATGCTGAGTTCAAGGACCTTTATCCTTGTTTACCAAATCTGAAAACAATAGGCAGTAGTCTTGAAAAAAAAGCGACAAGACTGCATACAGCATAAGGACAAATTTATTAGATTTTTTAATTATACATATCTTGTTGAGTAAAACCTCAAGAGAGGATTAATTTCTTTTTCCTTTTTTTTTTTTTTGCTTTGTCAATTACAAGGTTCATTATTGACAATAATACACCAAAAAAGCAAAAACTAATTTTACACAAAGCGCCTTCAGTTTAAGTTTTTTATGAAGTGTTTAAAGAAGACAATAATTTTTGTAAAGAATATTTTTAGTTATTTCCTCCTGTTCTATAAGTATATAATACTGGTTTTCTAAGCAAGCTGATTTAGATAATAAACCAGATTGTTTTATGGTACCAGTGTTTATAGTCAAAGTATTTGTTTAGTTTAACATAGGTGGCCAGTTACACTGAATTTTTAGGGACAGTCCTGATTTTTAAGGCTATCCTGAATTTTCCAGAGATTTATAGGGAACAATGTAATTTTAAACAATACAATAATGTATTTAAAATTTATATAAATTTTATAATCACATTAAAATGATTAATGATTATAAAATTTATCTAAATCATTTATCTGGCTAACAAGAGGAGCAATCAAATGATGAAGTTTTTTGAGGAGGTGAGTTTAAAAGTTTCAGAGCACTACTCATTTGAGAGGGCTTTTGAAAGAAACGCATGGGTGGGGTTTGGTGGCATCCATCACCTTTCAGAAAGTAGCTCTCAAATCAGGAGGAGGTGGGTTAAGGCAGGGATCATCATTGAATCATGCAATTGAACAAACTATTATAGTTTGTTATTAGAAACTTTAACCACTATTCTATAAAAGGTTTCAGTACTTATAAAAATTAATTACTTCAATAACCATTTGACTTTTCAATCTATTGATATAGTTTCATAGGTTCGGACAATGTTTAAAAAATGAAGAGGAGTTGTTAATGTTCTGTGATATCTGAAAACTAAGTAAACTAATTAAATATGATAACATTGTTTATAATAATTAAAAACATTTGAAATACTAACTGTCAATGGAGATTCTGGCTGAGCAGAATGCAGAAGGCCCTCCAGGCTCAAATTGAATTTATCTTTGTTCAACATTTGTACATAATTGTACATTTGTTGTTCATTTGGAAGCTCAGTCTCACCAGTAAAAACACCTGCATGAATAAGTAATTAATAAAAAATAAGGAAGTCCATATCAATTTAAAAGAGTTTAGTTCTTCATATTTGTTTGAAATATAATATTGCATTCATGATAGAAGCCTCAATACCAATTAGTAGTTAACATTATGAGGAAATTTAAAATGTAATTGAACCTAAATTTATTAATTTAACAAATTAGATAGAATGTGAAAAATAATTATAAAATCAATAACAGAAGATTACTCAGAAACAACTGACTTGAAGATTTTAATAATGATCTGCTTTGGTAAAACTGAATCAATGGCAAAACCTAGTATGATTGCTCAAGAGATTGGTTAAGAGATAAAAGGTCAAACATTATTTTTTTACTAACTTATGGTTCTTTTATGCCCTAAAAATTATCTTATTTTTTAACTAACTAAATAATCACCAGTGAAAAAAAAACAAGAAATAGTTGAACCCATAAAATTTAGAATGATTTAAGATATAATATCTGTGCTTGTTCTGGAAAAAAAAATTTCAGGCAGTTTCTTTTTTCATTCATGAATGATATTTACTCAGGCTGGGAAAACACAATGTAAGACTTTAAACATAAAATCATAATTAAATATTAAACTGAATTAAAGCCCAGCCAGAATGTGTTGAATGGTAACTATATTTCTCCAGAAACCAGTACTTGACTACAAAGCTAAATAATAATAATAATAAATAAACAAAATACAATACCTGAATTGAGGTCAGTCTGGAAGTATGAGGAACTGTTGAGAAAATATGGGGATTCTTTTAATGAAAAACTCTAAAAAGAAAATAATAAAGTTTTAGGTATACATCCTTAAGAATAATTGGAAAAATATAAAGAACAAATAAAAAAAAAAAAAAAAATTTATCTGAAAATAAAACTACCTGTGTACTCGTAGGGGGCTGGACGGGGGTGCTGCATTGTGTGTCAATGTTTAATAAGCCCATTTTATAATCTACATCCTAAAATAAAAACAAAATTGCATTACATAGCTCATTTAGTTTTAATAAAAAAATAAAATAAAAATAAGTATGTCAAATCTTTTTAATTATCAAAATACCTGAGGGGACAAACTTGGAAAAGGACTATGAGCTCTAGTGTTATTTTTGCTAGACCACAGCTCATCTCCTGAGTTGTATATCACATTATCAAATCTAAAACCAGTATACAACAATTTTAGTCATTGATTAGCTTATCATGAAATCATATCATTCAGAAAAAACAATACGCACCCATCTTTTTTCTTGGATATTTCATTACAATCATCATCCAAAAGTTTGGTTACAATATCATCAACTATTGAATTTCCAGCTAAGGAATTATCATCAACATTTCTTCCATTCTGAAAATAATTATTTTACAGGTAATATAATTAGAGAGAATTTGATAAATCGAATTTCTCCTATTAAAAGTCAATTACCTGCAAAAAGTCTGAAGGAGTGAGTTCATAGGACCAAGGAGAATACCCTTCCATACTATTTGATTTTGGAATTCCATTGTAACTAGACCCCTATACAAACAAATATTAACATATAACAGAAATTAAAAAAAAAATATTTGATTAAAAATCAAGATACAAAAATGGTCAATGTATCTTAACATCTGTTCTCAAAACAACTATTATAAATAACATTTAAATTTGAAAAATACATTTTAAAACATTATTTAAGTTGAATAACATGGAAATAGGACGAAAATGGCCAATAAATCAAATGAAAACTTACATAAAACTAGACTTTCTGGACAATCAAACAAAAGTGAAGGGGAAAAGTTCTACACCATATTTAGGGCAACTAAACAGTAAATAGAACATCAAAATTTCTTTAGTTTAAACTTCAGATAATAAATTAAATGCAGTCATTTTAAATGTATTCGTACTAAATATATTTATTTTGTTTCTAAATATGCCACCTCATTAAACGAACACATCTGAGTTGGCAACAGATGACACTAGGTTAGTAAGCACTATTAAACATAAATCATAAAGCCATATGATTCTGATAAATAATTTTTGGGCAAAATTAAAAACTTTTATAATTCCCCACCTGTTGAAAATCTATTTTATTTGAGCCAAGAACATTCCCTACGCGTATCTCGGACAAAGCCATTACACTTCTTCTGAACACATACTTGACTACACTACCCTGAAATTTCTCGCAGGTGTTGCGGACTATTTGCTAAAATCAGTCTTGCCATCCATCCTTTATGAATGTCATTACTATAGAAACATCCTGTAAATATATGATAGAAATTGTTCCTATCCTTTTAAAAATAATTAAAATTATTATAATAATAAATCTTAACATATTTTATTAAATAAAAAAATATATTAGTTCACAATGACTATAGGTAATAATAAAGAAAAATTACCAATTGTTATTTAACAAATATATTTCCTTATTTACCGTGTATTATTTATTTATAATAAACAATAATAATAATAATAATAATATAATTTTTTCACTATACAATATTCCATTCTTTTCTAATAAAAAAAATCTAAAATTGTTTTGTTGATTATTTTGATAAAACGAAATATATAATTAACAAATATTAAATTTATGGTTAAAACTAAAATAATGATACATACTAGGAAAAATTCGATACCCATACTGCTTCAAATCTTTTGAAATTTCGCTTATGTATGTCACTATTAAATCTTAATGATGGCAAAAATTTAACTTCTTCCTTCGTCGAGTACTTCACACAGGGGTAGTGACCTAATGGAATTATGGGATATTTTAAATATCTTGATCCGTATTAATAAGCATAATTATTATTTTTTGAGTTTACAAAATGGGCCAAAGTTATCAGATTTTTATTAACAAATAATTTATTACTATTCTATTTAAGTTAAATAATTTTTTTTGTTAATTTATGTTAATTCAAATAACAAACAATATTCATGTATTATTCATTACTCACTGCCTTATTCAAGATAGGATAAGAGTGTAGTAAATACCACAGAATCTATTGGAGAATCTTTACATTTTAAAACATTATACTAAGAACATCCCTTTTATATAATCCAGAACTAACAGAATGCAGATATATTTTTAATATGATAATATGTTTTCGATTAATGCAACAAGTAATGGATTTTATAGAACTCCATATTCCAAATAAAAATAGACAACATGGAGACAGGCGGATCTATGGGGGGGGGGCTTTCGGGCTGAAGCCCCCCCCTCCAAAATGATAAAATATACAGAAAAAAATATTAAAAACAACCTCTTAAAGTATTCTTGTTCGTTTAATTACATTTAATAGAACTTCAAGAACCACTTAAACACCATTTCATATAGGTAGTTAATTTCTTTCTTTTTAAAAAAAATTAATTATCCTTATATGTATATGGAAAAAAAATCTTTCGGACTGAAGCCCCCAAAAATAATTTCTGGATCCTCTAGTGGATCTACAGGGGGCTTTCATCTGAAGCCCTCTTCCTCCTCCCCCTAAAAAGACAAAAAAAAAAACCATATTTTACGAAAAAAATATCCCTAGAAGTATTATTGGTTGTGTAATTATTACATTTTAATAGGACTCCAAGAATCACTTGAACACCATTTGATATACATAGATAGCTTCTTCCAAAGTATTTATCGTTATAGATATGTAAAGCTTTCGGGCTGAAGTACCTCTCCCAAAAAAATTAAATAATGAATCCGCTACTGCAAGGAGGATAAATATGGAAAAGAAAAAAAAGGTCATTTAGCACCATTTGAACCATTCATAGGAGGAAATGGAACTGGTATTTTCGAGTTTATACATAAAATATTATAAATTCAACACTATATTATGACTGTTGATAAATAGCAATTACGAACTGAACAACCAGATTTTTAAACCAATATTTTTTAATGATGTATCAGATATCCATTATCGCATGGACAATAGCATTGACACAAACAGGGGTGGCAAAAAAGGGAGTTTCGTGACGCAAGTTGCGCCATATAAATTTTTTAGGGAGGCATATTTTGAAGAGGGCAAATTACGAGGGGGTTATGAATTTTCGAACTAAGGGACGAGGGGAAAACATGGAACAGACAGCAAGTGTAATTGCATATGATCTACTTTTTTAGGTGAGTAATAAAATATCTTGGGAGAAGAGGAGGCGACAGGTTAGTATGCCATCGACTTTGGGGGGAGGGGAGATGGGAACTCCTGCATAAACTCTAAAAAAACAAGGTAATACCTTGAGGCATCACATAATGGGGCAGATGAACTAAATTTGTATAATATTAAACCTCTGTTATGCTATTTACAGACAAGGGTGGACCCAGAAAATGTATTTGGTGGGAGGAGGTACAACAAATCTTATTATGAGGCAATATTAGCAAGGTAAATGAATGCAGAAATTCTACCTTTCACATAACATCCAAACCATGGTCATTGAGATAAAAGTATACAATTTTAACATAACTGTGCCTCCAGGCCCTGGGTTATTCTATCTTTCCATTTAGAGGAATGAGCTTCAAAAGACAACATAACATATGTATATGCTATCTTCTCAACACGTTTGGTAGCATCTAGTTCTCAGTCTTTTTCGGCTTCATTCTCTCCACATTATGAAAACGCTTTAGTAGGCCATCCCAACTTTGTAACAACCAGCAAATTTTCACAATTGTTTTATTTTTTTTGTCAGAGCCATCTAGCCACAGGAGATTATTTTCAGCAATCAATCCTCTAAACGCTTAACTTCCACCATTTTTCTTAAATTTTGAACAAAAAATTGATGATTTGTGAAAAATCACACAGCAATTTAAGGAAGGTTGACAAAAAGGATCCATCCATTGGTGAGATATTGACTCAGTTACAGACTTTTATTACGAAAATGGAAAGACCTGTAGCAGCACTAAAAAGTTTATCTAGTAAAAAAAAAAAAAAAAAAAATTAAAGGTATCGGGCTTCAAATTAATAAACATGAGACAAAATACCTTAAGTCTCAGCATATGTAGAACTAGAATAGATGCATGAGAAGAGACAGAAATCCATTCACTGATGATTGGTGAAAATACATGTAAGAATTTAAAAATTCCTCAAACTTTGGTTCTGATACCGAAAGCAAAAACAAATTAGAATAAAAAATAAGGAGAAGAATGGTGCTTGAATTGAAATGAAGCTGGAAACTGTTCACTTTGGTTTAAAAAAGTTGATTTTTGTTGAAACACTGTAATGAAATTATAGAATATTTAATAGTTGACCGTTGCATGATAAAGGAAGGAGATGGTCTAGGGTGACGGTCATAAATAGGCTAAATAATGACAAAACTATTTTATTAAAAACCAACGTTTCGACCCAGCTTTGCAGGTGTTTTGAGGGAGGTGTGTTTCACTTAGAACTCGAGTGAAATTCTTAAGTCAGTTCAAACAAAGTGTTGGCTTTTAATAAAATAGTTTTGCCACTATTTAGCCTATTTATGACCGCCACCTCGGACCATCTCCTTCCTTTTTAATGAAATTATAATTATAAAGTGCAATTATACAAAACCTTGTTCAGAACCATCATTACTCATGCATCGGAAACATGAACTTTGAAAGCTACAGATGTGCAGGCTCATAAGGCATTTCAACGTCACAATTTAATAAACATTAACTATGGAAGTTCATGTTTTGTCCTCAGGATGTAGTTGAGGAGACCCCTACCATTATAAGATAGAAGTAAAATAGTATATAAAGTGGTATATTTTATATTCTTGAAATATATATATGGTATCATTACGGAGTAGAGATGGTTGACCATGATTATAATATGAGGAGTTGGTCGGGAGGGAGGTGCGGTCAAATTTATTTATTTGAACCCACCCCCTCCTCTCCCAACTCTTTCTCATATAAATATGGTAATTTTAAATACACGGTTATGGCAGTTTTATAAACAATGACAATGTGGTCTCTTTTTAAGTTATAATACTTTTACACCTACTAAATGTAAGTTTTAAGAACAAAATTTAAAATTTATGTTAATTAAAATAACATATACTGTTCATCTATTATTTATTACTCACTGCCTTATTAAAGATAGGGTAAGAGCAGAAGTGCCCATCTCCCCAAGGTCGATGGCGAAATAACCTACCCTCTCCCCCCCTTCCCACTCCCAAGATATTTTATTGATTTTTTTTTAAAATACAGAGCAAGCTTAGGTTGAATTAAAAAAATCGTAGATCATATACAATTACAATTGCTGCGATCTGTTCTATGTTTTATTCTTGTCCTTTAGTATGAAACTTTTTATTTCGAAATTAATAAACTTATCAAAATGTACCTCCTCAAAAATTCAAAAACTCATCAAAATATGCCACCCTCAAAAATTTTGATGGCACAACTTGTGCCATGAAACCCCCTTCTGGGCACCCCTGGGTAAGAGTTTAGTAAATACAACAGAATCTATTGGAAATTCACTGCATTTCGAATACTCAAAGATAAATATTTAAACAATCAATACAGTCTATTTTTAAATTATAATGCATATACACCAATTATATGCAATTTTTAAGAAAACATATAAAAAATTTATTTCTGAAAGAATTATTGTTGCTTTGTACAGGCCTATAATGATCACTTAAACATCACTTCATATAGTTAGTTTCTTTCTTTTTCTTTAAGTGATAACCATTATAAAAAAAATTATATTTATTTATTTTTTTGACTGAACACTCCAACCATCTCTTAGAATAACAGATAAATAATGTTTAATATATCACTAAAAATTAACAGTTTTGCAGTATCCCTTGGTCAAAAGAAGTATATATTTTCATAGCAATATTACAAACCAATAAAATTTCATTTTTATTTATTTTTACTTGACATTTCAACTACTTAGATATTGATAAGTTTCTTAAACATATTTTTCTATAACAATTGTTAATATAATATTTTTGTTCCACTCTTTAAACTGCATTTACTTTATGTGATTTCATTCTCTTTGTATCATTGAGATTTTATATAAATTAGTCATTAAAGGCATTCTCAAAACTCAAAATATTGTTTTCTGTTGATACATATCATCAGTTTATTGCAAAAAGTAACCAGGAACTTGCATTAATATTACATTTACATACATTAAGAAGTATTAAGTATATTTTTATGAATTTTAACCTTATTTATTGATGCAAAGGCACAGTTAATGAATGAGTTGAAATTTATTTCTTTGCAGAACCTTGGAATAAATCTTAACCTTTTTACTCTGACTATATCAGGTTGATTAGCTGACTACATAATAAAAGAAAGGAAAAAAATGAAGAAAAAATGGGACAAAGTTCTTGAAAGTAATTTTCGCATTTCGTTTGTTCTCCTTTTTTTTATACAGAGGTCAAATTATTAATTAGCTTCAATCATACAAATTTTGGTCCTCCTTCCACATAAGAATTAAGCTGCTAGTAGAAGAATTCAAGATTATTTTCCTTTTGTTTTTAGAATTTTAAATATATCATCACTTTCCCTCTCCCCTCTGTATACAATGCTGAAAATAGGGTATGTATAAAATATAAAATAGTGTTTTATAAAAATTACAAAATAAATGAAAAACACATTTCATAGAATATTATGATTATAATTAATTAAATTCATGATTAAAAACAAACTACAGTAATACATCAATTTATTTTTTATCAACATATATTTATATCAACATATATACAAACAATTTACAAATTTTTGGCATCGGTTTCAGTGATTGAATGTTTCATTAATGGGACAGTACTATTTACAATATTGTGATGACTCTTCTTCATTATTTTTTTTTAAATGCACATAAATAACATTTGTAAAAAACAAACATTATTTAAATAAAAGATGTTAATAAACAAAAGGATATACATAATGTTAACAGTTTTCAATGACTGCATTATAAAAAAGAATGTAGACTTCTGGATTGTTACGCACACTGTGAGCAGGTAAAGCTTCAACAGTTTGATCATCGAACATATGCCACCTAGAAATATAAATATAATTAAAACCAAAATAATAAAATATAAGAATAATTTATAAATATAAACCATCATATATCGCATTTAATAAATTATGAACAAGGTTTGTAAATTAGCTTTAAGATATAAGGAAGGCAGTCTATAGTAGACTGTTAATCTAATTACCAGCTGATTAGTCTGCATTCATTACATATAATAATAAAAAATCTTTGCTGTGTACTAAGCAATATTATCGAAGAACATAAGGCATGATAAAAAATAAAAATTATTATATTTTTTCAAAAATACTATCCAAAGATATATTTCTTTGCTATTAAAGAAAGGTTGTGACAACCAGTGACGATATAAATGACAAGTATTTCCTGTTCCTCAAATGTAACAGACACTTTTTTTCAAATGCTCCAATGATTACTGCTAACCCAAAATGTTCTCAAAAAAATTGGAGAAGAGACTATATCATCTCTTACACTTAATTGATAATTACTATCCCAAGTACTAACTATCAATTGACCAAGATATTTTCAGCTCTCTCGTTCCAGTATTAAAACAGACTATTTAAAAGTAATATTTTATATCGACTTCATGACACTCTACCATTACATCCTCTATGGTAGAGTAGAGACATGTAGAAGGCCAAAAATCAGATGAATAGATCAAATTAAAAAAGATCCAATAAAGCAACAAGCAGATAACTACAAAGAATTAATCCAAGACAGGCTGAGATTGGGAGAAGGCTGGTTAAGATCAGAAAAAAAAAAACAACTATCAAATTAATGATGCACTCTGATTAAGGTTAATAATGAGTTGAAAATTGCAATATTCTTGGGATGATCGAGAAGCAACATAGAAACTGAAACTGCAACAGTAAGAAAAACAATGTCCACTGATACTGAAAATCTGGACATAACTGAGAATAAAAATGACTCCATCTTTGCAATCCCAAGTGATATCTTTATTGGGCCATACATGCAGCACTTTGATTTCAATAGTTAAATGGAAAACTATAACAATGACCTCATGAATTCCAATCACATTTATTGCAGAAATATTGGGTGTGAAACAATATTTTGAAATTAAAGTTATTTTACATGGTATCACATTTACTATTATGGATTTAACAGTACGAAAAGTATGATCTAGGATCAAGACCTCGATGTAAACATGAGAACAAATCAGTAAGACAAGGTAATCAACCAAGAAAAGACAAGGAGAGATAGATGGGGGGAGTCCAGGTCAAAGAAACATAATACCACAATGGTTGACTCAACATAACCATAAATAAGCCAGTTGTTGGAAGCACACCAAATAGGAAACTAATAACCAGCTGGATGGACAATATAAACAAACATTTATGTTAAAACAAACATTTGTACATGCAGTATAATTGGAAAGAATAACTCAAGACAAAGGAGACCGGTTCAAGTGGCAAAAGATTTAAAATATTTGTTAGGGAATCTGAAAAATTAAATAAAAAATATCTTACTTGTTCGTAACATGATTTCTACATATCGCCTTGTAGTGCCCTGCACGTAACGTACCAGTATGTGTAGACATGGCATAAAGGTTATATCTTTTGTACCTCTGTTCCGAACCTCTAATAGTGAACTTTTCCATGTCCAAATCTTCAAGGGGGTAAATAACAAGATTTTCTTTTTTTTGAAGCCATGAATCTTCTTCATGAGTAAATCTAAAAACAAGTAAAATCATGTACAAAGATGTTGAGTATCTACATGGTGATTAGTGTATCAATGTGTTATATCAATTGATATGAAAGGTCAGATACTTCCTAGCCATCAAGAACAGTCCATACCATGAACAGCATGCATACTGGGGTTATAAGATTAAAACTCAGATATACTGAATATGCCTGCAGCTCATGGTTAAAACAGTTCTTCTTTCTCTTTGTGGCTTATATTGTGCCCTGAGAAAGGTCTGCAAAGGGTCTGCCCTGTTTGATGTAACATACATCAAACAGTATAGCTCTACTGTGCGTTTTACTTTCACCTAAGTTTTATCAATGGATACTGATAAACATAGTAAGTATTAAGTGCTTAGATAAAAACGATGAAATATTACTGAAACATGATAAAATTACTATTATACCTTTTTAAAGCAATGACTAAGATAGGAGGAAGCCTTGAAATGTCAAATTTTTTAGTAGCATTCCTTTCATCTTTACATTTTGGACATTTCCATCCACTGATCTTTTCTCCTGACATATACAACTGAATACAATCCTGAAAATAAAATTCTTGAAAATAATTTATTTTCAAACAAACTACTTCATACTAAAAAAAAAATATATATATGAAGTTAATACATCTGTACAGACATATAAACACTCAGTAAACATACCAAGGTCCAAATTTTTTATCTAATGGCTCTAGAACCTTAATGGGACCTGGCCTCCTCAACGAGGTTCTGCCAAATTACTCTGTTCTGTGCATCCACTTTCCAATTTTTAACTCCCGACAAGTCAGCAGCCCATCTCAATTTCGGTCTGCTAGCTCTCCTTGCATAGTATAATGGCTACTCAAGTACTCTGATGGGGATTTCAGATTGCTTCATCCAAGCGATGTGTCTTGCCAAACTCAATCTTCTTAATTTTATAATTCTGATCACATTAAGCTCGTTAAACAATTCATAGACCTCTCTATTCTTCCGAATTTTCCAAACCAGTATATCTCTCACAGGACCAAATATTCTTCATAGGATTTTCCTTTCAAAGAAAGGTCTTTCAAAGACCTTCTTCTTTCTTCTTCAGTTCAAAAAGTCTTTTTCATCATTTTTGGTTAAGGTCCATGTTTGGCTACCATAGGTAAGAATTAGCTGGACGAACCTTTTAATAGAGTTGCAACTTCGTATGTATAATAATTAGAGAGCTCTTCATGTGTTTAAGTAGGCCGAAATAGCATCGGTTGGGAGCTGCTATTCTCCGCTTTATTTCAAGTGACCCAGATAAGAGAACTGACACTTTCAATCTATAACTTCAATCCGAGATTCCAGATAAGAGAACAGACACTTTCAAAGGTGTAAGGCCCAAATTTTATTTAATTAAATCGTATTTTACTTATTAAGTAATACAAGTTTTAAAAAGTAAGGCATAAAAATGAAAAGTAATCTGTTAATTTGTTTTAATTGTTCTTTGAGTCTTGATCAAATTGAATTGGGAACTTACTACGGTTCCTGTTGTTAATTGCACTTATCGATTTGATTTTTTCCTTTCTACTTTTTTCCTGCTCTAATTTACCTAATGAGGTTAATATTCTTAAAATGTTAATTTTTAGCGATATTTACATTCAGCAATGTTTTTTTTATTCTTCGATTTTGATTTCATCAAACTTTTTTTTTTTCATTATTAAGTTCAAATATGATTTATTTTCCTTAAACATATATATCAAATCTAGTCCGGTTTTTAACAAATTTTTATTTAGAAAAATTCAAGTCAAATTAGTAGAATTCTCTCAATATAAGTGAAAAGAATAACTTACGAAAGTGGGATTGTGGAAAGCTTGAAAAATTTGCTATTATCACCAAAATAAAAAAACTAACTTTAATGTGTGAAAAAAACAATTAAGAAAACTAAAACTTGAATAGTTTGAGGAAAATTAATAACTGATTATGGTAACAGCATAATTAATTGTTTGAAAGTGGTCAGTAATAATGAATAATATTGGAGACAAAGACAATCTTATCTTATTATCACTTTTATCATTCTGTTGTAATAGTGTGATCAAGGTATTTATAACAGTATCCTTGATAATCTGAATATTCTGTTAAATACTTGGTCATTAAAAAATTATAAGTGATATTTGTACCTTTTTTGAAACCTGTCATTGTCATATTCTTGTACAAACTCTGAATGAAAACTCATTATCAGACATGATGAAAGCTAGATTATATCTTTCTTATTACTGAAAAAATTGACCTTAAAATTTAATTGAGGATTAAAAATATTCCTCTTGGAGATAAGCAGTCAAGTCGACTCTAGTATAGGTTAAGTTTGTGAATATCAAATAATGAAAAAATAACAACACTCAAGTGTATTTTTCAGTAATGTAAACCTTAGAAATCCTTTAATGAATAGGGTTTCTGAAATGGCCAAGAGAAAAATTTTACTCGAGTGCAGTCAACGAATTCAAACTTAAATAAAAAAAATAATAAATAAAAAAAAAGTTTTATTTATAAGACTAAATTACTAAATAAATTTTCGACCTTCATTATTGTATATCGATAACAAAAACTTACACTCAAACTAACAGGTTCTCTGGATGGAATTGGCACAAAAAGATTAAAAAATTGTTCAAAGGTAACACTTTGGTGTTGACATGTGGAACAAGTGACTGTAGATCTATGTTGACCATAGAAAAGTCTTTGGATAATAGAACAATTTTTCCGTCGAAATTCACCCCAAGCTTTTTCTCCCGTATCTTCTCTAGCACCCTCTAATCGACTTTCCGCAGAAGCAGGCTGGAATACAAACATACAAATGAATATAAACATAATAAAAGGGATTGACCAAACAAAAAAAATTTCGTAAGTTTACCTATTGAATAATAGTTAAAACAAGAATAATTTAAAGATACTAAGTTTAAAAAGAAATAATTATATTTATGAAATCAAATTAAAAAATAATAATTACTTACAATATTCAGATCATCATGTAAATATTCAAGTAAAATTATTAGGAACTCATTTGAATCCTGGTGACCAGTACCTTTAAAAATTTCTTTTAAGCTACCAAGCAATGTCTGAAAATTTTGAACAAACTATTAAAAAGAAGTATATTAAAATATTAAAAATCTATTTTAATTTTACAGTGAGTAAAACAAAATTACCTTCAAATCCTTTATAGAATACACGCGGACATCACCTGACCACATGTTTCTGAAGGCAGTTATAACTTCTTGAGCAACACGCCCCTTTGTTTTGCTTTGGGGATTGGTAGCAACAGGTCTATTAATAGATATTAATTCCTTTACAAGAGGATCGGTATTGCTAAGACACTGAAGAATCGAATTCATGTAACAGTTATTCGCAAAGTTTTTCAAACCAGTGAGACCAGCAACCTAAAATATTTAAAAACATCTAGTTTAATCAATAAATTAAGTAATTATCCACTACCTCTATTAAGATAATATGTTAATATTAAATCATATTTGATATAGTTAAGAACTAAAATGTAAAATAACCAATTTGAAGATATTAAGATTTTTGGGAGCACATCACCTCCAAGAGAACCTAGAAGATATGTAAGAAACATTTTCATATACTGATGACAAGAACAGAGTACATTCATCAAACAACACAAAGCAAATAAGGCAATATAATTGAACTGAATACAGTTATTACAACTCCTACTGCTTTAAAAATGTCATAGAATTTTTAGCATTGAAGTTGCGAGCTAAAAAGCTTAGAGAATAGTTTTATACTATAGCCAGATGAACACTGATTAGCTAGTTGTTATAAGTTATAAATAAGTTAAATGGTTGCGGGTCCCAATAGAATTTTCACTCCAAAATAACTCCAATTCTTCATAATTTATATGTAAATGGACAATCCGAATACTGAACAAACTGACATAATATGTTTTTTTTCTCTTATAGTGAATATTGGCTTCAAATCCATTACTTTTAAAAGCTCAAGCACATAGCACTGCATCTTTGATAGCTTTGTATGACTCACTATAATAGATTTTGTTCTATGTAACTGCGGTAATATAATAGATAATAATATAATTAGATTGCAAGCCTAGTACAGTAGAGATTGCAAGCCTAGTACAGTAGAGATTGCAGGTGGCGCCATGTTCTGTGATGACTTTTAGCCTTTATAGCCACCTTGCTCTAAAGTAAACCCTTTCTGCTGGCATGGAGAAATCAGTTAAATTCCCATTCCTCAAGGAAGGAGGAACTAATATCACTCCTACGATTTCTTGGATACTCCCTTTTCACATGTGCCCCTTCGTCTGTTTTTTAGTAGAGCAATCTTCACGCCACTGATTTCATGGGGTCTGTTTATGGTTGTTCTGCTTTCCAACTAATGTATCAATACTAATGAGAATTTTATCTAGATAAATGAATCCATCAGATATTTTTTCCTTATGGAGGTGACTTTTTTCACATGATTTAGGAATAGTACTTGGTCCATTAGTCCATCACTGCTAATTACTTAGACATAGTTTTGATAATTTCTGAACTTAAATGCTATAAAACTTTATAAATATACTCTAAAAAAAACAAAACAACAACCATAATTTGTCAAAATTCACATGTAACATAATAACACTTAATGAACTTAATATTATACAACATTAACACTTTCAATAGATTTTTAATTTACAACAGACTAAAACAAATAGCTATATTTTAAATTTTAAAAACCTAAATAACATGAGATAAGTAAAAGCACAAGCACATAGAATGCCATGTCTGATCTCTTTATAAGACTCACTTTAATAGATTTTGTTCTATGTGTTTGTGATTATGTTATAGATTGTAATATAACTAGATCGCCAGGGCCTGCAGAGTAGAGATTGCAGATCATGTTCTGTGTGCATGACTCTTTAGCCTTTATAGCCATCTTGCTTTATAGTCATCTCTCCTTCTACAGACATTCTTTATTTTGGAGGACTTCATCCCAGAATAAAGTTATTTTTTTATTTCTATTTCTAAGTATTTCCTGGCACCTGGGAAGCTATTGCTAGAAGTTTGGTGATCTTCCACATATCATGAAAATGGTTCTAGATAGAATGTAGGGTCGAGTATGGTCCTTAGGATCAGGCTTGATAAGTCTCAAAATTTATAAGAACCACATTGTTCTATCTCTATCTGCCAACTTACTACTATTAGATTATTCATATCACTTATAATGTTTAAATATTTTTTTAAATTTGTAGTTCGGATTAAATGATCAAAACTGGGATTTGTCTTGTTCATGAAATTCTCTTTATTTTGACACCTCATTTGTCAAAATCTATCACTCCTAAAAGCCAGAAAAGGGATCTATATTACCATATTATATATTTACGAGTATGAAACAGATGTTTATGAAGCATGTATAGTTCCAAACCTGACTTGATTTAGGTTTGATCAATCGACCATGTCAGTATTTTCTTATTAAATTTCATTCTTAAAAGGATGACAAGTAATTCTCAGTATTGGACCAAAAATTTCCAAGCATCATAGGATTTGAACAATCATCAATATGGTTCACAATCAGATATGATAAAAAAAAAAACAGATTGTCATTATGATAAAGCGGTATGAATTTTAAGGTATGGCTGAATTATTAGAATGAAGTGAAGTAATGCCATTCCGAAAAAGTCTGTAAAAATGCCTCATTCTTGTCTGTATCTTGGATTGAAACAGTAAATGTCTGTATCTATGGAATTTCAGCCAACTGCATGAAAGAAATAAGGATAGGACATATATGAATTATTAAAAATAACAATGACTTATCTATTTTCAATAGACTTCCCATTATTAGCTCATTTCAATGGCTAATAGTGGAAGAACATCAGGTCTTTTGGCAATTAATGTATATCATACTCATTTTTTTTTTTTTATGTGGATCACTCAAAGTTTTAGATATCGGCTCAGTTGTTTCAAGATACAGATATATACTTCGAACATTTCTATACAAAAACAATCACTCATGAATAAAACAATAGAAAGTAGCACTTAAAGAATTTGGGATAAAAATATATAATTGGTGAAAAAGGTACCAAAGCTATTTGAATAACAGAAAAGTATTAATAATATAAAGTACTAATTACTATATTTAATCTATATAAGATTTTTTTTTTATAAAAGCCTTATTTAATCTCACAGCCCATACTTACAATTTCAAAACATTAATACATTATTTAAAAAATATTATTTTTTAATGTTTCGGCTCCAAGAGCCCTTTTCAAAAATTCTTTTTCTTTTTTAAAAAAAAACAAAACAAGACATTAGTGAACATTAAAATAACATTATTACTAAAATGTTTTTTTCTTAAAATATATCTATATATAGAATCCACTTAAAGAATTTGGAATACAAATAAATAGTTGGTGCAGAAGGTACCAAAGATAGAAAGATTGTTATTATGATAAAGCGGTATTTTATGTGGATCACGCAAAGTTTTAGATATCGGCTCAGTTGTTTTAAGGTACAGATATATACTTCAAATATTTATATACAAAAACAATCACTCATGAATAAAACAATAGAAAGTAGCACTTAAGAATTTGGGATACAAATATATAATTGGTGAAAAAGGTACCAAAGCTATTTGAAGAACAGAACAGTATTAATTATAGAACAGACTAAAAAAAAGCTGTCAACAATCAAAAAGTAGATACAACAAGTGCTGAACTGAGAAAACTGGTAAGATAACTTTTCAGCACAAACTTCAAAACATTTAATAAAAGTAAAAAATTAATAACTATTTCTTTAAACACAAATATTAAACAAATAGTCATTTACCGTCAAATACCAACAAATAGAAGATTTACCGTCACAATGAATATTGAATACTTACACAAAATAACGCAGCTAACATGGAGTGCTTTAAGTGTAATCCCATACATTCTTTCCGATTGTAAAGTTTTGATTAATAAAAATATTGCTACATTTATAATTGAAAAAATTTAAGTTATATAATTAATAGATCAAATATATGTTTATTTTGAAAACCAACAATGTTTGTAAATCAAATCATGCATTTTGGAACATAATTATATTTTCTCATATGTAATTTTTATTATGTTATATCAGTGATGCTAGTACTAAAATTTGTGCTTTTTCCTATTTTATTTTATGTTTTTGTAATGTGGCTTGCGATTAAAAATTTAATACCTAATTTAGCCTCTACTGTTAAACATTTTTAACATGCTTACCTTATGAAAATATGAATGAATTCTAAACAATTCTTATATCTAATTAAATTAAAAAAGTAAATAAAAATGAGGGAGACAGTCTAAACATCAGAAATAATTATTTCCGTATATAACATATAAATGGACCATGAACCGCGACCTGATTTCAACAAAAATTCAATAAATTAAGGGGCTGCATTAACTTAACTTAAAATAGATACATATGTTTTAATCTTTTGATAAATATGCAAATAATGAAACATTGCTATTTTGTTTTTAAGTTTAAATTTCAAGTTACACGTTAAGACAGAATTGGCATTCAATTTTAGTAATCTTTTCAGTAAAATCTTTAACCACCATTGAAGTAGGTACTCAAATTTCTTATCTTTTTAGGTTTTCCAATATAAGGAGGGAATGTCCTTTAGAGGTTGATTTTATTTCTGGCATTTTACATCTCTCTATTATATAAAACCGTTTTTAGTGACTTTCATATTTTATTTTATTTTAGTAACAGGAGAGTAGGAGATTACAGCAACGTAGTTGTAGAGTTAATAATTGACTAGAGTGAATAATTAATAACAATGTACAGAGAGTTAATAATTGTTCCAGTCAAGCTCATTTTACAGTTGCCATGAGATTTCGATTGTTATGAGGGCTGCTAAATATTATAGTCTCACTTTTTCTCTTCTTTGCTTTGTCTAGTTCCATGGTAAGCAGTGCCGACCTCAGAGCAGGAGAACTCGAGCATTTGCTCAAAGGCGCTGGGCTGAAAGGGACCGCCATTTATTAGAAATTTTTACAAAAGTTTACGAAATTTTCTTAAAAACAAAAACAAAATTGTTAAAATCGGACAATTAGGAGCAAAGATATGGTCTCCGGTTTTTTTATATGTTCTACTCCAGATGTTATATCCTTGGTTTGGTTTTTAAATTTTGAAAATGTTACTGAACTAATGCTATTTTTTTTTAGCATATTACTAATGATTAAAAAAAAAAGTTTAGTCCAATAATTGGAATCACCTTTTGTTTTTTTTTCTTTGCAACTCGAAAGGTAATGTTACTTTAGATGTATAATTGTTTATAAATAATAAACCATTGTGAAACAATTTGCAGCGTTTTTTTTACATTACAATTTGGAGCTTTTAAGTAACAGGATTTTACAAAAGGCTATAGAAACAAATGAAACATCGTAGATTTCATTTTTTGGGATCAGGATATGTGCCAGGTAAAGATTGAGCAGAAAAGCTCAAAACCTCATATTCCATAGAAATTGTCCTTACAGGCTTTTGCAGTGTGGCTGTCGATATATGAATTATTATATGATATATAATCTTATTTATTTGTGATACAATTATAATTATAATGAAATAGAAAAGGAAATGTTGGGCTTATATGAAGCTGGGCAAGTTAAATATATACTATGGTTACAAATGGGCAATAAGGTGAATATATAATATATATTTTTAAAGTAATTAAAAATTTATCCGACCGGTGGTTTTGTTCAGTTTATTTTATGTTGATAAAAAATAATATAATCTGAACTACAGAATACATTTAAATTATAGTTATACAATTTGAACAAGTAGTACAATTAAATGAACAATTGTATAATTTGTAAAATGGGAGTTGGACCAGTGTTAGGTGGACAGTGGGTACCACCCTAGTATTAAGTAAAATAAATTCAGTAGGAGACACATAATTATGTAGGAGAAACTGCTTTAGGACTTTACAATAAATTTCATTAATTACAATGTCAGGCTAAGCAGGGTGGCTACCAGATAATTAAAGTAAAATTCCCTGACTTTTCCCCATTTAATGATAGTTTTTCCTGACCAATATGTCTGGGGAAACAAATATTAAAAATTTATAATTTATAACTAAATTTATTTATTATAAACAAAAGAAAATTGACTACAAAATGATTTGAGTAAAGAAAAAAAAAAGAGGAAACATTTTTTAAGCTTGATTAGGATTTTCGTTTTAGAAAACTAAACTTTTAGTTAATTCATTTTTATTGCTTTTATTTTATTTTCATAAGCTGAAAAGAGGTATAATTTGATACTTGATATGTAAAGCTCTGATTTTCTCTATTATAAAATAAAGCGAGCCATGGGGAGGATTCTAATATTAATATAGTTTCTCATAAGTAATTTAGTTTCTTTATTACTGTAAACAGCATAATAATTATCCATATGACACCAAAAGTGACACTTCTGGTTAATATATGCACTTTTAAGGAGAACCACGGATCTAACGATTGAGTGCTTGCCAGCAAGATCTTCACCCAGATGTATATATTAAATAATATTGGTATTTTTTTCTTTAAAAAAAAAAAAAAACACATTGTTTTCAGTCCATTTTGCTTAAATTGTATTCATTACCCTTGCTTGATTTCCCCAGTCTCTACATGTTAATATTGATATTATAAAAAAACTTCTGTGTTGAAATTGGTTACTTAATTAATTTTGGTATTAACTTCATTTTTATTTACTTTCAGTTGAAAGATTTTTCTAAAAGAGTTGTGAGTTAAAAAAGATCTCTCTACACAGATTGAGAGAGTGGAGTAGCTATATTCATATGCAGTCAAAACCACTGGATTTAAAAAAATAATATAAATGTATAGACCAAACTTTATATCTCAGGTTAAATTTAATGTTCATCTATGCCTATATTCAGCTAAAAATACACACTCAAGGCATTTCATTTCATTTTTTTTTTAAATAGAAAAATATATTAAAAGTAATTGTTTTTATTGAGCAATTTATATCTATCCACAAATTCATAAAATAGAAATAGCTTTAACTGCATTTAAATGAACTGATTAATAGGATAATTGGAGAGCGTCTTTAAAAAAAAAAAAAAAAAAAAAAAAAAAAAAAAAAAAAAAAAAAAAAAAAAAAAAAAAAAAAAAAAAGAAAAGAAATATGAAATATGCAAATGTATAGAAATCTGTTCTCTGATCATAAACAATCAATAAAATAAATGGGTGAAATACCACCATAGAAACTTTTAAACTAATGGATATCATAAACAAATTGTTTTAAACCAACCAGGTAATTTGAAGTATTTCAGGCCAATTAAAAAAAATTAAAATTAATAAATGCACAAATTTAATAAAATATATTATAAGACTTTTATAATTTGTGTAGAAAACAAATCAGAAATCAGAATATAAAAGGAGTTTCACATGTTAATCTGTACCTTTGCAATATTCTATTTGTCATATACTTCAAATTCCATAATCTCTGTAAAAAGTAGAAAAATTTCCTGACCCTTTTTAATCGAAACAGAAAATTGGAAGGAAGTTTGAAGTGGTGCTGGTATTTTTCAATGAGGACTACCATTGCTGGAATAGAACACCCAACTAACAGGCTTACACCAACTAACTAACCACCCTCTTACCCCTACTACTTCACCTCACCCCAACGCAATCCACAAATCTCATTAACAATGTTCCCATACAATTAAATTATCTACACTACTGCCATGATTTAAAACTAATAAAATCATGAAAACGACAATATAAAAAATAAATATGACCAGAAGAAAAGTAAATATACACAATTTATTTACAAACAAAAATTATAAAACAAGAACCAATATAAGATGTATATAAATATTTATTCACTTTTTTTTTTTTTCTTTCTTTATGTGGTAACCTCACATAAGGGTCATGTATTTGGTTTACCATCATGATACATGCCTTAAAGGCATACTAATTGAAATTAAAATTAATTTTACATGGAATTGAAATATATTTTGACAAAATTGGAGAAACAAAACAAAAAATTGAAAGAAAATACAACAAAGTAAAACAGAGAAAAAAAGGACTAAATAAATTAAACACAAAAAATCAACAAAGCCAACAAGAAATTAGGTCATATGTCGCAGCCTAATAAGCCCTGCTCCCATTTCTTTCTATCATAGCAGTCTTCCTCCCAGAGTCTTCTTGCTGCCATTGCCTCAGGAATAACTTCCATCCATATTTTTTCTCATATATATATTTATATATACTTTTCTGAATGCTAATGTTATGGTCTCAGTTACGTTTTATTGTTTATATGTTATAGTGCATTATTGTGCTACTTTTATTTTTATATATATATATATATTTAAACATAATTATTTAATTGGGAACAAGGTCACTTATTAATTATTCAATATTCTACTAAATGTTCATTGCTTATGTGTTTATTTGACGTTTCGATCCCGTTTTTTTTTTTTTTTTTTTTTTTTTTTTAAGTGAGATGGAATCCTCTTAAGACACAGAATAAACACAGAAGCAATGAACATTTATTGGAATATTGAATAATTAATAAGTGACCTTGTTTCCAATTAAATAATTATGTTTAAATTTAATACTCAAAGGTCGATTAAAGTAAAGTATATATATATATATATATATATATATATATATATATATATATATATATATATATATATATATATTTAAGTGTAAAATTATATATATTTATATATATATATATATATATATATATATATATATATATATATATATATATTTAAGTGTAAAATTATATATATATATATATATATATAATTTTACAAATTTAAAGCTGAAGCTAAAGAAATTATTGTTAAAAAGTTAACATTTACCAACTAAAAATTAACCTATTAATAACAAACAATTATTTGTATATAATATTTCTATGATTTATCATTTAGATTTAAATAAAAAGAGAGAAGAAAACAATAACACTGCTAATGAGATTAAAACTCACGAGGCAAGAGCCACAAGGCAAAAGGCACGTGCCCAGCCATAGGAATGCTGAGAGATTAAGCTGGATGGCTTTTGATCCATTTATAATAATTTTCTATTAAGTTTTATCTACCATCAAAAATAAATAAATTAAATTCAGTTAAAATAAATTGACAGCTTAGTGCTAATATGTTGATGATGAAAAGTTAACTTTTACCACTATGTTAATTTAAAAATGCTTTTTATTTTTATGCATTACTCCAATAACCACAATTGTAATAAAAGTGGTTCTAATTTTAATTATGTTTATTAGTTTTATGATATTACTCATGTCAATAATTGCTTTACATAAACAATAAATGAACAGAATAGAGAAAATATTCTTTAACCTACACTCATGCATTAATATATTAATTAAAGTAATAAATATAAAGCATAATTTAGTTTTTATTCAATTCAAACCTGTTAATTAAAGAATGATAATCAATGAATCTAATAATTACTAAACACTTAAAAATGTAATAAGAAGTAGATAATAGATCCAAGTGATGACCTAGTCTCACTAATTAAAAGAAAACTTTATGAAATAATTAAATAATAAAAACTTACTGTTATTCCATAAGTTGAATCTGCTCTCTCAGCATAAGCAACTGGTTTATTGGAACGTGTGAATGCTGGAATTCTCGAAATACCTTCATCATCCAACTGAAAAATAATGTTATCTTGATTTATAAAATTCTATTTGCAGTGTGTACTTTTTCATCGATTATTATTATTATTATTATTGTTAAATATTCCAGGATCTCAGATTGGAATTCAAAACCAAATTTACAAACTTGGTTAATAAAAGAATTCCTAATTCAGAATTTTAATTTCAAATAGACACTTGAATCTATTACATAGAAAACTATACAATAATTTACTTCATAGAAATATTTAAAAAATAAAATAGTAAAAATAAGAAAAAAGCTTTATAATGTATAAAAAAATAATATCTCTGACACTATAAATTATGTTAATGATTCAACAGATAATAAGGTCAACAAACACATTAGAGCTTTAGACCAAATATAAGTCTACTAGTATTACCCTTGTAGTATTTTTCAAGCAATTATTCTAATAAAAAATATCAAATGCTTGTGCAGTGTAGTTAATTTTGTTATGATTATAGTTGGCATAACAAATACGATGCCTTAATTTACAATATTAATTAATTTTTAAATAATGGTATTTTACTGTTACTCCTACAGTAATGATTAAATGAAGGATTCCTGTTATTAAACTTATTCATATCTCCAGCTCTCTACTTTCATCTTCTTAAACCAATATCAATCTTGTATAATTACATTATTATCATAATTGATGGGAAAAGATTATAAAATTTGTTTATAATCACCTTAGCAATATTAGGAGAGGAAGATGATCTTTTAAGAATAGAAGATGGAGGTCCATCGTCTTTTTTGAGAGGTATTTTGTAAGTACCTAAAACAGTTTAAATAATTGAATGATAATAATTGGAAATACTAAAAGATCTCTTGCAAACATCACACAATTAGCATTTACAACTCCACTTTGAATAGAAATTATGTTCTGCCATGATTGGGAGATGGAAAATAGTCTTTGAAGTGCATTTTGAATAGAGCCACAATTTTTTCAATGACTAAATCAGTAAAATAATCACCTAGTAAACAAAATATTTTGCACTTGCCCCACAACCATAACTGCTTGAATAATCTGTCTTCAAGATACCTTGCATGCACTTCCTCTAAAGGGAGGCGTAACTGCATACTAGGCACTATATAATTTAATTCATAAAAATTATTGAAACACAGACTTGGAATGTAACATTTACAAGACTCTAATTCTCACTGAACAATTATAGTTTCTTGTGTAAGGAATATTATTTAAAAAAAAAAAATTTTTTAATTTATTTAGAGAAGTTTAAATAAGTTAAATTTAGGAAAATCAAGTACACCCTTATCCCACATAATCCTAACAAAATTAAATTTAAATCTCATAAATCTCTAAAATCTAAAAAACATACAAAATATATAAATTAAAACTAACCTTCGACAACTGGTTTATCAGCTGTATGTCTGAAATGAAAATAGCGACATATTTTAAAACTAGGTAGTGTCAAAAGATAAAAAAATTACTGGTGTACAGTAAATAAGAAGTACAAATAAAATGCATAGGTAAAACAGAAGACAAAGGTAATACTACATTAGATATCAGTTAACTAATTTTAATAAATATAATCATGCATCAATATTTCAAAAACAATATTCTAAAATAAATAATTTCATTTTTATTAATGATGGCTATGAATTTTTATTACTGAAATGGTCATAATTCAATTTTTTAAAATTAGAAATTGGGTTTTTATTTCTATTCACAGTTTTTGAAAAATTAAATAATATTATGGATAACCAGAGCAATTTTTTGAGAAACAGTTACTAAATTTAATAAGTGAATGATTAAACTGAAAAGTGTTTCTATTCATAAATAATTGCCTGGGAATTAATTAATAGGAATAGCTCAATTGAATAAAAATTAACCAATGTTTATTATCTACAAGCCAAATATAACCACTGAATTTGAATTCCTGGAACAAGGTCCAATTAAAACTTTGAAATTTCATTGGCGAAAACAAATCTTCAAAAGTGCAGCTCTATGTTTGCACATTTTACGAAAAATTGTTAACGCATCTTGGTACATTTCAAATTCTACTATACTTAACGACTTAAACACCCCAACAGTAAAATCCTACATCCACGACAAATACACTACATTTCATTCTTCAACCCAAAATCACTCCAATCCTCTGGTTCTTTCTATCTCCTGCTCCCTGTTACCTGAACAACGCAGATTATTAAGAAAATGGCCAAGAGACCTACTACATCAATAAAAACCAAAACAAGAAAAAACACCAAGACTGTACAAACACAACAAATTTGCTAGATGCGCAACCACGCAGGTGAAAATTACATAAAATACAAATAAATAAATAAAATGTTTGCACAATAACACATCCAAGGAAAGGTTGGGAGAAGGTAATCTAAGCCATACAATTTTCAGCTGAATCTAATTTTGGCCCTGGATGAATAATCAACTAATACCAGAAATATATAGTCCAGTCAATAAATGATTACGGAGAGAAATGGGAGGAATATAATTTTCAAGTTAAAAAATCAGTTCGGTCCTACTTAAAGAGATAAATACTAAAATACTAAAAGACCACACTTCTTCGAGAAGACAGAGGGGGCACCAAGAAGGTTACTTTTCAGTTTTTTTCTTATGGATGGCTACACAACATATAAATGAAGAAGTTCTACAAAAAACTGAATACATACTCCTCAAAATATTTTTTTTTCCAGCTTGCTCTGTATCATACTTGATTAAAGAAGGGGCAAAAACTGTCAGGAAACCTGATATAAAGTTTGATAAATCTCAGCTTCATTTTTGGGAAGGCAGCTGAGGTGGTACCTCAAGAATGGTACTGAGGTGATACCAGTAACCTGAGGGAAAACATTTGCCAAACCACTCAATGAATTCAGTAATATCAGCTTCATCCTTAGTTTGGTGGGCTTGTCTGAACTAGTCCTCCCCACTAATAGCAGTACCAATACAAGTCTATAATAGCTCATAAACCTTGACTAGAAATGCTCACATGAGTATGGTGTGGTCTCGATGTCATACTTTACCACAGTTTTGACTAAAAGCGATTAGATTATCACTGTGAAATCATTGTCAAATGGCTGTCATTCATAAATTTACTGTATTGTTCAGCTATAAGTTTTGAAGACAGAGTTTACATACCATGAACCTTCAAATGACATTACTTCTCTGTGTGGTACTTATACTACATACTGTTAGGAAAATGTGTTTTTCTGAAAACTCTTAAGACTTTGCATCTAAAGATATATTTGATCTAGCTGTTGAAGATAGCTGTAGGGTTGAAGATAAAATATAACTTTTCCTTGAAGTCTTCATCGCTTACACAGTTTTCCTGATATAAGCATAAACCCAAAAAAATTCCATTGCACTACTCTTATAGGAGTGGGAAATTTTTAATTTTAATGTGTTTATTTCTTAACTAGTTCCAAGTCGTAGGTAAAAAATTGTGGTTGAAAATTTATTTTCTATTTTAACAGCTATGGACTAGTTCTGAAAGCAGGGGAAAAATGGCTTTACCCTGTATTTCATATATTTCCTTGATTTCCAATCAAAATATTTCTTTGATTATATCCTGTGCTGATCCTAAAAACTCTCCCTTAGGTTTCTTTAGCATAAGCTACTTGATTACTCAATTATAATTAATTGACCTCTATTACCTTTTCATTAAACTAAGACCTACTTCCGTAAATAAATCATCTGTTCTGTAAGCTTTCTTTGAATATTAATAATTAAGACATGTTTTCTTTGAAACATAAAAAATACACCAACTTCTATCTTTCTTAGTTTAGGAATCCTAGAGATTCAACAAAAAAAAAGTTTTCTTTTCAAATTTATTTATATATTATGAAGATCTATATTTTTGTTAGTTAGAAAATTATACCTGACCTTTGATTTGGACCATGTTCTGGTTTTATTTTTGGATCAACTTCTATTGTATTAACTGTTTCACTAAAAAAAAAATAAAATAAAATAAAAATTACATTGAAATAACTATCAATTAGGATAATACAATTATATGTTTAAATAATATAATATTATAAATAATGTAATATATACATTAACAGAACCCCATCAAAATATTAAATCATAAACTAATTGTATCCAAAAAATGAGGAAATTTAAGTTATGTAAAATCCGAAAATTAAATTACCTGTTTCTCTGTGTGGAATTAAACCATGGACCAAATATATTGGATAGATCCATAAGTTTGTTCGAGTTTATGAAGGATGAAATAAAAAAAAAATTTCATACAAAGAATAAATTTTATTCAATAATTTCTTCACTGTTTTTATTTATGACCTCTTGCCACCTTTCTGACAATGTCATTATTCCCCTCTTGTAAAACACATGGAATTAGAAGCGAAAAACTGACCAGGACACATTTCAACATTTCACTTATGTCAGTGAACAATTTTCCATTGAGAGAATTAGTGGTAGTTGGATGGCAGAAGGCCTGGAGAATACGGTTGGTATAATAAAACATTCCAGGTCAAATTTCGTTAGCTGTATACAGTAGATCTTTGAATCAACCGTTTTTGCTTGTGGAAACAACTAGTAAAACAGTACGCCGTGATAATCTCACCATATACTAAGATAATAAAATCGTTTTTGGGTGTAAACCGGCCTTTGGAGTGGCATTAGACAGCACGTCAGCAGTTGTCCATGCTCTCCTGCACTCTTGTCATAGATGATCCACTTTTTGTCACTCTTCACTATTCGTTTGAGAAACGGGTCTCTTTCGAGCCGGTTCAGAATAGTTGCAGATTGATATTCGGTTGGCCTGGTTTGCCTCAGTCAGTTTGTGTGGCACCTAAAAATCGAGGCGGGACACGTAGCCAAACTGTTTTAAATGCCTTTTAACGGTTCTAAAACCAAATTGCAGTGTCTCCGCAATATCTTGTACCTGTAGAGACTGGTCTTGTTAGATTAGAGCCTTGATACCACTCAAATCAACCTCGGTGGGGCGACCACTGCAGGGTGCTTCTTTGAGACTCGTATCTCCAGAACGAAACCTAGCAAACCATTTTTGAGCGGTATGTTCTGTTAAGGCATCGTCCCTGTATATCTTACTTATTTCTTGGTGGGCCATCTAAGCTGGCTTGTCTTTTTTTGAAATGGAAAAGCAAAATATGCCTAAAATACACTTTATCATTTGATATATTCACTACGTTATAGCACAAACAAAACAAATACCAATGAAACCAAACACAACAGTTTCGAAGAGCGGACTTTGAACTTTCCGAAAGTATCACTATTGTCAGATAGGGCAAAGAAAACTGGAGATATTTGGAAACAATTCGCACTACTAACGAAAACCGAGCAACCTTATGGTTCTACCCAATATATATATATATATATATAAACTTTTATATTGCTCTTTAGCATTACAAATATTTCAGTGATAACTGTTTGATAATTACACAAAAAATTTAACCAACAGAAATTCTCAGATTTTTATTGGTTACATAATTACCTATATTTCATGATTTACAATTTGTTATTTTGGAATAAAATTTACAGGAGAAGCTGGTTTTGAAGTATAGTCTTATCAAGAAAAATGCACGTCTAAGCGAAAGAAGTAGATATAATTTGACGAAACTAGTTTTAGGCCATTCAGGTATCCACAAAAATCCCAGAAAATTTGATCAAATTATTAACAAGAGTAGGTGTACATACCCATCACATAGATTGAACTACATAATACAGTTTAAAATTTTGTAACAAGATATAACCATAGTAAAAATATACCCTCCCTTTACATGCAATTAATTAAAATGTTTGAAAATGCAAAAAATTAAAATGCAAACTCTCACCGGGTATCTGGATGAACTGAGACATCAAATGATGGTTTAATTTTACGAAGTTCATCTAAAACTGATTTTGTTTCACCAACGGTTTGTTTATCCTCAGTTTCTTCTTTTGGTGTTACCTTGAATATTAAAATTTATTATTTCAGGTTAAAGAATTATTAAGTTCAATATCCAAAGAAAATAGTTTTTAAAAGTTTTCCAATTACATTAAAACTATAAACAACGTGGGAAATAAGACAGAACATAGCATAATATATCCTGTATTTATTGTAAAATAAATATTGCTGCAGAAAAAAAACTATTAAATATATTTTGGATCTCATATCTTTGAATAGCATATCTCTACTATAAATTTATTTTTTATTAAGTTCGTTAAGTTGAAAGAAATTAAATTACTTCATTAATTTCAGAAGACGTTGAATCTTCTTCTAGAGGAGGGGATGAATCACTATTACTTTCCGCAGCAACAATTTCTGAAGAATCGGGGCTGATTTCAGAAACTTGGTTGACAGGAGTAGTAATAACAGTGGGCTAAAAATAAAAATTAACATTTTTATAACTAATATAATTATAAATTTAGTTATATGAGTATAATTGTAAAAATAAAAAATGAAAAATCACTGAAGCTTTTTTATTTTGAACACCAACTAGTGAATATGAAACAGAAAATGGTAAAAATAAAACACTATCAGTTTAAACATATTTGAAACATAAGAGTTTATATAAATTTTATTTATTAAAAGTAAATGAAAAATTCAGGAAACTGATGGAAATTAAATTCAATATTATATTATTAAAAGCTAATTACAGTACATAGCGATCATTAAAAAACATATATCCCAGTAAATCTCTATATTTCTCAGTAATTAACTGATGGGTGTCATTTATAGTTTAAATATACAGATGTATTTTTAAATCTCTCTTTGCATATAAATCTCAGAGAATGGATTAATGTGGTTTAAAATAATAGATGCAGTCATGAGGTTTTTATTGTCTACCATTAATATAATAAATAGAGTTTGTGTTATTATAATAGTCTTAATGTTTCCAGGTTAGCTCTAAGGTTTAAGGTTTAGCTCTGTTAAAACTGCACTTCAAAAACTTTTTAATGGCCCAACTTTGCAAGAAAATAATTTCATTTCAAAGTAGAGAGTAAGAAAAGTTATGTGATGCCCGCACCAGATTTTTTAAACTTTTAATTTACATATTTTCTATAATTTTTGCCTCATATTTACATTGGAGCCATTAATATAATTTGCAGAGTTGGACTGAAACTTTTTGAAAAAAAAAAATGATTTTATTGATCCCTTATAAAATAAATCATTATTGAATTGATAGAATATTTACTTAATAAATGTTCTTAAGAGAAATAATAATACTTCAGTAGAATAGCAACATACACAAAAGAATAAGTAAGAGAAATTATTTTTTTTTTTTTTTTTTTAATTTCTTTATTGAGTATTATAACAATCTGTCTGTTCGACATTGGTTATAGTGAGGTAGGATGACATTCACACCATATGTACAAAAAAATAAAATAAATAGAACAAAATAATAATCAAAAGTATATACAATAGACAATAAAATAAAATAAAGACAATAAAATAAAATAAAGAAATTATATTTAGAAAATTTGAATGATACTTCTGCATAATTCATAGTATAAAACATAAACTATTCCTTGATATTGTGACTACATTAGGAAAGTAAGAAAAGTTATACTAGGCTTAACTTTATTACAAAAGTTACCATATTCCCTCCAAGAGTTGCACATAGTCTCTTCAAGTCCTCGTCCTTATAATTTGTATTTAATATTCCCCAAAGTATATTCATTTATTATTAGCATATGTCCTTGGCCTGATCAATTTCCTTTGCCAAGTCATCCCTGTTGGCTGTGCACCTGATGTATATGCCATTTTTTCTCAAATGTTCTTTTATGTTATCTATCCATTTTGCATTCGGTTTTAAAGCTTTTTCGTCCCCATAGTAAATGCCATAAAGTATTACAATTAACATACAATAAGCACATTGCATGATATAATTCATATCCTAGATTAATTATACTGATATGAATCTGGATTTTAGATTTGGGAAATAGCTCCATGAGGTCTAATAATTATTAGACATCATGCAATTTTAACTTTAAAATAATTACATAAGATGATAGCAAGGATAGCTATCAAAATGAAACATAAAAGAATGAAGAACTATCTAATGTCATGTCTTTGAACTATTTTATATTTTAGCTTTATAAATATACCTCATGTTATGTGGTCTACTTATTGGGACAAAATGGCCAGCAAACATTAAATAGTTCTCCATTATTGTATATCATTTTGACTGCCACTGATATATGAAAACTTACTTTTGTTGATCTGTCGACTAACAATTCATGAGGAGACTTAGCTGGCAATGTTTTTTGAGGTTGCGAAGTCTTCTGAGGTTCTTTGACTGGCAACTTTTTCTCTTCTTCTGGTTCAAGTTCTTGTATGGGATAATCAAAGGAGTCAACTAGAAAAAAAGTTACATATTTTATATAAACTATATTAAAAGTTATATAAACTAGGACTTGTTATAATCTATTATATCTCATTTTCATAGAACAGCTTCCTTTGAAAAATCCTTTGTTTTTACTTGTGATTCCCTCCCTAAACTAATTTAAACACCATTTATTTCTCCATCGCCTTAGGGCAACCCTATACCAGTGGTACATCCAATTTACTAACTGAACTATTTTGCTGCAAATTTAAATAGGGCTGAGGCACCAGGTCTGGTAGCCAAGAAACAGGTCTGCTCCCACTTTGATCCAAATTTATAAGCCAAAGTGAGGCTTAATTATGTTTCTTAATTTGATTGGGGTATTAATAACAGGTATACCTACACTAATGGGCTAGCTGCAACTGGAGGGCTGTTACCGCCAAACAGGACTCCAGTAACTTCCTACTATTTGTAGACTAAATTTTGATCTTCTCTTCCGTGAAAGAATCTCAGATTCACATCTATAGTAAGCAGCTGCACAGTCCTGAAGTCTGTTTTGAACCTGTGGTTCTCCATCCTTTCCCGTACATCTGGTAAGAAATCAACAGTCAATCTGCCAGTAGTGTAGGCATCCCATAGCCTTTGCCATTCCGAAAGAACGACCTCCTTTATTTGGTCAGCTATTTCGTCATATTTTTCACTGGAGCACACAAAGCGACTTGTTCCAACAGTTGCCAGTAATATTTTTTTATCCTGTACTTGGCAATGGCAATTTGTCTCCTGTAAGCCTCAGCCATGAGTAAGAGTGCTTCTCTGTGCTTGTTCTAACTATTTCAAATCTGAAACTGTTCAGATTTTGCTCCCATGCTGGTATGCCGTACAAAACAATTGAACTTAATATTACTACTTAAACTCATTATTCAATAAAAGAGGAAAAGTCAAAGAGAATTTTTGTAAGACATGGTATTTTGAAGGCTCTTCCAAACGTTTTAATGTGAAAATAACAATTATAGTTTTCGTAAGTAGACTATACCTGCAACATGGCTCAAGAGCAATGTTGAAAAAAATAACTATAGTAAAAATGTTGTTTTACATTACAAAATAAGGAGAAAGTAACAATTAAAACTAAACTAAATGAACACTTACGTGATAATAGACTATTAATGTTATTCGGCAAAGGAGCATGAACTTTTGGATTTGAAGTTACATGAGGGTATTTAAAAAGTATATCTTCATAACCTCCTTCTAGTACTAATGGAGAACATTTATACTGTGTACCTGGATCCCACTATTTAAAAAGGAGCAAAAATAAAATTAATAACAAGATTTTAAAAATAAAAACAAGAATCATTATGATAAATCTAAATATGATTGTTCGACTTTTCTAGACTAAAAAAGTAGAAAGATTTTCATTTTTGGAGAAAGATTAACTTGAATCGAATACGATACAATTACAGTATAATACAGTTGTTAATGTATCAGAATACATCTGATGTCTTACTTAAAACTTGAAAACTATAGTTTTCATCTTTCTCAAAAATAATTTTTCTTTTTTAAATAAAAAAGCAAGAACACTGTATCTTGGATAAATATTTTAGAGATATTTTTAATTTAAAAGCTGATGAATAGGATTTTTAAGTACTTCATGTTTTAATTAAGCAAAAAGTAACGGAGTGACAGACTTGAGAATGGATACCAAATTAAACTAGAAGCTAGTTTTCTTTAAAGCTGAAAATTGTTTATGAAACTTAAAAACAAAGAAGTGTTTCTAATTTTAGAGTAATGTTACCCTCTAGGTGTAAAGCTTCTATGTTTTACAGAACTTAGTTTTAAGATATAATATTGATAGTTTATATCTAGACAAGGCAAAAAAGGCTTTCTACTCACGACTGAAAGAATTTTAAAGAATTTATAGCTTATAAAACAATAGTATAGAAGACTCACTTTCCTATTAACTGAACAATGAAAGATTAAAAGCTCTAAAATAAAATTTTCAAGTAACCTTACTTCAGTCATAGCCTTTTTAAGGTGGTATAACTTCACATTGCTTTTCAAACCAGCTTCAGAACTGTTCCAGTCAAAGATTACCAGTTTATCAAATGTACCTCGTTTTTCCCACTGTAATTTGGCATTACCTTCAAGTTTAGAGTTCAATATAGACGCTGATATTCTGAAATCCAAAATATTAAAAAAAATAATACTCAAAATTTTCGGAATTGAATTTAATAATGGATTGATGTTTATAAAATAATTTAAAAAAAAAAAAAGACAATGATAAGTACATGCCTCTTCAAATATTGTTTAAAATGGTTCATTTCAGTTTCATTATTTTTAAAATTTTATATTATTTAACAAATGATTTATAATTTTCTAAAATATCAGTAACTTCTGACTAAAACTGCATTGACAACATTCTAAAGTTCATGATAAATGTTTTGAAATTTCTAGCCAATTATCATATTTTTCCTGACTTTTTTTTTTATAACCAAAGGGAACTTGATTGAGCAGAGTGGCCAAGATTGTAGCCTTAAAGAGGATCTATCAATTGGGCCGAAACATCAGCATTCACTAAATATTGTTATACTATACTATTTTATGATTCATTATAACTGTCTCTCCCCATCCTTACTATCGTTTAGATTAATTATAATGGTTAGTTATTCTACAAATAATTTCACGCATAATAATATTAACTATCTATATAAAAAAAAAGTGTAAATGTCCGTTTGTTCAAAACCGCGAATCTCCAAAACTTCTTCACCAATTGCTTTGGCATAACGTTTCTATCATATTCAAGAGTGTTTTTATAAACATTTAATTACCATCTGACCTTCTGTTTCCGAAAGACAGCCGTAAAACGTGTGTCGCTATAGACTGTAGAGCCTAAACGGCTCTAATGATTTTAAGTCATGTATATAAATAACATGCTTCCCCAAACAGAGTATGAAAAAAAAGTTACGATGGATTCAGAACTATATTTGCGAATAACTCAAAAAGTACACAATTATTATTATACAATTATTATTATGATTATACCTCTGACTATTTGATAGATTCCTTAATTTCCAGCAAATTAAAAAAAAATATCACTAAAATCAGATGATTTGGTGCAGAGATGTAATGTTTTAAACATTTAGTAATTTTTCTTTGGAGATTTAGAGACAAATTACTTCTCACATGAACAATTATATGTTGCGTGTTTTACAGTTGAAAAACCAGACAATCTCTATATCTATAGAAAGAATGGAACAACAAAAAATATTGTATATCAACAAGTATTGTGAAATAAAATATATTAGAAACATCTGCTTTCTTTTTATTTCTTTATCTATTCAATCAGACTGAGCATTAGCAACGCGTGGCCAGGTACAGCTTGTACTTTTAATACTTAGAAACAGACAATAAATTTTTTATTTCATTAATGGATTGTAAAAATGATTTTTCTAGCAGTGGAAAAACTATAGAGGTCCATTAAACTTGAATGATATCAAGCTGAAGAGGAAAACATATTTTGAAAAAAATTAAGTAAAAAATACCCTGGATGAATAATTTCTTCTGGAATATTAATAATATTGGAATCATTCAAATGAGATTCTTTGAAATCTTGTAATGATCTCGCATCAATTAGAAGGTAGGATTCCTTATTATGTCTGGTTGAGAGAAGATTATATAATCCTTCTGAATAGATGCATGTTTTATTGAATTTTCCTGAAAATAAAATAGGAAACTTTTTAATGAAATGCATATAAATTACTTCCACACTTTTATTCTAATTCAAACTTAAATGTTATTTAACAAACTGACAATATGACTAGTGACAGAGAGTATGCCTATACTGTAGGAATGCAGGCACCGGCTGAGATCGTACCTAACCTGACGTTCTTAACCGATCCCAACCTAGCCTTACAGCCCAGAAAGATATTGAGATATATGACCAGTGACAGTAATTATTATAAAATGGAGCAGGCTTCAGAATTACAACACTGTAATGAGAATAAATGATTGTACAGAAAACATTTCTGTATTAAGCCAACAGGCTTAATAAAGCTTTGAATTGTATTAAATCATTTACTAAAGAACTGAGTGCTTTAGAATGCTGATACTATGATGTCTTTCAAGAAATTTTTTTTTTTTTCAAACTTCAGGATTTATTGGAGATAGAATTAAAAATTTATTATACGTTAGGAAAAGTATGTAGAGGCAAATGCATCATATTTTGATTAATAGACAGGTTTAGAATGATAGTAGAGTACTTACTCTTACTACTAAAAATACTACTACAAAAAAACTACTAAAAAAAACAGAGTACTACTAAAAAAAAAACTTTTTTTTACTGAAAAAGATAATTTATTGTAAATATAATTGAATGATATATGTATGTTATTCATATATAAAGTACATAGTATATCTTTCAATAATATTTTGTTTTATTTATTTATTTTAATCTTCTAATCCATTTGCAGTTGCACAGCAGTGAGTCTAACAAATTTATTGTAACTTTTTAATTTCTGGGAATTTGCTTGATAAAGATTTTGATTTAGTTTTTGTTGAAGGAGCAGGTCTCTTGGCTACTTTCTTTTTAATTTGCTTCTAGCAGGTAACAGGGAAAAGGAAATTGAAAGTATGAGTGGATTAAGGTGATTTTGAGTTGAAGAGTGAAATATAGTGTGTACTTCTGTTTAGCTTGACCCTCAATGCCTCAAATGCAATGTAGTTGGTGATCACATGTTCAGCAGTTTCCGGGACACTACAACTGGAGCATAGGAGATTGATATCTGGTCCAAAACTGTATAACGTGGTACAAAAACCCCCATGGCCAATGAGAAATTGAGAAATCCAATAGCCAGGTTAGACCCATCTAGCAGTCAAGACTAAGCGGTGAGAAAAAACTTCCTTAAGGTAACCTCCTTAGCCTTAACCCACTGCCTGTTTCATTCTTTGATGTAGGCTTCTCTCAATGTTGCCTTTTATCTATTAGGCCGTTCCTTAATCCTCACTCAAAGGTCCTCTGGAATCCCTGCTGAGCCTTCTTTCTAGCAGGCATATTTGATCAAACCTTCTTACAGGAGATCAAATCAAATAAAAAAAGATGCCTCTAAAGACACTGTCTTATATGCTATGGTGAATTGCATCACAGCTGTCCTCTGGATAGATGCCAAGTTGTTCTTTCGGTTAGGAATGTTCAGATATCATGCGGGGAATGCATACCTCAATATACCCAGTACCACTCTGCCATATGATGCCAAGCTCTGCTCTGTATATCCAAATTGGTTTCAGTATAGTGTTGTAGATTAGTCACTTGTTCCATAATTTATGTGAGGATCTGTAATCCAGAAGATGTGAGAGTTGGTTATATCTTTGTATGTAAATTCCAAGTTAAGTCCAATTAGAGTCGAAGAACCATATATAGTTTTTTATAGGAACTGGGTTGTTGTCAATGGTTATAGATGGACATAAAGTTTTCCTTAAAGAAAAATTTATAAGGCTTGATTTAGTAGGGTTGTTTTTAATTTCCCGTGAATGAACAGTTTTGGATGCCAAATAATTGTTTCTAAAGGGCAATATATACTAAAGCTGGATTTTTATGGGAAGATAGTACTACTATATCATCAGCGAATGTGAAGATGATGGTGTAACAGTGCTTGAGGATATTAAAGGTATATAGAGTATACATTTATATCCCCTTCCCAGCTCACTTTTCAAATCCAATCTGGAAAACTATTTGGTCCCCACTAATCTGACCAGAGTGTGGATAGATCAGGGCAATGGACAGCAGTCCTTTATGACCTCATTAATCCTTTTGTAATGAACACATAATCTTTTGAAGCCATCTTTCTTTTTTATCAAAGCAATTGGAGATGTCCAAGGACTGCTGCAAGCTTCAATCAGTCGTTGAGTTTCCATTTGTTTTTCAACATTGTGTTGTTTTGCAAGAGCAACTTACCTAAGAGTCAGTTTGATGGGCATCAGTATTATTTGGTGTGATACCACAATTGTCAGCCCTACATAAAATTCTGTTATGTTCAACGAACTGATACGTATTTTGTTCGTTGCAGTCGAGAAAAGAATCCATCCCAAACTTCCCCATGAATCATCTTCTAACTTTATGGTAATACAGATTTGCTGGAAGTAGTAAGTCTTCAGTCAATACTTCTTGTCTGCTTCGACATACAACAGTCTCTTCATTCCATTTCATAACCAACTCTTCATTTCCAATCCAGACAATCCGTTGGTGAAAAGCATAGTAGGTCTATTGTGAGCATCCACAAATCCATCCCTAGAATTACAGGATCTAAACATGACACAAAATTCTTTAAGAAGTTGAAACTTCTAATTCCTATGTTCACAATTTCCCTTGTTAATTACTCAAATTCTTCAATTTTTATTGCTTGAATTTATCTAAGAATCGACATAAACATCCATTTACAAACAAAATGAGTTAAGGTTACAAGCTTGTTAGCAAGCACGAATTTAAAGTAAATATATAGATTATGATGTATCAACACCGTATCATAATAAATATAAACATCAAAGTATGTCAAAGGATACAGTAACTACATAAAACCATTGGTAGAATAGTTCCAACTATTATGAAAGTGTTAATATTAGTAATTAGTAGAATAGTTATGATTATTATAATAAGAATCTTTATTTTTACTGTTGTTTTAATGAGTGTATTGTCCTTTTTTATAATAAAAATATTCTTAATTGATGCTTTTTATTGGTGTTGGGTTTGGTTCCACTTATTGAATAATAATTAATAGATATTAGAATAATTAATAAATATGAATAAAATAATTATTAATCAAATGTGTGTGTCGACGTATATATACAATAAATAAATACCTGCTGCAATAGTGTTATTCAGGTCTTTCAAAGATTTTTCTTGAGTGGGACTAATAGATTTGACTGGAATAATTTTATTATTTTCTCTTAAATGTTTTTCTTTGTTTTCTTGATACCTATAAAAAATATATATATCAGTTCAAAAATAATTATACTCCACAGAATACTTATCACATTTTCTTCTTTGTTTGAAGTTTATCATATGTTTATGAAAAGAGTATCGAATTATAAAAGCCTTAGATAATAAAAAATATCTCTCTTGTTCTAACAAAGTAAACTAAATATATTAAGCTGGAAAACTTGGAATGACACTTCTCAATGGAAAGTAATTGCCATTGAATGAAATGTAATAGTCCAATCATTTCTGCCATTTTTTAAAACTGTTATTCAATTCAGTAATTGAGACGTCCTTTAGACCTTCCAGCGCTTTTTTTATTTGCCTCTTCCACAGTCTCAAAAGGGTTTCCTTTCATGTCCCTTTTGTTTCTAGGGAACAGAGGACAAGAACAGTTACAGAGGACAAGGTCTGGTGAATAGGATTATTGAACAATATGTGTCATGCCATTTCTGGTTAAAAATTGCTACACAGACAGTGGGGTGTAAGTTTTATCATAGTGAAAAACTCATAATATCCTGAGTCCCATTTCTTCGCCCTTTTCTTCCAGATATTTCCCCTCAATCTCTTCGAAACCCCCAAGTAGAACTGCTGATTGATCATTGGACCTGGAGGAACTAGCTCTGCAAAGAAAGAAACGAATGAGCATTATCTTGACGATTAACTTTTCTTGGATGGGGAGAGATATCTGTCTTCTATTGGCTTGATTCCTGCTTTAGATACTAATTCCGCATGGTTCACAATCATTTCAGTCACACTTGTTCATGAGATGCCGAAAACAGTCAAATGTTGCCGAATTTTATGACGTCAGCTCTTGTCTCAACCACCCATTTTCCTCTGACTCGCATTTGAAAAATCAGCATATTCCCATCATAGAATAAACTGTTTATTTACAAATTTTTTTATTATTAATTTTTTTAAAACAGTAATTACTTTAGAAGACACTTTATAAAATGATTTTTGAGTGGTCCTTAATTGTATGTTATGTAAACTTAATGTTGAATGTAAGTCGTATAAATGTACATGGTTAAGGGTATAATTACTTTAATGGCAGGAAAATTATTAATAACTTAAGAAACCGGTCATCTTCGTACTCTTTCAGATAAAACCGGATGCATTCAGCGCTCCATGAACAAGTGTGACCGAAGTGATTATGAACCACGTGGAACTCTTGTGAATCTTTGAATGTAAATTAGTACATTGCTTTATTTCGTGGTTGTCCCCATAGCACCAAGATTCTGCTTAATTTTACAAGAGGATATAAGTTGGTAGAGGTCATCACAAACCACGGTGTGTTAAAGCGTAAACTTAAAGATTCTTGACTCTAATGACGACTGTTCAAATCTGGCGTGGATTGGTTTAAATATATTTGGTGTCGGAACCATGGAATGAATCTCGACTGATTAGAATAGATTTGTTTGTATTTCTAAAACAACTCTTCCTTTCTCCTCCCCTCCCCCTCCCTCCCCCCGTATGGCAGAAATGGTGATGGTAAAGTTATCGAGAAAAAAAAACCAAGAAATAAGTTTAAAAATTATACTGTTTTAAAATTGAGCTAACATAGGTTAAAAGAAAATCTAAGAATGTACTCACCTCTTTTCTAATATGTTACGTAGCAATTCATACTTCTTCATGTTGGACTGAGCACAAGGAAAATCAGAGCGGTATTTTATTGAAGATTTTGTGTATTCAGGATATTTACATGCCATTTTCAAAAGCATTAAATATCTATGTAAAAACATGAATTCTTCTTCCTGATCTTTTTCAAGGCTTGCTTTCCTTGCACTGTCATGTAATTTTTTCATTTTATCCAAACAACTAAGAAAATAGAATTTATATTTAAAAAGAATAAGCAGTACCACCCTAATGATTAAACATACAAATCATGAAACTATTCTTACGCGGGAAGAGATAAGTCAGGGATTTTAACTTCAGCTTTTCTTAGCAATGATTCTATTGAATCAGCAATATGTAGTGGTTGGACCATTTTTGTTGGCATTAGTATAACTTAGTCAACTTATATTATCAGTTAAAAATCTAGTCATTGACACCACTCAAATGATAAAGTATAAGGCATATGAGATATTTTAGAATTTCAGTAAAATAATTTATTCTTAAATATTAAAACTAAAAAGCAAAGAAATGGGTAAAACAACAAATCCCTATACTCAGTAACAGGTTTAATGTTTATCTCCATAACAGCTGTTCCTGACAAATTAAATGATATTATCGATTTCAGACCAAAGAGGGCGCATTTGATAACTGCTCAAGGTGATGAATACTTACATAATAGTTAGTTAAAACTTTTTTTTTTTTAATGAAGTGAAACTTTCATTATTTTAATAATTTACTTTGAATACCAGAGAAATCCAACATGTAGATCAAATAACAAAGATGAAGGAATAAAGAGTAAACAAGATTTTACTATAACAAAATCCAGTTATGCATATACTGATGAAATTATTTTTCAAACAAATACCGTTTTTAATTCTTATTTTATTATAAAATTTAAATCTGACACAATCCAAACCTCTAATGAATAATAAGTTACTAAGGACTGCCAGTGTTTGAGGAAATAAATATTAATATATAAGAGTAATACAAGGATAAGTACCGGAATACAATCTGACATCCTTGAGTAAAATTTTTAGTTAATAATTATAATTATGGGTAATAACTCAATTTATTTCACTTTACGAAGAATTTTGGATGACAAAATCAGGCAAATTGAATTGATAAAATTCCTTGGCCAGCCGCACTCTTTATCCTTCAACTTGATTTAGTGTGGCCTCATAAAAAATAGTCAATTATATTCTGTATTTGTGGAACTATAACATCATTCAATAATGCGAAAGTTCATGAACTTAGAGCTGAGATAAGCATCGGAATTCCAACAAGCCATAGCTGTACGTTCAAGAATATTGCTTTAATATTATTGATTCGATAATGTTGACCGAGCAAGGTGGACTTAAGTTCCTAAACTACTAATGGATCAGAGCTGAGTTCAGAAACTTGTCCAATCTATTAATCAATTATAATTATATTTATATATAATATGCATAAACAATAATAATTAAACAAATTACTATGCCTTTTATCACAATATTAATTAAGTTGTATAATTTAATCTGTATCCATAATATTTATTTATTAAAACAATACCTTAATAAAACTTATTTATATTTTAATATAGTTATCAATGAAATGATAATGATCAGCTTTGCAAATATTTTTGTTCAATGCGCTGCAACTATAGATGGACTTAATTATAATCAACGATTACGATTTCAGTAATTTTGATTACGTGATGGTACGATTGTAATCAGGTATCGTATCACATTTTGTCTACATTCATAGTGCTAATTTATCAAGTTTAAAATTGACGTGATAATAAATTTTATTTTCAGTTGTAATTATTGATTCCGATTTTTTCCATGTCTGGGTAAAGCCATTACAATTTGGAATAGTTTCTTAAATAGTTAATGGTTCCATATGAAAATGGGTTCACGGGTTAATTGACTTACAAATTATTTAAAGTAGATGTATATTTAAAAACTCCTTTAGGTTTCACTGGACCTAATAAGCGGGCTGCCGTGGAGCAACTCTTTACGATCCCATACCCAGACTCAGTTCCACTAATAGTGATGGCTGATTACAGTAAAGTTTTAGAATATATAAAGGCTAGTGAAGCTAGGGTTTCAACAATTTCTAAGAGCACTAAAGAAGGTAATTTCGATAATAACATCATGATACTAGAATTATTTTTTACTATATAATATAGAAGTTTATTGATTTTTGTAGTTGAAACAGAAATTAAAACATTAGATGGAGAAATTGAAATAATGAGGGCTAAAGAGAAGCAATTAAAAGATGAACTTTCATACAAACGTAAAATGGTAGACGAAAAGGAATGGGAATTTCAGAATCTTAAAAATACATATGAAGTTTGGGCCAATATGCTGGAAGAAAAGAGGAATAATTTAGACATAATAGAAAATGAACTTGTAATTTTTACATTTAAATATTTTAAAGTAAATATTTCATGTATTATGATTAAAATCTTTCAAAAACATGTTGTTTCAGAGGTGCATGCAGCAAAATGTTTGGGATACACGTATTTCATTTTATGATAATACGATGGATTTTTTAAATAAAAATGACATTTTGTTGAATAACGATGGTTTGGAAAATATAATTAAAAAAAAGCAAGGTGATTAATTTTTAGTACTGTATATAGGTAAATTTTTATTATTGATTTAAGGATTTGAACTAAGCAGGAATTTTATTTTTAGAAAAAAATAAGTTAAGTGAATCAGTTAAAGCTCTGGAAATGAATCTTAATATCACTGAAAATATTCATACCGAAATTAAAGGAAGATATGATTTATTAAGTCATTTAGAAAAAGAAAGAGAGATTTTATTAGAATATGAACAAACTTCAGACATCAAAAGGTAAATATATTATTAATTACTAGTTGAAAGCTTAGGTAACAAATATATCACAATTTTTATGTTATTATAATTATTTATTAGTTTAAAGAATTCGATAGATGTTGATCAAACTATGGTATCAATCACTAACACCAGAGAACGCCTTCCTTCTTTCTCTGAGAGAGTGAGAGAGTGAGAGAGAGAGAGTGAGAGAGTGAGAGAGAGAGAGAGAGAGAGAGAGAGAGAGAGAGTGAGAGAGAGTGAGTGAGAGAGAGAGAGAGAGAGAGAGAGAGAGAGAGAGAGAGAGAGAGAGAGAGAGAGAGAGAGAGAGAGAGAGAGAGAGAGAGAGAGAGAGAGAGAGAACTTTTTTACTCCATGAAAAATATTACTTCACAAAATGCTATTTTGTTATCGTTATGTTCTTAATTGAAAACGAACTACCTAAAAAAGATAGGCGAGCGAGTTAACGCGTGTGCAAAATACACGTTGCTTGACGATCTTATCGGCCTGTCTTATCAAGATCGAACCACCCACGGCAATATGGATCCACTAAAGGCAATGGAACCGCATTTGCCATATGGGCCATACGGGTGCGCCATGACGTAGAAGAAAGAGCGGAGATGTATGTTATGCTTCTCCTGTTCGACATATCTGCATTTGACAGCATGTGGTGGCCGAGTGTTCTCCAGCAACTCCAGAAGTATGAAACGCCCAGTAACCTGTATGACCTAGTGAAAAGCTACCTCCAGGAACGGACATTGAAAATTAGCGGCAGATTCATTGAAGTAGAAGACACCGTCGAGAAGGGCTGGCCACAAGGATCTATTCTGAGTCATGCCTTGTGGAAGCTAGTCTTTGACGAGTTGCTGGAGAAGCTCGAAGAGGAACTGTTCCCTGTCACGACCTATGTTGACGATTTGGCCGCCGTGGTGGCCTCAAACAGCATAGCCGGTCTGAAAGCAGAAGCTGAACGATGCGCCAGTTTGGTAGAAAGATGTTGGGAGAGGAAGAAGTTAAAGATGAACGCTGCAACAAAGACCCAGGCAATTCGCTTGTGGGGCAATACTGACAGGGCACATCATATTATATTGAGAATAGAAAAAGAAAGGTTATGTCAAGGTGACAACCTAACTTGGCATAAAAATTGGTCGAAAGTTCAACGTGACTCCTCACCTGGACTATTTGAGAACTAGAGTCACAGTGGCCCTAAATGGACTCAGTCCTGTCAGAGGCAACTTCTGGATTCTCTGATATCCAGCTACAATTCTTCTGGGGTCTCAGATATCCAGCTATAATGACTATATACAAAGGAGTAGTTTTGGGTATTCTGAGATATGCTTCCCCAGCCTGGAACCTAAATCTCTCGCACAGACAGAATAATAGGCTAGCATCGATTCAGAGATCGGCTTTACTACGGGTTACTAGAGCATATAGAAAGATATCTCATGAGGCAGTGCAAGTACTGGTAGGAGAGACACCTCTCGATCCCCCTCTTCGAGAAGACTATTACCTCTTTAAAATGAAAAGAGAAGATTCGGCGGATCTACCGAAACATCTAGAAATGAGAATTGAAGAAGACCCAAGAAGGTACAAAGGAATTATCAGGTAAGACACAGTTGATCAATGAAACTGGCGATGGATGGCAACTTCGAAGGCTGCTACCCTACGAAAGTACTTCCCCACGGTCAAGTCACGATTAGATGCGAGATGGGTCCTCCCGATTACTGGGTGTCTCAACTCCTCACGAAACATGGGGGCTTCCAAGCGAAGCTCGTTAAACATGGGAAGAATATTGATCCGCTATGCCGCAACTGACCGTTCAGAAGAGCAGGAGATCATCCAGAATAAGTAGTAGGAAAGAAAAAAAAGAAAAGTTGTAGGCATATAAACAGTCCAGTTCACAGGTCCTGCACCCCTCTATATTTTACCGACATCTATAATATCCTTCAAAATAAAATAAAGAGTTGTACAATGAATTATATAAAAAAAGAACAAAAATATATAAATAAAAACCTATTAGATCTAATATCCCACAGGATCTAATAATCCTTATTGCCTGTAAGACAACATAGGGAAAAACAAATAATCAATAAATCAAAGGACTGGTTAAACTTCTGGTTCCAACTATGATAACAATTTAAAGTGAATTCATTCTTCTCGGTATCATAGTAGTTGATGAGATGCATTTCATTCCATATAGCATATTTAACTATTAAAGATTTAGAATTTTATCATACTTTAGGAAAATGAAATATTTATTATACCAGTGATAATTATAATTTTTGTATAAATTATCTGATATATTCCTAGGTTGCAATGTAAAATAGATTCTTACAATAGTGAGCTGGAATGTATAGAACTTGAAATGACTAAATACAGTGACAGAGCAGCAATGACTAGTCACGAAGTGGTTACCAAGAAATCTCGACTGTCCAATGGTAAAAATTTATTACCCTTTATCAATTAATAGAAATTTCGTAAAAAATATCTCGTAAATATTTTGCGAATTGAGGTGAGGTATTACAGATTAGTTTAATTTGAAAATCATCTACCAAATAAAAAGAAAAAGAAGAGTAGGTTTAGATGAATAATGTGTTTTCTACTTTTTCTTTCTATTCTATTATGTAATAGTTCTTACTGCAATTTTTAAAATACAAGCGAAAAGATTTGTTATTTGTTGTGAGTCCCACTGTATAGTGACATCCTCTTCCCTAAATTTCTCAGTTTTGAGAATCTCATTTATGCTTTATTAGGTTTCTTGAAAATTATTAACAAAAATAATATAATAAAATTGTTCACTTTTATTGAGGAAGTGCGGTAGAAGGGGTGGCAAAACCAACTTAGCCCCAGTACGATCTAAAAAAATTCTAGTTCCGATCCTGCAAGATTCATGAAAACACATGTTGCGTCCGATTATGACATGAGTAAAAAGGTTCTGTGATTATAACATTTGATTAACCCATCGGTTAGGCCGAATTATCTTCTTTTTTGCCCCTTTCCTTCCTCGCCTTCTCGGCTATTCTTCCTGGTGCAGCGGAAAGGGTAAATAACACCAGTCTAAAGTCCTTCGGCCTCCGGCACCGGGACGCGAACTCGTAGTAATTTAAATCATGTAATGATCATCAGTTTATTAGGTTGACGGACGACGCGTAAACCGTCATTATGCACACTTCATTATGATCATCATTATACATATGCGTTAACCAGCTCGGTCGCCCCGCACCCAGATCGAATTATTTGTTACAGCAGTGCAGTGGTGTTTTAGCAGTTTCAATCTGTCTAAATCCAGATATTATATCTGTTCTGATACAGCAAACATATGAGGAACTATGTTTCTATCCCCTATGACAGACCATCCTAGGACCAAACTTCAGGACAGTTAATGAGATTCTATAAATCTAAACTATGAGCATAATATACCGTGGGGGAGCTGGAAATCGTTCAGAGGATGTTGTTTTAAGTCCTATTCAGTTAACATCCTAAAATAAGTGAAGGGCTATCCTTTGGGAATCCTACTACTTCCATTCAACATCTCACTTCCTTACTTTCCTCATATTCTTCCTACAGTGTGTTTTAGAGGGTTCCACTTACTTAAAACTATGCCAAAGGGAATAACTGGTTAGTTTATTCTAGATCCTTTTCTAGCCATTTTATCAGTTTCTCTGTTCCTTCAAAATTCACAATGACCTCATATCCACTATAAAATGACCTCTGTTCAATTTTCTTTTAGTTGGTTTACATATAATCTGCTCTTAACAATGTTCGAATTCATTTTTATCTTTTTTGGAGGGATGTAGTTGTTGTTATTCAACAAAAAATGTGGCTTCCTCCTAATAGATAAACAATTTAAGAGGCTAAACCTTTGGTTTCTTTTATGATGAAATTACTTTTATCTAGGGGTGTAAAAAATTGTTATCAATGATAGATAAACCAGAAAACCTTATTTGCCATGATTTCATCAAGATCCTTAAGTTACCATCTCGATCACACACACAATAAATAATTAAGAATTATTGATCATTTCAGATATAAATATATATATATATATATATATATATATATATATATATATATATATATATGTATATATTAAGTTAGATTTGGTCTTTCATTTCCAATCAGTTTAATACAAATGTTATTTTGAACAATGAAAGAAGGATTTACTCACTTTTTAGAATAACAAAAAAAGAAGAAAAAAAAATCAATCTATTTAGTATTCTAAATAACGAATACTTGAAGTGCAAATATTCTCCGACTGTTGAGAGGTGAGTTAAAAAGACAACATTGTTTAAATTCTTCTAATTTCCTCATGAACAGTCCAAGAGATTTCCGTGTTTGAACGATTTTTTCGATTCTTTACAAGTATGCTGGTTATGGTTATACCTATCTCTGCTTTCAGCTAGCCATCAGGCTGTATCACTTTTAATCTACATTTGTGAAACCTGGCATTGGTTCAGAAAATGCAGAAATCATCAATAAAACTCACTCTAAACAATAATATGGTTGATATAAAGTTGTCATTTTAATTATATTTTATTAATTATTCGTAGAAGCTGTGGGAACACATTGCAGAAGTGAGAATTCTTTATCCAACAAGCCAGAAATACAAGAAGGCAGTTTTGAACATTTGGTAAGTTAAAGACATAACAAAACAGCAATAACAATTATGGCTAATTAGCAATAAAACTAATAATTACTCATGAATAAAAATAGAATAATATTTATCTTATATAACTCTAATTTCTCAACATAAACTTTAAGATGTTTAAAAAATGGTAAAGATCTATTGCTCTTGCCAATACCATAAGCTTAGAAAATAGAAAACAATTAAACAATCCAAAAATATATAAATTTAATTTAATTTATTTTTTTATTTAACAGGAGAGAAAGCATCCTTTTAAACCAAAAGTTCCCAGTTTCTTACTCGAGAAAAACTTCTTCAGTGTAGGAAAAAAGCAGAAGGAGATTAATAAAAATGTTGAGGATATATAATAAAATATTAAAATTGAATTTATAAATAATAAACTTTTATTTTTAAATATTTCGGCAATTATTTTATGATAAATTGATACATCTTATTTTAGTTTCTTTTGAAGAACGAGAGTCGATACAACATTACCTATTTTCCCACCAAATTGAAAGGTGGGTGTTGGTATTACTTCAAAGCACTGAAATACTGAAAAAAAAAATTAAGAAAATATTAGTTACATTTATTTAGGAGGAAAAACAAGTAATAAGTGCAAACTATAAACTTCATTAAACCGAATAGCAATATTAAACCACAATGTTTACCTAAAAAATAGGCGAACATGGCGATGCCAAGGGATGTAAAAGGGATTCGTAGACTATTGGGGACATTAAATTACTACCGCAGGTTTTGTCCCAGAGATGGCGGAATACTTGGCACCCCTAAATATTCTACTGGGAAAGGGCCGGAAAATAGTAATTATGTCAGCGACAGAAGATAATGTGAAGAAATGCATGGCACGATTACAAGACAAGCCAGTACTAGCTTTTCCATATTTTGACAGAACATGTATCATTACCATGGATGCAAGCGAATATGCGCCGGGGGCAGTACTCGCTCAAGAATGGACTAAATGTGCACAACCGGTGGCATACGCGAGAAGGCGTCTCACAGCGGCAGAGGGTAGGTACAGCGCGTTGGAAAGGGAACTCTTGTGTATAGTATGGACAGTGGGGCATTTTAGGCCATATATTTTTGAACAGAAATTTAAAATTCACACAGATCACCGACCTCTGCTATGGGTAGGAAATCTCAACGAGTCATCAGCCAGAGTCACTCGGTGGAAACAATTCCTAAGCCAGTACAACATGGAAATCACGTATAAGACTGGTAAGGAAAATTTAGTGGTGGATTGGTTGTCCAGGGCCATCACCATAAATGCTACTGAAGAAGAAGAAGAAACATCGCAGGACGTGAGGCATTTCCTCTGAACATGGATGCCAAAAAAAGAAGGGGAACATGAGAATGCATGGACGGAGGAAAGAGAGGAATCCCGAAAAGAGGAGAGCTCGATCAAAGAGAAATCAAATGACATATAGGAATGCGAAGAAATTGTCAATGACAAATGACACCAGGTAATTTGGAAGACGAAAACTTCGGGAATGATAAAGATAGCCATGTGGAAAAAACAAGATCATCACTATTTGGTGGCAGCCAGGGACACGTGAAGAGAAAATCTGTAAGGTACTATAGGATACATCCGAACCAAGAAAAACATACTACCTTTACATAGGAAATGCCACGATATGGAAAAAAAAATAAAAAAAATATGGAGAGCCAAAAAAAATAGGCGTAGTTAGGGATTTTATTGGGTGTAAATAATTAGTGGAAATGGTGGCAGATGTGGAGTAGCAGAAAGAAGTAACATTGGCATACCATCAAGGTAAAACCAATCACCGTGGGGTCAATGAAACACTGCAGGCCCTACACAGGAGATACTTCTGGGAGGAAATGAAAAAGACTATTGCAGAAATCATAGGAGCATCTGAAGTCTGCGCACGCACAAAATACAATAAGACGTTCCCCACAAGGAAAACAGGAGGAAACGCCAACCGGAGACATGCAATTGAAGAACATACACATCAACTCTTTTAAATGGGTAACGATGGTTGGCCTCTTCAGCAAAATTCCAATGTTACACTGAGTGCAGGACAGATCTTCGGAGGCTGTAGTGAGAGCTCTTCAAACTTGGACTCAATTTTAATGACCCCAGAAAAAGGAGGACTATTCATGTTGAAATTAATTAGGTGTGTTGAATACACCTAAATAAACCTTTGCAATGATTATTATGTATGCTGGTAGGTTATAACGATTATTAGATAATAAAGTGAGGTTTTGTAAGCAGCATAGTGTCTTCTTTCGCATCTCTTTTTTCCTTTTTATTATTTATCGTCCAGATGTTCATAAGTTTTATATATATACACCAATATCAAAAATTAGTAAAGCATTAATTTTGTATTCATGATTTAAATTATATTTTGTTTTCTGGAAATTCCATAGTTCTGCATAATACTAGCAATATAATGAAAGTGAAATGATTAATGCAAATATTATAAAATAGCTGTACATACCATCTTTGCAATGTGAAACAATTTCATGATCTGTCCAGTTACAAGTAGTTATAATAAACAATCCATCATCATTTAATAAATTAGATACATTTTCAATATACCTTTGCCTTTTTTCAACAGCATTTTCAGGATTAAGACTGATTGCATCATATGTACCTTTATCGAAAGCAATATCAAAACCAGAAATATCTAAATTTCCAACTAGATCTAATACCTTAAAAAAAAAAAATAAATAAATAAATAAATAAATAAAATCTATATGTGCAAATGAAAAGAATAAATAATTACTACTAACAATATTATTACAAATTTTATACATATAAAAAAAATAAAAGAATAATTGTGATCCGCAATTACAATTACTATTTGAGTCAAAATAATTACAATTGCGAACCGATACTATTTTATGTAATTGTAATTTTTATGTTTTATTGTAAATTTTATGTAAGTAGTAAAGCTATATACTTTACTGAAGAAGTAACAATAACTTAATTATAAGTAATTAGTTTGTCCTACTGTAAAATATTCCTTCAGATTAAGAAATATGAATCAGTTATTTGTAAACTTTTGTAAATACACTAATGCATGCATAGAGATCTATTGGGCTGGAACAGAAGATCAAGGATCCTTATTCGTTGTTCTACCCATCACTCCAGAATGCTGGAAAAGGGAAACATACTACCATATATATATATATATATATATATATATATATATATATATATAATGTAATAACGGAAGACGCAATTAAATACCATAGATGTAAATTATTTACTCTCTAACTCTGTAAAAATAATTATAATTACTGTGAAGGTAACAGGATATGCAAGAGAAGGCAGAGATGGAGTTGTGGCACGGTTCAATATGGGGAATCCTTGCTAGGGCATGTCAGATAACTAAGATTTATATTTTTTTTTTTGTCAAATTTAATTCATTAATTGATGTACCCAATAAATGCAAAACTAATATTAGCATTAAAATGAAACAGAAACAAAAATTGTATTACCATATATGCATGGAATAAAAATTTAATTTTTAAAACAGGAGTGCATCTTTAATTTGAAATTAAAAGATTTATATATTTGAAGGCTTTTAAATATAATACTAAGTCAATTTATCACAAGGGCTTATATTTATTTGTATGACTTAAATACGTAGAAAATATTGCACGAAGAAAATTACCTGTTTCAAATTGTCATCTTTATTTTATTTATTAAATCTCCTACTAACACAAGAAAAATCAGTTATATAATACTCCCTAAACACCAACCAATACTATATGAAGGTGACCTGATGTTCTGCTTTTGGTGAGACAGTTTTGATTTCCGGAAAGAATGCATGACAAGCTAGGGAACAGCAGTAGAATATACGGTTTTCGGCAGTCACGTGGCCATTTTGCAGGATATGAGTTTTATATTATTTTTGTTAAGTTTTTGATGTAAATCTTTAATAATACAGGATAATTTGAGGTAAAAATTATTGTTTAGGTTTTTAAAAAATAAAATGGATATTGCTACTTATCATAGTTTATGTCAAACTAAAAATCCATTGAAAAGATAAATGAAGGAAAATAGTTCTCTGAGATCTCATGGACACCTCAAATAATGGAGAAAATAAATTTTTTGATATTGTCAACAAACACATTTTGCTGAAATGCTTTAATTTACTTGGTTTTTAATATTGCTGTAACTTTGATGATACTGCTATATTGTACCGATCCCGTTGGTCTCGACTAGTACAATACTGAGTTAATATTAATTCACAGATAGAAGGGTGTTATTGCTTAACTGAAGAGATATTATCCTGTAGATTGAATTAATTACTTATTAAGTAAACAGTATTGCCATTAGTATAGAAGTCCACCAATTGTTTGTGTCAAATAGACTTTCTTGATAATAACATATTCTTTAAACAAATAAAAGTGTTTTCCTAATATTGTTTATATTTATAATATATTAGAAAGAAGGATAGATAAATAACAGGAGAGTTCTCGCAAAGTTATACTAGAATACATAATAATTCGAAAGTTTAACAAATTTTCTACAAAGTGAAAAAAAATATCATTAAAAATAGACTATTGTTAGCCAAGATACAGGTCTTCGAGCTTTTTTACTCTTGTTTTGGTTTATTATTTTCAATAACAAACCTGAGGTATTGACCAAGGAAAAAAAATGTTTTCACTTATTTCCATATATTACCATTATTATATCGGTCTTTGACCGATATACTATTATAATTATTTGCTTAGGTCAACTAGTATTTAAACATACAAGAAAAAAAATACCTTAAAATTGATGTTGTGTATGTCATGGGAAAGAGCTACTGATTTTGATAGTTCCACAGCTTCAGAGCAATAATCAATTCCTGTCAAGTTAGTAAATCCACTTCTGCTCTACACTTATAAGAAAAACTTTAAAAGTGATCAAAATGTATTTTATTTTCCAAAAACCATACTATTTATATGTATTTTCACTAATGCACCCATATATTTTTTGTAAACTATTTTAAAAGTTGCTGAGGCATACTGATTCAACAATAACAGGATTAAAAAGCATAAGCAAAAGAGGTTTTATAAAATTAATTTATTATTGTTTAAACAAAAGGTAGATATACAAATATACTATATTTTATCATTAAAAAGTTCATGATATTTATTTATTTTTTTAGTTGGAAAGTTTAACTAATTTAATATAAGGTCGGCAATGAAAACTTGCATTATTATATGCCAGTGTTATATTTCACATAATATACCTAATTCTGCCATAAATAGTGTTACAAAAGTTGAATTTTGTTTACATCCTTGGGTATTATTTAGATAATCCTTACCTCTATCAGTTTTTTTTTCTTTATATCTCAGGATAGTATAGTCTGGATAGTAATCCCAATTAGTTTGTATTTTTCTTTCGCTCAGTTAACACAGAGTGGGGTGATAAAGAAAACCGAACAGCTGTGCTCGCCTTACACAAAGTTGGAAAATGTAGGTCAGAGATTTTCAACACTTTGAAACCTTTGGGTATCAGCTGTATGTTCTTGTACTGCACTATAAATAGATATAATGAGACCCTATCTTTATGTGACAGACCTCGCCTGGGCCGTCCTCACACTATGAAAACGGCAAATGCAGTGAGAGCAATGGCTGCTCAAATCAGAAGAAATCCCATTCAAAAACAACTAATCATATCTCGGAAAATGGGAATCTCTGTCAGATCAATGTCTTGCATAATAAAAAGTGACCTTAGGATGAGTCCATTTTGAAGAATGACAGGGCAAAGGCTAACCACTTCGCTAAAAAAAATTAGAGTGAATAGATGCAAAGTGCTCCAAATTGGCCGTTACACTAATGGTGTTCATCGAAAGATTTTTTTTGCGATGAGAAAATGTTTACAATTGATAACAAATTTAATTGCCAAAATGATGGTGTGTACGCACATAGCTCTAAATAAGCCCAGGAAATCATTGGAAAAGTGGAAAGAGGTCATCACCCTTTATCAGTGATGGTTTGCTTTGACAGCACCACAAAGCTCTATTTTTGTGAAAAGGAGTTAAAACAGCCACTAAAAACTATCAGAACAATATTTTGAAACCTGTCAAGTCTCTAAATGAACTCTGTTTGTTGGAAGTCATTGGATTTTCCAGCAGGATTCCGCTTCAGCTCACAAGGCCAGGTCAACTCAGCAGAGGCTACAAAAGAAAACTCCAGAGTTCATCTCTGCCTCGGATTGGCCCACAGGAAAAGCCCTGATCTCAACCCACTAGATTATCAGCTTTGGTCTAAATTGAAAAGGATGGCATGACACAGAGCACACCCTAACTTGGAAAGCCTCAAACAATCTCTGGTCTGAGCAGTTGAGTGCTGCTCCGGATGACTGGCCACGGAGATTAAATGCCTGTTTCAAGGCAAAAGGAGGACATTTTGATTAATTTATTTTTTGTCTTACTCTCTACAGATATTCATTTTATTTTCTAATAAAGTTTTTGAAAAAAATAATTTTTCTGTTGAAATCGGTACGTATTTCCTTGTAACAATATTTATGACAGGACTAGGTACTTGCTAACATTTTGGGATTCTATCCCATTCTCAGAGCTTTTATTCTTTCATTATAATTCCAAATCCCTTCACTTCCATTAATCCCTGTCCAGCACTCCAAATTCCAAAGCCAAGTGGGCTATCCTCCGTAAATTTTCTTAAGGCAAACCCAACCAGACCCAGTCTGACCTTATCTCAGCTGAAGTACTCAACAATGACTTTATCTTCTCTCCCTCTCATTTCTCTTTTCTAGTGCCAACTCCGACCCCCATTCTTCCCTCCTTTAATCCCATTTTTTTCTTCTTTTCTCATATTACTCCAGATGACCTCCTTAATTCCATTTGTAAATCCCAAACCAATGATTTTGGACCCAACAACATCCCGGTTAAATTGATTAAATCCTCACTCCCACCATTCTCCCTGTCCTTAATCATATTTAGAATTTTTCATTGCAAAGTTCCACTTTTCCCAACTCCTGAAAAACTGCTCTTGTTCGTCCACTGAATAAAACTTCCAATCCTGCAACCCCTAATGATTTCCGCCCAATTTCCCTATTATCTAACCTTATCAAATCTCTAGAACAATTAGTTCAATCCCAATCATCCCACTATTTCGAACAAAATAACCTTCTTAACTACCACCAATCCGGTTTTAGACCTGACTACTCCACCCATTCCGCCCTCATTAAAATCTCCCAAGATCTCCATACAGCTATAGACCAACAGAAACTCACCATCCTTATTCTCCTTGAATTTTCCAAAGCCTTTGACTCAATAGATCACAATATACTCCTTACCAAACTTAAAAACATCTTGAAGAGAAGAATAGTTAGGGTGGTCAGTCAAAAAAGAAGGCAAAAATAAATATTATCATTTATTTTTGCCTTCTTTTTTGACTGACCACCCCAACTATTTTTCTCTTCATTATCCACGACAGTCAACCATTTACCAATTTTAAAAACATCTTGTCTTGTAGTGTCCTTAAATGGTTCCATTCCTTCCTTACCGGTCGCTCCCAGTATATTGTAGTCCCTAATGATCCCTCATCTAAGTCTCTATCCTTGTCCAGAAGTGTTCCCCAGGGGTCCTCCTTATCTCTCACCCTTTTTTCCATCTAAATCAATGATCTTCCGTTCCTCTATCCTGTACTGTCAATACCAACTGTATGTCGATGATGTCCAAATATACCTTTCCTTCGATCCGGCTGATTCCTTGCTACCTTTCTATGCGAGGCCATTAGAAATCAGCGACCCTCTTATATTCTTCAGAACCTACAATTCAATCCCGTCCCACATCCCGTACTTCTGACCTCTATACCCCTCCATTTTCCTTTGTTTAATCTATATATAATGTTAAGACCAGACAAGCCCAAAAGACAAAAAAGTATAACGTTGGTGGTCTAAGATCAGAATCAACTCAGGAAGGTTTCGCTAAGGCCATTGAAGACAACCTTCGAGAAGTGGAGATAGATGAAACTAGTGCTATAGATTTTAAATGGGACGAATATAGTAAGGTAATCAAGCAGGTGGCTGAGGATATCCTCGGAGAGCAAGTGAGAGAATCTAGAACCCAGTGGCTCGATGAGGAGTGTAAGGTAGCTACCGAAAGAAGAATTTGGCGTATAAAAGATTGCTCTAGAGAGGAAGCACGGGAGCCTCTCTCGAAGAGTACCGCCGACAGAGGAGGGAAGAAAAACGTCTCCATCAAAAGAAGAGGAAATGGAAGAATGATAAAATTGCGTCAGTAGAAAGCCTCAAGTTTGATAATCAGATCAGAAAATTCTATCAGGAAGTTAATACAGGAAGGAAACAATTCAAGGCAAGGCTTACTGCCTGCAGAGCCGAGGATGGATCCCTTCTAACTGAATCATGTAAAATATTGGCTAGATGGAAACAGTATTTTGATGACCTTCTGAATGGCAATCATGAAGTAGAAGGATCGGTAGAAGGCACTGGAACCTCTATTAAACTCGGACAGCAGATGATGAGCTTGAACCTCTCCCCCCCTCCCCCCCGATGACGATGAGATCACTGATGCTATCGAAAGGCTAAAAAACAATAAAGCACCAGGCCATGATGACATACCAGGCGATCTATTTAAGTATGGGGGAGACACCCTTAGGAAAGTGGTACATGAACTGATCTAATCTGTCTGGCTGGAAGAATCGCTGCCTGTATCCTGGTAAAGAAATATTATCTGCCCTATTCACAAAAAGGGCTATCAGCTGGTCTGCAATAATTACAGAGGGATCTCTCTCCTCCCAACTGTGTACAAGGTCTTTTCGCTCCTCTTGTTGTCTCCCATTCAATGAGACAGTAATTGGTGACTACCAGTGCAGTTTCCATCAGGGTAGATCTAGGACGGACCAGATCTTCTCCCTCAGAATGATTCTCGAGAAAGGAAGAGAGTATTCACTGCCAACACATCACCTATTCATCGATTTTAAGGCGGCCTATGACAGCATTAACAGGGAACAACTCTATAATGCGATGGCTGAACTGAAGTTCCCTAAAAAAGTAATCCGCCTAGCTCGACTCACAATCCAGACTGGGGTGTCAGAGGAGTTCTATACAATAAAGGGAGACTCGGCCTGCCTCCTGTTCAATGGGATGGGACCATCTATAACAAGTCTATACATATCCTGCCATACGCAGACGATATTGATATCATCGGGAGATCACTTCGCAGCGTGAAGGATGCTTTTCTCTCGAACAATCTGCGGGGAAGATGGGACTTTCTATAAATGAGAGCAAAACCAAGTATATGGTTGCTAGCATAAATGCACCACATTCACAAATCTCGATCAGTGACTATACAATCAAAATGGTCCAACGATTTGTTTATCTGGACTCCCAAGTAAATGCCGACAACGATGTATCAGAGGAAATATGTAAGAGGATCCTGCAAATAAATGTTATTTTGGCCTGCAGTGGTATCTAAGCAATCGCTTAATCTCCAGAAAAACAAAAGCGGCTCTGTCCAAGACGCTGATTCGTCCTGTTCTTACATATGGAGCGGAAATGTGGAACTTCTCCAAAACAGACAAAAACAAAAGCTATTGGTATTTGAAAGAAAAGTACTACGTCGCATTTATGGACCAGTACGCTCAGAAAACGGCTGGAGAAGGCAGAGTAATGCAGAATTGGCCACCATACATAACGATATGGATGTGGTCCGGTTCATTAGAATACATCATTTAAAATAGTCAGATGGATAGACAGAATGGATGAGAATAGCCCAACCAGTAAAATTATGCTGACGCGTCCAGAAAGAAAAAGAAGAGTTGGAAGATCTAGATTGCGATGGATGCATGGGGTCGATGCGGATGGTAGAGCTCTTCTTGGACTGGCTAATTGGAGGAGAGCTGAAAGAGAGAGAGACCAGTGGGTGAAACTAATTGATGAGGCCAAGACTCAGCGATGAGTTGTAGTGCCCATGATGAAGAAGTCTATATATGCATATGTATATTTTTTTTTCTTCCTATATTTTTATTTTTAATTAGATATTATTTTGTAAATATTTAATTTAATGTACAGCAACATAGGCATTTTCTCATTATTTACACTTTGTTCTAAAGGGACAACAGTCCCAGGATAATAAAAATATTTTCATTTCATTTAATATAATTCAATTTCACTTTGATATGTATGCTCCATTAGTCAGATTTAAGATTTACAATTTATTCATACCTTATAGCTGGGGCAACACATTACTTAACTAACAATTGGTTAGCTTAAGTGGATTGCTTAAGAGCTAATCCACAATCATGGAATAACACTGGTAGTAACTAAGATGTCTTTATTTGCAATATTACAGAAATTTACCTGTTCAATTTCTAATTAATTGCCAATAGCAAAAATAACATTTAAAACTAAATTCAGAAAATATTTTAGAAAATACATGAGTTTAAACCATAACTTAATTTTATTATTTTAAATCATTCTACCATATTCAGTAAGTTGTATTGTACATTAGTCGTTTAAATCTGTTTAGTGATGTAAGGTGGATTAAAATAGTAAGTTCTGAGGCCCGTTTCCAAATCAATTTGGACATTTGTCAACTACTGTCCTTACTAGTCTCAAATTTGAGAGAACTCATGACCTAGACGTATTTTGGTGGAATAGCCCAGCAACTTTTAAGTAGTTTTAAAACATAAATAAAATAGCTTACACTAATTAGATTAAAGTATATAATATAACTAACTACCAATGAAACCAGCATCATTCCATTGCCACAGCCTAAGTCCACTATTTCTTTATTTTTGGATATTTTCTTTTTTTCTAACCATCTGAAATAGTAATAAAGATTGATATATATAAAATAAAAATTTTAAAAATATCATTCAAAATATGTAACAAAAAACAAGTTGAAGAGGAAACCTTATCAATACCTGAAGAGGTTAATTTTAAGAAATAATCAGTCAAAATCAGAGAAGTAGGGTACACTTTACAAAATGGTTTTTCTTTTAAATATAAAAATGAGAAGGAGTTGATCGGGGGGTGCGGTCAAATAAATACTAAATAATAGAAATAGTATTATCTAATTTTTTGCCAATGTTTTGAGCCACTTTGCAGGTCTTCATCAGGGCGTAGGATGCAGTACTGCGGGAGGCAGTTGACTATTATTTAATTTTTTGCCAATGTTTCGACCCACTTTGCAGGTCTTCATCAGGGCATAGGATGTAGCACTGCGGGAGGCAGTTGATAACCCCCTGATCAACTCCTCATATTATATCACAGTCAACCATCTCTACATCATCATAAACATAAAAATATTTAAAAATGACAATTAAATTAGAGTTTTAAGTAATCAAATCAAATCGTTTTGTTTTTATGTAATGTACATTTAAAAAAAACTTGCATTGTTATATTATGTATTTATTTTTTGTTTTCACTGAATATTTCACTGTACATTAATTTATACTTCAAATTTTCGATTATATTAACTATTATGTGTTATATTACACTGATATGTTTATAAGTTTAAATTGTCTTAAGTGTAACAGGGTCTATCCCATATACCTAAATAAATTAATATTAATTCATAAGAATTGAGACAGAAGATCTGAATTGAAGAAAATCAGAGATTATGATATGGAGCGGGATTGCATAGCATGATAGAGGAAGAATACCAGGAAACAAATAAATTAAAATATACCGCAAGATCCTTTCTTCGCTCTCTTCACCGAACCAAATTTCACCTGGGTCCCCATAGTTTTTAAAATTATCTTTTTCATTTTCATATACTGTTGACCAACTGAAAAAAAAAATTGCCAAATAGAATAATAGAACAAAAATAATACTATTTACTATTACTATTACTATTAAAGGCCTTGTAGATCTTTTGCCACCACTATAAAGTGGGTACTCTTAATTTTCTAATTAATTAAGGAGGAAAATCTGGTAATTGAGCATAATCTCAGTCAAATCACCTCCTTGCACAACTGTTGACCAAGGAACAGTACTTTCTTACACACATAGGACTGAACCCTAGACCCTTCATGGTTGTACTGATACTGGTTTCTTTTTTTTTCTTCTTCAAAGAACTATCTGATATCAAAGGTATTAAACTATATATCTAAATTGATACATTTTAATTTTAGCTAAAAATAATTATAATATTTACAAATCATTCTATAAAACTTTGTTCATAAATATGCATCTGTCAAAGAGAAACAGATCACTAATCAAGGATTGAATTACAAGAGTGTAAATTAAATGTTGGACTTAATGAAGTTATGGCAATCCCTTTAACCAAGGCTGACACAAAGTATGGGCCTAGCCGAACATTCTCTCCACCACTAATTTTCTTTCATATTAATAAAGCTAATTAAACCTAGATACGGACAAAACTAAAGACAACTTAGTTTTGAGTTTTTTCTTTTCTAGCGGTGCTTCAATTTTTATGATTCAATCATCCCACACATTACAAAAACTAAAAATAATTGAATTGTATAAACTTTTTTTGGCGTACATGGGGAGAAATACTGCTTTAAATCTAGAGAACAAAGAAAATTTCAATATCTGTTAAAGTAAATTACTAATACCAAAATAAATCATCTAAGGATTGAAGGATCATAACAAATATCATAATTTCCTCATTCCCGGTAGATTTAAATATCTAACAGACTAAATACTTAGTTTACCTACTTGATATTATTGAACTTTTCAAATTTATTGTAATTTGTAATTTAAAAAAATTAATTAATCAATTAAAATAATAAAAAATAAATAAACGGCATTTATTATCAGTTCCTTACCAGCAATCTCAGCTTCAGACACTAGGGAACTTCAGAAATTAGGCCTTTTTGCAAAATTAATGATGGGGAATGTAATAGTGTATCAGAAAAATTAGAGATAATCAACAAAAAAATTAAAATTTTCACACATATATTACTGATCAATCACTAAATTAAACAGAGAGGGTTATTTCCTCATCACAGCAAAATACTAAAATTTAAAAAAAAAAATAGTATGAGTTATTAAAAAAATATGGAAGTTTATATTTTTAACATTATTTACTAAAAGATTTATTTAAATATTTAATTTTCCTAACACTAATTACACTTGTGTGAAAATAACCACGGAGTATTTAATTTGTTGCAGCTTTGGTTATATAGTTGAGTTTTAGCAGCTAAACTATGCTCGTTATAACAAAGCCCATAGTATTATTCGATTCATTTATTTACTTGATTTATGAAAAAAACGACTCCTATTGTAATGAATATTCTCATTAAATTTAATTAAGGTACTTTATTTTGCAAGTATTGTTCTAATTTGATGGGTGGGATTAAAACCTCATGATCACACTATAAATGAAATTACGAGAATGGCTGACTGTAGACATGTAATAGAACAATCTCACGATTACACTATAAATGGAATTTGAAAATGAAGGAATATTGACAATCTGTTGATACATATAACCTCCCTTTATTTATATCGAGATTAATGCCTTCCGCAAGCTACGAGCAGGTTCTCTTTAGATAAAATTGGGGCCTCAATTAAATCGCTGTTTCTTCTAATCACTCAGTACCTTCTTGTTTCTGATCCCTAAAAAGGTAAAATAAACCCCCCAATGGGTCCTTTTCTGTTGAGGTCAGAGCCTTACCAGATGGTTCTACCCGCCTGTCTTCTACATTCTGCCATTCTCGGAATTTCATTTCTGGTGTGTTCTTATCTTGTGACCACCCATCAAGATGGAGCAAAATTTGTAAATAATAAGAGTATTGTTATTAACAAAATTAGAATTAATTAATAGGAATACTTTTTTGTTTTTGTTGTAATAGAATAAGAAATAAAAGCAGCTGTTTGAGGTAGACAGATATTTATACTCATTTAAAAGTCAAGGATAATGATTAAGTGTTAAATAATGAAAATCATTCAAAAAGATTAACTGGAAACTGGAACCTTAGCTCCATTAGAGTAACATCACTGTTAGCTGGTTTAATAGATTATGGTAATACCATTGTTTAAGGTGAAAATACTGCAAAGATATGGCATCACATGCTTCAGCCTTGTTAAGATATTATAATAAAATCTACGTGAAAGCAGTGTTTTCAGATAGCTTCCAGCACTTTTTTAAATTTAGAACATGACAATGAGAAGTCTTTACTGTTAATTATACAATAATTGTATCGATCACATAATTATAAATGCCCAACCTACTATTCTTTTGTTCCAAGTTCTGATGGGACTAGATCTCCCTGGTTATCAAAATTTGCTTCCATTGCAAGAATAACTACAAACAAAATTACCACCTAGAATAATATCAAAACATACTTATACGTATGCATAAAGTTTTAAAATTTAAATCAACAAGTTGCTGAGGACGATCTAGAACGAATCACTCGTTCCATTCCAGGGGACGACAAAATCCCTCATCAATACAAAATGCCTTAAGTTGAAACCAGCGCTATATCTGCCATCAAAGGAGAACTAAACTAAGGTCAACTAGGAGTTACTCTCTATTCAGTGTCACTGTCGACGAAACATAGTTTCATTTTTACGAAACGGGTTTGTTTCATTTCATTGCCCATACAATGTTTTTGTATCGGTAAATTCATAAAAACATATATGAAAGTTCACCTATATCAAAAATGCACTTAGTGACTTTTTGCAGTACTGAGGATATATCAAGAATTTCCTCTGGTAAGGGAATCAATAATTAACTATGTTTAATGGAGGGAATCCCAGGGCTTCCCCCGGCTACTGGGCGGGTCCACAGGTTGGCGGATAGTGGAACGGCCTGCAGATATGCAGGTTAACTGCGAATAAGGGTCACCATATAAGCATTCCTGGTTCACGGGGGGACAGCATCAGCAGGAGTGGGCGTCTGGCCATTGGCAAGGCCAGGTGCATTAAAATACCACATAAGCCAATGACGATGCTGTGACGTGGTGAGTAAGTGCCACCACTAAATATGCACTGCCTTGTACGGTTTGGGAGGGAACCTCAAAGGCTAGGTGAAGGGACTCCGAAAATAAACTAGGGGTGGTCTGGACTCTAAGCTATGGTGAAAGCAACCAGACTAGGGAACGGAAACCTCAAAATCAAATGTCCCGGTCCTCCAGGTTGGGGGGTTGGGCGTGGGGTAGGGTCCAACAACCCTACCTTGTAAAAAACAAACCCGTTATGAAACCTATAAATAGCAAGCTGGATGGAAATAAAGGCAAAAGACAAAGGAACTCGGATTTGGATTTAAATGTCGCTACATGGAATGTCCGTACGATGCTCCAGCCTGAAAATATGGCAGAGGTAGCGGAGCAGATATTAAAGTATAAAATAGACGTTGTGGCTTTACAAGAAATTCGATGGAACGGAGAGGGCAGAATTGATAAGAAGGATTATACGGTGATGTTTAGTTGTGAGAAGGTCAAGAAGGGAAGAAATGGTACTGGATTCATTGTGGCAGGAAAAGCAAGACGGAGTGTACTATCATTTGAGCCTGTAAATGCAAGGATCTGCAAAATGAGACTGAGGGGAAGATTTAGGAATGTCACCTTAATATCTGTGTATGCGCCAACTGAGGACATTGAGGACAAGATAAAACTCGACTTCTATCAGGATCTTGAGAGGACTTTTTTAGCAACTCCACGTTATGATATGAAAATTGTTTTGGTGATCTGAATGCACAAATAGGAAAAGAAAGTTTTGTTGGTGCAGTATCTGGTCGATTCACGATTCATAGTGAGACAAATAATAATGGAAAGCTTCTTTGTCAGTTTGCGGAAGCCAATAATATGGTCATAAGGAGCACTACGTTCGAACACAGAAATATACATTTAGGAACATGGAAATCCCCAAACAGAGCAATTACACAGATTGATAATGTATTTGTTCAGAAAAGGCATGCAACGCCAATTATTGATGTCAGAGCAGCGAGGGGACCAAACTGTGACTCCGATCATTATATGCTTAAATTGAAGCTTAGACAGCGTCTTGCAGTGATAAGAACTGATCAACGGCACTGTTGGAAAAGGTGGGAGATTGATAAGCTGAAAGACCCTGAGATTGCTGAGAGATTTAAAACATCACTAAATAGGAATCTGATAGACAGTCAGGACGATGAGGAGGAAGAATGGGGGCGGGGTGGCCGAATAGGCTAAAGCGTGTGCACAACACCGCTAGTTGCCTGGCAACCGGATAACAGAGATTTGAGATGATATAAAAAGTACGAGTTCGCGTCCCGGTGCCGGAGGGGATTTTAAATTCCCCGCCCTCTCCCCTCGGCCCGGGAAAATCCCGTATAGCCTAAAAGGCGAGGTAGGAAAGAACAAAAAAAAAAAAAAAAAAAAAAAAAAAAAAAATGACCAGATGCAAAGATAAAAATGGCGTGGTAGTAGAGAGCTCCCGAGTTCTAGGTAGATTGGAAGAGCACTACACAGAATTGCTCAACTCTGGTGGTGGTGAATGTATGGTTGGTAGTGATGAGGAGGGGTGTATTGATGACCTGGAGCCATTGTCTATAGAAGAGGTGGCTGAGGCGATTGAAAAATTAAAAAATAACAAAGCACCTTGGGAGGATATGCTGGTCGCGGAATTCTTTAAGTATGGAGGAGAACAATTGATAAGCCAAATGTATTTACTGTTAGAGGAAGTTTGGAGTGGTGAAATCATGCCTCAGGAGTGGTCCATCAGTCAGTGTTGGGCATTTACTCGAGTAAATGTCGAGCAGTGACGTCACGAGTGATCACTCTTGGAAGCTTAGCCATGAGTAATTTTGAAAATTACTCGTGAAACATTTTTCCTTCATGAGTAAATCACTCGTGAAAAATGTTATCTCCATGAGTAAATTACTCATGAAAAATTTTAACGCCATGAGTAATTTTGAAAAAAAAAAATGTTTTTATTTTATTTAACCTAATTTTTTTTTCACCTTTCCGATTTATTCGATATCGGGGTCGTCGTATATATTTTGAGGGGCGCTTTTTATGGAAATGTTATCCAATTTGAGATTGGGCCCCCCGGGCCTCGACTTTTTTTAACTTTTCGGATTAAATCGATATCAGGGTCGACTTATAGGTTTTGGGGGGCTCTTTTTATGAAAATGATATCGAATTTGGGATTGGGCCCCCCGGGCCTCGACATTTTTTAACTTTTGGGATTAAATCGATATCAGGGTCGACTTATAGGTTTTGGGGGGCTCTTTTTTATGAAAATGATATCCAATTTTAGATTGGGCCCCCCCGTCCCAGTTTTTTTTTAACTTTTGGGATTAAATCGATATCAGGGTCGACTCTTCTGTTTTGAGGAGCGCTTTTTATGAAAATGATATCCAATTTGAGATTGGGCTCCCCCGCCCCAGTTTTTTTTTTAACTTTTGGGATTAAATCGATATCAGGGTCGACTTATAGGTTTTGGGGGGCGCTCCTTACGCCCAAGTTGGTAAGGAGGTGGCACTCATGCCGACCATAGGAACCCACAGCTTGCATGAGACCAGTAATGATAATGGGCTACGGATGGTGAACTTTGCTACATTGCACGGACTGGTTGTTGGAACAACTCTTTTTCCTCGAAAGAATATCCACAAAGCAACATGGACCTCTCCAAATGGGCAAACAATATCACAGATAGACCATGTACTCATTAGTGTCCGTCACAAGTCCAACATGATAAATGCAAGATCTTATAGAGGTGCAAATATGGACACGGATCACTATTTGAGCATTGCCGAGGTCAGATCACGAATTTCGCTGATTAAAAACCACGACCAACGACCAAAGAAGAAGATTGATGTAGCTAAACTTAAGGACTCCGACCACCAATATTCGTATCAACAAGATGTGGAGACGAAACTTAATGAAGAAGTAATTAATGACAGCTCTATGGTCGATGAACAGTGGAAGAGATGCAGCAACGCAATGAAACAGGCAGCAGAAGAATCTCTTGGCTACGAGACTAAATCTAGAAGGCCCCCATGGTTTGATGTTAAGTGCCTTCAAGCAGTAAAAGTGAAAAATGAAGCCTACAGAAAGAAGGTTCAGCGTCCCACAAGGCTCTCCCAAGAAACATATCGAAGAAAAAGACGCGAAGAGAAGAGATTATTCCGCGGAAAGAGAAGAGCTTGGGAAAATAAGAACATGGAGGACACAGAGGCATTGCGCTGCCAAAATGAAAGTCGGCTGTTCTTTCAGAGAATAAACGAGGGTAGGGCAGCTTTCAGGCCCAGAGTGACGGCATGCAAAGACACGAATGGAACTCTTTTAAGCCACAAAGATGACGTACTAAGGAGATGGGTACAACATTTCAAAGACGCATTAAACAGAGGAACGGTGCCTGGAGAAGTAGGAGTAATGAAGGAAGACTCCCTGAATTCTATTGAACCCCGGATGAGGAGGAAATGGAAAACGCCCTGATGAAATTGAAAAATGGAAAGGCGCCAGGCCCGGACGAAATCCAGTCAGAGCTGTTGAAATGTGGAGGTGAAGAACTCAAGAAAGCTCTGCATGATTTAATGCTGACCATCTGGGAGAGAGAAGCTATGCCTACGGAATGGGCAACAGCCATTATCTGCCCAATACATAAGAAAGGAGATCAAACAGAATGCGCTAACTATCGAGGAATCTCACTCCTTTCGTGTGCTTATAAGCTGCTCTCTAACATTCTTTTTGAGAGGATCCTCCCGTATTCTGAAAAGGAACTGGGGAAATATCAGGCTGGATTTCGAAGAGGACGCTCAACCACTGATCAACTGTTCTCTCTGAGGATGATCCTAGAAAAGACTATGGAGCGTAAGGTAGTCACCCACCATTTATTCCTAGACTTTAAAGCAGCATACGACAGCGTTGATAGAACGCAACTATACTGTGCCTTGGAGGAGCTAAGCATCCCTCAGAAGCTCGTACGCCTAATCAAGATGACCATGGACAGCTCGAGATGTAGAATAAGCGTCGGTTCTGACGAATCCGAAGAGATTAAAGTGAGCAGTGGGGTTAGGCAAGGGGATGCCCTCGCCTGTCTATTGTTCAACTTGGCAGAGGAGAAAGCTGTAAGAGACTCCGGTATTCAGACCAAAGATATAATCTTCAATCGCCTGACATAGCTTCTTGGTTTTGCTGATGATATTGACATAATAGGTAGGTCTGAACGGGCTCTCAGAAAAGCGTTTATAGGCCTTGAAGCAGCTGCAAGACCACTTGGTCTAGAAGTCAACGAGAGGAAAACTAAGTATATGAGAGTTGGTGGTGAGGTGGATCTGAACTCTCCATTTGAGGTAGGTTCCTTTAAGTTTGAGAGAGTGAAAAGTTTTATATTCCTTGGGTCTGAAATTAATAGCAAAAATGACATGGCTCAAGAAATACAAAGAAGGATCACGGCTGCCAATAGATGTGTCTTTGGGCTTGGCCGACACTTAAGAAGTAGGTACCTCTCAAAGAAGACCAAGCTTATATATATCATATACAAGACCATTGTTCGGCCTGTTTTGACATATGGCTCAGAGGCTTGGACGATGACTAAAAACGATGAGATGAAGCTGAGTGTGTTTGAGCGAGGAGTTCTCAGAAGGATTTATGGTCCAGTAAAGGATGGTGATGTCTGGAGGAAAAGAAAAAATAGAGAGCTCAGTTCTCTCTATACAGACATCGACGTATATTACACTGGCCAGAATAAGGTGGGCAGGGCAGGTGGCCAGAATGAGCACCGTTGAAATACCAAAGAAAATAATGATGGAGGAGCTGCACCTCGTAAGATGGGTAGGAAGGCCGAGGACGAGATGGTTGGACAACGTGGCCTATGATGCGAGAACCCTGCTTGGTGTACGGAACTGGAGAGCTGCAGCAGAAGACAGAGCCAACTGGCGGAGGCTCTTGGAGGAGGCCCAGTCTCGGTAACGGGATGTCGTGCCACATGATGATGGCCGAGCGGACTTTAATATTCTTGAGTTTAGCGACATACGTTCAAAATTTATTTAGCAACGGACACACGGAATAAATTTCTTTCTTCCTACTCAGCATATAATAGGTTTGGTTGTATTTCAAGACCCCCCTCCCTCCCCGGATGACATGAATGGCGAGTTAAAGCGTAATCCAAAAAAGTTCTGGCTAAAATACATGATAAATATCGAATTATAGTTCATTAGATATGAATAAGGATGCAGGAAGAACCCAAATATAGGATAGGAGGAGGAAATATATATGGGTATATAGAAATTTAGGTCACTGGGCAATAGGATCAAATCACAGCTGAAAGCGGTTTGATAATTTTTTCTTATTATCTGACCTTATAGAAGTATATTTCTCATTCATGGTTTGGTAAAAGTTGTAATTATATGATCCAGTAAAAAACTGATTTTTCACTTCCTAGATCTGTCACAAACCAGAGGCACTAACATACTAGCATACATAGTTAACTATTTTACAAGACAGTTGCTAAATCAATGGCTATTGAAAAATGTTAACTGGCCAAAGACCCATTTTATGAGTGCCACGGGTGTTGATAATCATTCCCTAGAAATTTTTTTTAAAGTTACGCGAAATAAAGTAAAAAGGGAACTTTTTATGCTCCAAGTCCAGAAACAACAATGCTTCAATTTCTTCTCCTTTTTTCTTAACTAGATCTCTATCCGCTTTATAATAGAGAATAATCAGTATCGACACTGATTTTTGGCGCCCCCGGGCAATAAAGTTCTGTTCCTCCAAAATTAAATTTATTTCGTTTAATATGTCTGTAATTCATCTGCTTTATAAATAGACTAAAATTAATCATTCTCATCTCGCATCTTAATTTTTTTTTATTCCATACAAGTGGCAGAGACCTCTTGTAGGTCAGCGCTCTGCACCCTGAGAATAATTATTTCATTAAGTCTTGGAGTATTTATTTACAATTTCACTACCTAATGTATAAAATTTCCTATAATGGGAATATGTAAACTTTAAGAGGAGTTTTTAATACTAATATGAACCACAGATTTAGTTATGAAAAACATGGGGAAATCCTGAGGGTATATATTGCAGCAATAATAGACATCCAGGTTTTTAATATAATTAAAAATTCCGAAAAAATTCATCCAAAATTTCAAGCTTATCTCCTAACGAAAAGCAATATTGGAACTTTTCTGTAACTAACACCTGGCTTTGCTCAATTAAAAAAATCATCTGCCAATCAGTTATTATGACATCACTCGAGGTTCAGGCATCCCTCTTTAGGGTTCTAGATGTAAACCTACTTGTATTTGCACTCTCTATAGGTTGTATAATAAAGCTTATAATTTGTTAATTTACCTTAAGTCAATTTTAATCATACTTCATAAACTGAGTGAACTTTGGTAGTAATTTGTTTAAAATTATTTTGAATTAACTAATTTTCAAAAATCAAATAATTGTTTGTGCCCATTGAGGCTAAACTCTCTAGATGTCCCCAATTCTAAAGTAAGCTTACAAACAATTGCTAGAGCATTGCCAAGAGATGCAGTCAAAACTTTGTGATACTTCAGAAAGGCGGTCAATTTGTTATTTATTTCCTCTACATTGCAAACAAATCGGTCCAACTTAATAAAAATAAATAATACAATTATTTACCAATTATGTATAAAATTAAATTATTATAATCTGATGTTAATGTAGTCCATACTCTAAAAGAAAAGTAATTATATACATGTTTCAAAATGGCTTATCTTTCTGATTATTATGTATGCTCACAATAGTAACTTCCTAAAACCACTATAAAGATTGCAAAGAAGGAAAAAAATTGATGTTCATATGTGACTGAAATTATGACCCACAACAGACATTCATGGAAACAACATAATCATGTTTGAAAATGCATCCCAACACCATCTAATGGGGAGCGGGGTAGCTCAGTGGTAGGGCACTAAGTTTCTAATGCTCAAGGTCCCAGGTTCGAATCCCGGCTCATGACAGAAAAATTATTTATTCTGTTAGTGTGCATTCTTAACTAAATAATTGATTAAGGAGGAAAACCTGGCAGTTGAATGTGATCCTGGATAACTCTCCTCCCTGCACAACCGTTGTCCTTGTAACAGTACTTTTCCTAAATAATACAGAACCAGAGACCATTCATGGATCGCAGTGGTACAGGTTTTATAAGTAAATATTGATTTTGTTGGATGGTTCAATGTTCAATTACCTAATATACTAATAGGGTAAATGAAAAGAATTATTCCTAGGTTTTACCAATGAAATTAGGTCCATAAAAGTAGACATTTAATTTATTATAAACCTTTAGAATAGATTTCATACTATGACTAGAATTTATTATTAGGCTGTAGGGTAACACATCTTTCTTCTATTAATTGGAGTATATATACAGCTATGAATAAATAAAAGAAATAGGGTTCATAAAATTAATTTGTAAAATTCATAATATACAATTAATGTGATTTTTTTTGTAATATTTTTATTTTTACTAAAAGGAACTTAATACAGGAATATATATATATATATATGTATATAGGAACATCAAGTCTAAGTTTGGAGATAATAGGATTTCCAAAACATTCTTTCAAGAAAAATACTAAGAAATCATATTATCAGTCAACTGCAGACAATGAGGCCCACAGAAAATAATATAGGAAAGTTGAAGCAAATAATCTCCATGATTACAGAGGTCTTACATAGGTGATAATAAAGTCTCTAAAAAAACATAACAAATCGATAGCCATGTTACAAAAGCTTGTATATGCAAAAACTGAAATTATTTAAAGAACAAATAAACAGGATATTTTTGTATTTTATGAACTGTTTCCTCTATTCAATTTTTATTGCAGGCTTATGATGAATATGTAATGTTTTCAATAACATTTATGATTTCTATTTTTGAATAATTCTGAGGCTAAGATTGATCAGAAAAGCTCAAAACTGTACATATACACTTTTGCAGGGAGACTGTCGAAATGATAAAAAAAAAAAAAGTTTAAAACCATTTAGTAACAGGTATAAAAAAAAATCTTTTAATAAGTCAGGAATAACAGTAACAAATATATAATTAAATTACTGTTAATACATACTATTTTTCTTTGTAGCTTAATAATATATGGTGGTATTTATAAGGTTTCTCAAGACAAACAGAATATTTATAATAAAGGAACTAAACTATAAACATGCACAGTAAATGATAATGAACTTAAATAGCACTGATAAAAAGAACAATAATTAAATATTTTAATAAAAAATCTATTTCTAACCTAAGAAGTGAAGTATAAAAATGTAGTAAAGTACTTCTTTTTTTTAATGAGCGAAAGATGATTATAAAAAAAATTTATTTATAATCATTAAGAAAGAATAGTACAAAATATACATACATCTGGAACCTATAGTAGTTATTGATTTCATTCAATAACTATTACAGACGATTGAAGAAACTGTATTATGATAGTGTTAATTTCCAACTTTGTTATAAAGTTCTAATAGAGTATCAATAATTGTTCCAAGATTAGCATCTTTATATAATGCTGTGAACCAATCTTCTTTGGGTGCAACTTCTAAGCCATAAGACTGTAGTGTAATGTATAAACATGCCAGAGCTAAATCTTGAGGAGTAGCATCTAGAATTTGAGGGCTATGATGTAAGTCTTGCAAAAATGCAAGAGAACTCTGAGCAACAGGAACTCTTTCCCAGGAGTCTCGATCCAACCAGCCTTGAAGTGATTTAAGATAATGTAGTAAATACCTATGACACTCAGGAGGATCTACTTTGAATTTCAAGACCCTCATTACAAGAAGCTCTGCTTGAAGAAGTGCATCACGTCTCATCCAATATTCATCCTTCAAATCAAGAATACTTTTGTGAAGTGTGTAATGGGCAACATTTATTACATCTCTTAACTTATAGTCATCTGACATCTTTCCAGCGACGTACAAAGCTGTTGCCGCAATAAGATACTTGTCATAATGGGAAAAATCTACCTCCCTAAAAACAGTTATCTCTTAATAAAATCATATATAAATACATTTAGATTGTATAATATTATACAACACCGTATTTCAAACTAAAAAAAAAGAATAATACCTGTAAAACCTATGGTAGATGGTAGCTGCTGTTGCCAAAGTGAGGGGATTGCCTTTCAACTTATAACCACATTCAAATATAAATCTTGCACCATAAAAGTAGTCTTCCTCTAATTTGTAATCGATCCTACGGGACTTTAGTTGATTTTCTACTTTCATTTTATTGAATTCAAACAAAATTAGTAGTAGCCGACCATAAACAAAAGGTAATAGCGTGGTTATCTACAATGCTGGGTTTGTGTGGATGGCCTTGCTGATTTTCTTGTAAAGTTACGATTATTTAAAATAATAATAAACATATTTTTATATCGGTTATTGTAATTAAGAATAATGAAAATTTTGAGAATTTTATATTATTTCAGCTAATGATCAATATTTTTAAAAATCTTATCAGTTTTTAATATGGCTGTAGTGCTTGAGTGGCGGGAAATATACATTCTTCTTAATTGCTGTTTGCAATGAAGTGTCATTTTTGATTAGACGTTATTTTTTACTGTTAAGTTTTAAGCTATATTTGTTAATATAAAAAGTGTTAACAGGTAAGCTCAAAGTAAAAGTAAGAAAATTATAGTCATATGTTCCAATGTATATAAGTTATAGTTTATCACATAGTTATATTTATCATTGGTAGTTAGTATTACATTGCTTGGTAATAATGAAAAATGCTATGCCCTTATTCAAAATTATAAATTTGATTCAGAAATATCTTATTTCCTTAATGCCATGAATATGGAAGGTTCTAATAAAAAATTGAAAAATGAATTCAACAAATTAGATAACTGCCAGGCAAATGATTCTAATTTCCAACCGGGTTCGGATTATAAGCAATTGATTAAAGATATAAAAAAGTTTACCACTCTTATCCAAGAGAAAAAAGTCGAAGATGAGTTATTTAAAACAGTTTATAATATAGCACATCCTAGGTTTGTAAAAGAATTATGGGACACTGATGGTGACAATGTTAGTGAGTTATCACTCAACAGTGACACTAGTGCTGATGAGGCTTATTGGAAGGATTTGGAACGTATGTTGAAAATTTATTGCATTATAAACTATATTTCTTTATATCAATTAATGTCATATTTTCCACATCTTTGGTCAGAGTACAACTTTTTTTCCTTCATCATTCAATTCTTGTATAATAATGTTATGTTAATATAATAATGAATTTTTGTTATTTCATTTCCATTCGTTTTAGCCTTCAGCATAAAAGCTTATAAAAATTTTCAGTCTAATTTATTTTAGGCCTAATTAAAATAAAAATGCTATATTAGTTGGTTATTAGATAGCTGCGTTACAAAGTTTATTTGGCTAAACTTTACTTAATGTTATTTAGCTAAATAAAAACTGGTTAATTAAGAAGTCATTGTCTATTTCTGTCTTGGTTATAAAGGAATCTGTAATGGATTATAACCCTGAGTATTACAGAATAATGAAAGTTACAATACTATTCACACAATTTGGAATTGATATATATTATTAAAATATTTGGATGGGATTTACAAATTACTGTCTTAATTTTTGTTTTACAATTTATTGTTTAGTTGTAATGATTGTTTTGTTCTAACCATAGAAAAAATGGATGCTTTTCTGAAAAATAAAAAAATCAACAAAGAAGAAAAAACAGATTTGAAAACATCGAAAGACTCTAAACCAGAAGTTCCTAATAAACCATGGGTTGAAAAATATAGACCGAAGACTGTAGATGATGTTGTGGAGCAAACTGAAATTGTTTCTGTTCTTAAACAGGTATTTTAATATTATTATGAAGTTTGTATACTTAATGGATGCTTCTTATTCTGAATGAACAGGGTTTAGGAACTGGTTTAGTATGCTCAATTTTCTCTTTATAGAAAATTAATGAGTTGATCAGGACAGAAACTGTGGTTAGATTGAATATTCTGGGTCAAAAATACTCCAAAATTAGTATTTATAATTGGTAATGATATTAATCTGAAGGTTGGAGCAGTGCTGACCATTCTGTGCTCCAAGTATATCATCAGGTCAGGAATCGGTTTTTATTTTTTACCACCGGCTGACCTGTTTTTCTTGAAAAGTTGCAAGGATGATTAATCTTTATTACTAGTTAATTCCTAATTTCTAAATATAATCAGTGCTGGTCCAAGAAAATTGATCCTCGATAATTACCTTATGATTCCCCTCAAAAAACCTTATCTTAACCTGTTGTATATTACTTTGTAATTGAATAACATTTCATTCAATACATCTTAGATTCAGTTGTCATAATATTAAGCTAAATTAATTTTAATTCAATTTTCCAACTAGTGTTGAGCACCCTTCTAGAATATGTGGAGCAAACTAAAATTGTTTCTGTTCTCAAACAGGTATTTTAGTATTATTAACAGCAGATTTACCACAAAGTTCTAAAAAATTTATAGAAGTATCTCTTACTAATTTTATTTTTACTATTCAGAATTTATTAAAAGCATGCATGTCAAGGTTTATCCAATTAAACTGATATTGTTTAATCTTTAAAATACTTTTTATGATAGCCATGAAAAAAGGTGGTATAAAGTCAACGATATGGGGTAGCAGACATTTAACATAAGAAAATATGTAATATGAAGCAGAGCTTTATTTTTTCACCATCTTTAGAAAGCCATGGATCTAGTTCTAATCCAGATTTATGCCGTGGTTTTGTGAGAACTGATATACATTGCTATGTATAACAATAAATATTTATAAGAATTTTTAAAACATTACTTGGGCCAGATAAAAACGGGTAGGATATAAAACGAGAAATATGCAAATGTGAGATTAATACGACATTCGGATGGACAAAAGAAAAGATCTTATGGAAAGAGCATGTCCTGCCGCTTCTCAGTCAACAGAAGCCCACAAATGAAGAAGACATGGTCCATAATGAGAATCTTGACCCAAAAGAGGTAGAGAAAACAGATAAATAGGATATGAATATAGCTATCAAAAGACTCCAGGGATGAGCAACTAATCATTACCATTAGAGCTGTTTAAAGATGAGAGAGAAGACATAAAATCCAAGCTACAACTAATCTAGAAAACATGGGAAAAGGAAAGGATGTATCCATGTATGAATAGCAATTATGGATGCTATACACTCCTTCCTTTTGCCTAAAATATAATGTCTAATATTCTGTTGAACCTGATATATATCCATATTATGAAGATGTGATAGATGACGAACAAGTTTGATTCATTAGAGGAAGTAGCACACTAGACCAGATCTTCATCCTTATTTTTTTATTTCAAAGCAACCAATTATTCCATGGACAAATGTTGTCTATGAAAGATCAAACTGAGAGTTCTCAGGAAGTTGGTGAGATCGACAAAGGTGTGCTACGGATCCTAAATACCGAATTCGTATACAAGGAGAAGTACTTAGCTTAAGTCATTAAAGAATATTTAATAGTTGACCGTTGCATTATAAAAGAAGGAGATGGTCCGGGGTTGCGATCATAAAAAGGCTAAATAGTGGTAAAACTAATGGAAAGGGCACTTATAAATGAACCATAAAAACCTTTGATATACAGAAGATATAACTCTCCTTAGAAGTAATCAAGTGGACATTGAGACTGCTTAAGAAAAGCAGCTCAAAGTTGTTTATAAGGAAATAAAAATAAAATAAAACATATGACAGTAAAAAATTTCACTCTGACAAAGGAATCTGCATAAAAGGGAAATTGTTCCCAAGAGTAGACATATGCAAATATCTTGGCTCCACAATAACTTCTATGAATGACCAATGGGTCAGAAATATACGATCCTATAACAAGCATAAGCAGTGCTTTCTTCTCTCTTTCAAACGTATTGAAATTCCAAAACAAACTCAAATTGAAGGTGTGCCGTGACAAAAGTCAGTTCTGATGTATAGCTGTGAGACCTGAACACTAAATAGCATCCCAGAAAGAATCTGTGTGGAAAATCCTCTGTACGATAACCTAAGTGATCTGGCAATCAAAGAAATTACGCATGGAAGGCCAGTAAAGAACAGCTTACAGAAACAGAAACTGGTCAACCAATATCTCATGATAGGAAAGCAAGAAGATTAAGATGGATGGGACATATAGCTCAAAACAATTCAACAGGAAGCTTCTACACAACAATGGAAGTCTCAGTAGTATAAGAGGATAAATGGGAGGCCAAAATACAGATGGATAGACCGAATCAACAGATTCTGTAGAGCTGCATGCAGAAAACTGGAAAGCAATAGCCAAATATGGGCAGAGGTGGAGAAGGTGGCCAAATATCTAGGTCTGTAAAAAAGACCAATCGAAAAAAACCAGTCCCTTAAATTATTATGAAATTATAAATGTTAATATATATATATTTTTTTTTGTAAATAATTTTTTTAATGTTATATATTTCTCAGTTTTTGTTACATACTTTTGAAAAAATGATTACTTGTATATGTAAATATTTACTTTTCTATTTTACATATAAATCTGGTTTCTAATAATTACACTTGTGGTAGACGTAGTCTCCTCTGCATTGGAGCGCGGAATGTACTGTACGGGAGTCTTTCTCGACGTTGAACAGGCGTTTGATAGAGTTTGGCTTCCGGGACTACTGTACAAACTCCGAAAATTCCTACCGCCTACATACTTCCTCCTCATTATCCGTTCCTACCTTACTGATAGATACTTTAAAGTAAATCACAAAAACGCCTATTCATCCCTTTTTTCCCAGTCCGCTGGTGTTCCTCAAGGTAGTATCCTAGGCCCTATCCTCTATACAGTTTATACAGCTGACATCCCTACCTATCCCAACACTGTCATCACCACATATGCCGATGACACATGTATCCTATCAGTAAATAATGACCCAGCAATTGCATCCCAAATGCTTCAATCACACATCATAAATCTAGAAGAATGGTGTCAAAACTGGAGAATTAAAATAAACTGCAATAAATCCCACCAAACTACCTTTACCCTTCGTCCTAAACCAACAACTTCCTGTCCTTCAGTTTCCTTTAACAATACTCTACTTATCCCTGTTGAGCAAATCCTATACCTAGGACTCCACCTGGACAAACGACTAACTTGGAATCCTCATAGTAGACTGAAACGACAAGAAACCGCTCGACGTTTCCGATTACTTCAGCAGTTACTAGACAAACGCTCTAATCTTCCAATTAATTACAAAAAACTCATATACTTGACTATAATAAGACCTATTTGGACTTACGGAGTTGAGCTATGGGGCTCCACTAAACCATCGAATTCCTCTCGTATCCAATCCTTAAAATCCAAAATCCTTCGTAAAATCCTCAATGCTCCCTACTTTGTTACAAATAAAACCATCCATAATGACCTTAATGTTCCTTTTGTTTCAGATCTGGCCCAATCCAGATACCTATCCTTCCATAATAAACTTCAGAATCATCTCAACCCTCTCGTTTCTAAACTTGATTCCTCTTCAATTCCTGATAACCCTCCGAGGCGTCTGAAAAGAAGATGGTCCCGTGATCTCCTAATGTAAACATATCATTAGAGTGCTACCATTGGGTAGTTACTCAGCAAGTGTTTTTCATGTCATTATATACATTATGTTCTAATTTATAGAACTGTATTTATTTAATACAGTTGTAAATGTCTTTAAGAAATAAAAAAAAAAAAATAAATAATTACACTTTAGCCAGTTGGTACCAAGGGATTACTGACTGGAGTTGGATGGTTACTGTCATACCTGCATGCTACCGTAACAATTTAAGCATTTATCACAAGTTACATGAATATCTCTTAGCAATTATCACTTATATGTGAATACTCTCAATTAATTCTAGACTTCATCAATTGTAGGTCCTAGGAGGAGCTGATCTTCCCCATTTTCTTTTTTATGGACCTCCTGGAACTGGTAAAACAAGCACTATTTTAGCTGCAGCTAGGGAACTCTTTGGCAATGCATTCAGGGATCGTATTTTAGAGCTCAATGCTTCAGACGATCGAGGTATTCAAGTTATTAGAGATAAAGTTAAAAACTTTGCTCAGTTGACTGCTAGTTCAGTTCGTCCTGATGGCTCTCCTTGTCCTCCATACAAAATTGTGATATTGGATGAGGCTGATTCTATGACAGGTGCAGCTCAAGCTGCATTAAGAAGAACCATGGAAAAAGAAACTAAAACAACTCGATTTTGTCTTATTTGCAATTACGTGAGTTCTATAATTGAACCCCTTACTTCTCGTTGCATGAAATTTCGATTTAAACCTTTAGGCACATATGTTATAAAAAGCAGATTGGAAATGATTTGCAAAGAAGAAGGTGTAAACTGTGACATGAATGCAATCTCAAAAATAGTTGATATAAGTGAAGGTGATTTAAGGCAAGCTATAACAGTTTTGCAATCGTGTGCAAGATTGAAAGGTGGAGACAAAATAACTGAAGATGACATTGTTGAAATAAGCAATCTTGTTCCTGAAGGGTTAGTGTTTGATTTAGTTGAGTCATGTAAAGAAAATGTGTATGAAAAAATTCAGCTTAGAGTTACTAAAATAATTTATGAAGCTTATCCACTTTCACAAATAGTTACACAAATTCACAAATACATTACATCTTCTAACAGCCTCACTGATGTTCAAAAAGCAAAAATTAGTGAGTATATTGCTGAATGTAGCTCTAGGCTTCAAAGAGGTGCATCGGAGTACACACAATTGTTACATTTGTGTTGTTCCATGGGAAATATTCTTCAAGAAGAGTCATGATTTAATCTGTTTCAGTTAATTATGATTACTGTACAGTGCATTTATTAAATAAATAATTTTTGTTAATAAGAGTTTTAATAAATCTTAAGTGTTCAATACTTCATTTAACAATTTAAATAATTAAACAGAACAAAACCCAATTTACTTACATTAAGTTTATGACAGTTTAAAGTAATATAAAATTAAATTATTGGTAATGGTGTAGAGATAGTTGACAATGGTTATAATATGAGGAGTTGATCGCACCACATTTGACCGCACACTCTACCAACTCCTCATAAATTATTGGTACATTTAAAATCTTATTATTTTGTAATACAAGTTTGCAGTTTAATTTGATCTAAATTATTATTTTAATATTATTACAAAGGAAATAATTCATTATAATATATACAACTAATTCAACAGTATTACTATCAGTTAAACTTAATTTTATATAACAGTTTGTTTTTTCTACTAATAATTGAACAGAAATATTTTATTTTACATTTTCTTGAGTTTATTATCTAAGAGAAATATATATATATATGTACATAGAAAAAATAAGTAAAGAAATCAAAATCTTAAAATGAATGAATAATGGAATGATTCAGGTGTTCTTCAAAAGCAGCTATAGATCAGTTATTGGATTGCCCTGTAAAAAAACATTTAATGATAATAATTAAAACTATTATTAAACTCTTTCATTGAAATATTTTATAATTCATAAAATTATATAACTTTATGCAATAAACCGATAAAGAAAAATTATGTAAATTAGTAATTCTTCATTTTTATCCTAAACAAAAAGAAAAAAAAAAGCTATAATTGTTGAATACATTCACTAACAAAATGACAAATAATCCAGTAAGGTTATTTAATACTTCTTATTGATAGATTATGTATATTGAATATAACATCATAAATATTACTCGAGTAGATGTCATTTTATACCAGACAAACGTCACTGGAGTTGAACATTTTTATTTTCACTAACCTATATGTAAAGGAATGTGAAAAACTTTTAGTCCAAGTTTTCAACAGAAATACATGTTTTAAGGTCTGGTAGAGTAACAAGGTACCTCAAAATGGTTAAAGGGACGTGGTGGCCAAGCAAGCTAACGCATGTGCAAATTTGCGTTTCCCAGCAACCCGATAAACTGATTATTCATAGATTAAATATATGTACTTTTAAATCTCCATTAGCATATATAAAGCTCAAAAACTGGAGTTATGTGGTTCAAGTAGTCGCTGATGGAGTTACGAGGTTTTCATTCTCTGCCGTCAATATACTAAAAAGGCTTTGTACTATTTTGATGGTCTTAATGAGTGCTTGCATTGATAAATATAATCGATATTTGAAATGAGTTCTTTAAGGTTTAGCACCATTGAAAATGCACTTCTAAAACCTTTTGTGATTGTCCAATTTCGTCAGACAATTTCTCTTAAAAGTAGAGCAGTAAGTATAATAATGGAAAGATCTACAGACCACCTGTTATGTAGTATTGCTGACTACAAACCAACCAGGTTCATGAGGGCAACTGAGTAATCACTAGAATACTTCATGCATTCATCCCATAAAAAGATACTTCATTGGTGAGAAATGACTGCCAACTATACACATCAACTAATTGATGCATGTTGTAGTAGAAGTTGTATAGCAATTTAAGATCACTTATTAAATTTGATTACTAAGATGCATTTGTGGTGAGTAAAATGCCGCCAAGCCATTCCATAAGAAAAGTGTTATTTTTAAATAACAAAGGTAGAGTATATAAAAAAGTTCCATTTTTTCGTAAATAATAAATTTAACCAGATATGGAAATTTTACTCCAGTCGAAGAATAGATCCAACAATGGATCATATCTTATTTGTAAAATAAAACAAATATAACCAAGTTTAATAGGTAGATCTTGCAATAATATTGAAAGTAAAGAAAAACACCCTTCTTTTTGCAGTCCCATATGATTAAAAAAAAAAAAAAAAACCTGTACCACTACAACCCATGAAGGGTTCAGTACTATTTAGGGAAAGCACTGTTTCTAGGTCAACGGTTGTGCAAGGAGGACAGAGATCACGCTCAACCGCCAGGTTTTCCCCCTTAATCAATTATTTAATTAAGAGTACCCACTTTATAGAGGCTGGAAGTTCCCCAGGGGAGTCACCCGACCCAGGGTGGCCCCATGGCCAATGAAACAGATAAATAAATTTTCTGCCATGAGCCGGGATTCGAACCTATGACCTTTAGCACTGGAAGCTCAATACTCTACTACTGAGCTACCCCACTCCCGAATAACAATAATAATGAACAAATTGTCACTCAGGAATCTGACTATATTTCCACATACCTTTACAATGCTCGTTCAATCCATTTTTGGATTTCGTTATCAGTATACATTTTATCAATCATCACAGATTGGAATAAATTATAACAATTTTTGTTTGGACTTTTCCATCTGTAAGTTAAAAGATAAAAAACATTTTTTTTTTTCAAACCACGGTTTAATAAGTCATTGAATGTTATAATTCAGTCTATTTTAATCAATAGAATCAAGAATTTACTTATATCACTTACTATGGGAGGAGAGAGGGCCCCTGTTGTATTTTACTTTCCGATTCAGTCTTACTCCGGGCTTTGATCATGTGTTATCATCAGAACTCCCACCCCAAAGCACTCATAATCCCCTTCACCGTTAAATTTAAAGAGGAAAAATCATATTATTTTTGGGCCTGAGTTGGACTTAAGAATTTTTGTTTTTTCAAAATTAATTTTATGTGTATGGGTTTTTGCATTATTTTCATATTGGCAGTATTTTGAGTCTGGTTTTAAATTATTTTTATGATTGTATGGAAGTGTTTTAAATTGGTAGATGTCAACCCAATATACAACTTCACAATTTTTAGAAGGAATTTGATATATCAGATTACGCTGATTTAAAATCGGTGTTTTGCCCTTTATTTTTTATAGCATATTGTGGTTTTAGACCAAATTTGAATTAACTTATATCCATATCTTTCAATGTTTTTGTAATTCTGTATGTTAGGACATTTACATAGGTTATTGCTTTATATTTAAAAGGGTTAATATTTTCTTGGGGAGGTTCCTGTATAGTCAGGATGTCAGACGGACCCCTATATACATTCTGATCAACTTTAAAAAAAAAAAATTAGTTATATTAGTTTAAGATGGTGGAGCTGTACTTTGTATCTTATTTTTCTGTCTTGTGTTTTTAAGATGTTCTTGCTTTTTTGTATTACAATTTTCGTTTGGATCAGTTTCTTTATTTTTCTGTTTATTTAGAGTACTGTACCAAATTTTATTTGTAATATGCCTGGGATAAAAACTATTGTCTAAAATTTTGAATACCTGATTTACATCTTTTAAAAAAAATTCATCTGTAACTTTTATAGATTTATTTATTAGGTTAGTTACTACATTAATGATTAGGGACGTTTGAATAAAAATTTAAGTTATATTTCCCTTTAAATGGTTTTTGATACCATTTTGTAGTAGCTTGTCTTCAATCTGGACTATTGTTACGTCTAGGAAATTTATACTACTATTTTCTTCAGTCTCTGAGGTGTATTTAAGTTTGATATGTATATTATTTATTAATTTAGAGTGTTAATCTTTTGTAATTATTAGAAATAAATCGTCGACATAATTTTTTATAATGAGAGGTTTTACATTCGACTTCTGAACTGCCTGATCAATTATTTTATTCAGGACTATACCTGATAGATTGATTGATAGGCTTCATCCCATCGGTAAACCTAAAAATTGATGGTATAATTGATTTTAGTATGAAAAATATTCATTTTCAGTACATAATTTTATCCCTTCTAAAAATAAACATTTACTTTTTATAGGTGAATTGGACTCAATTTCCCTCCCCAGTTTTCAGGAATTAGCTTATATACAAATTTTAAGGATGTGTTAAAACATAATAAGGTAACATTATAACTAAACATAATAATAACATATAGTCTTTACCTATGCGGCTATTTTCTTTAATGATTTTTTAAAATTCTAAATATTCTTTTTTAACATCATAACTAAGCATAATAATATGTAATCCTTACCGATGAGGTTATTTTCTTTAATTATTTTTTTAAATTCTATGGCATTTTTAATGTTGTATGAGTTGTCATTGTTAAAATCGTTTAAAGTAGGGTTGAGAAATTTTGAAAGAAAGAAAGTAGTCCCTCCTGTTCCGTCGACTATTGGTCTATATGGTTTTGTTTTCTTTTTGGGTTTTTATCAGTCCTTGAATCCTAGGTGTTTGGAAGTAATTGTTAAAGAGTTTATTTTTAATCTTTCTGTTTATTTAAGTTCTTACCAGGGTCATGTCTGATAGTTTTATAAACATTTCTATTATTCGATAATTTAACATTTTGTTGTTATATTGCTCTTTTTGAAGGAATAATGGCTTTTTAGTTCTATTTCCTCTGACGAGATATAGGATGAGATTATTTCTATGAAATAGTTTTGTAGTCTCACAATCTTCTTTTACTTTATTAAAGAATGGTGTTAATCTTGTTTTTTAAATTCCCATTTTTCATTTTTTATTTAAAGTTTAAGACATTCTTATTAAAATTATTTCTCAATGCATTTTTGTGACTATTCAAAGTATCTATGTCTTCTAGTAGACTCAAAAATTCAGCTATGAGTTCAATTATACTATTATTATGATTGTTTGCGAAATAATTAAATGATTCACCTAGGCTTAGGAAATTTAAAATATTTTGCGGAATCATTTTATTTATAAGGTTAATTACTCTGTTCTCAGTATGTAGTTAATTATATTTTTTGAAAATTGTTGATTCATGGCTATTTATTAGTTTTGGAGTATCTAAATTATTTCACATGCTAGTGGTTTGTACTATATTTTGCTGTACTATTAGTGTAAAGGTTCACAAGTTTTCTGGTATTTCTATTTTGTACCTTTTGTTTAATTTATAAATATTTTTTAGATGAATATGGTGCAATGCAACATAAAGCTCTTAAACATAAATATATGAGATTGTAAAAAGAAGAGTGCTTTTTCTTGCTTAAAAATATAACCTTTAAATCACTATTATTTATTTGTTATTGCTAAATTTTCAATTATAAATAAATAAAAATCAATTTGTATCAAGGACAAAATAAATATAATGGCATGGCAGAGTTTTCATAATCTATAATTAATAAACATTATTTCGCCAGTATTTTGAGTTGAACAACAGTAAAACTAGATATGTCTGCACTACAAAATGGTACCTATTAATTCTCATCTTTTACAAAGGGATGTTTTTTTGTTGAAAAGAAAAGTTGAAGTTGAAAAGAAAATATCAACCTCATGAAAGAAAGGCCTTTGAATTTAAATTTATTACTTACATATACTACATATATATTAGTATGATTAGTTCAGTAATAATCAGCACATATTTGTAACAAAATCAGAACAGATAATGTTTTATCATTAGGTGATTAGTAAATCTGTACTTTAATTTTAAAAAAATTATGGAAATTATAACTATAAAGAAAACATCCAGATTCAAGAATATAACAATTAAAGGTTTTTATCTATTACTATATTTTATTTTCACAACTGTAAAATATATTTATAAGATCGATTCAGAGCAGGTGACGTACTCTAAACATTAAGTACAAGTTGGTTGATATGGAATTACTTATGTGGTGGAAAAGCTATTTATAACTAACTCAATAGATCAAGTGCTTCCATACAATTCAGGTACTTTCGGCATTCCATGAGGAAGTGTGACCGACCGGATTGGTTGTGAACCACACCCATCCATACTCTCGTGAACTAGTATCATTATTTTGTTATACTTCTCAACTGATGATTAAATTTTTGTGAGGAACTGAGAGTATCACCATACTGATAACTGATTCATTTTTCATAATCATAATTTAAGACTAGTAAGATATTTTTGGTACTAGCTTCTAATCACTACTCTCGCATGATGGCTGGTTTCAAGACCATTCTCAGAACACTACAAATGGAATACAGAAAGTAGCCAAGTATACAGTCATGTTCATATACAATGACATAAGTGTCTTTGGAGCATATTTTTGCTTAAAATATACAGAAGGCTATTTACAAAAGAAAATCTGAAAAAAAGTATTGTTACTTTTATATTGGTGGAAAATGTATTCAATTATAAATAATACACAAAATTGTTATACTTAATATTAATTATACTATGTAAATTACAATTATCATTAGTGGAAAACCATAAAAATTATTTTTATTTCAATTGAAGAAGTGTTAATTTCGATGAACAGCTGACAAATATTTCAATAACTTCATGCTTATATTTACATATAAAAAGAAGAAGTGACTGTGATGGAGATTGTTTCGGGGCAGGGTGGTCAAGCGGGCCAACACATGCAAAATATGTATATGCCCTGCAACCTGATAAACTCAAGATTACAAGTTTGAGTCCCAGTGCTAGGGGCTTTTAACGTTGGAATTAATCTCCGCCCTCCCTCCTGACTTGAGAAAAAGCCCATATAGTTGAAAAGACGAGGTAGGGAAGAAAAAAAAAGATGAAGGATTGTTTGTCTATATCTACTTTTGGATACATAGGGATTGTTTCCGGGTTTTATTTAAAGCTGTTATCTAAATCTAAATGTGATCTTAAAAACCTGTTGCCATCTCTAAGTACCGCTTAGAAACTAGTTGAACAATTTATAGTAGTGCATATTTATTTTGAATCAATAGTTCAACAAATTCAAAATGATCATAAAGCACTTGAAACTAGCACTACAAGGATAACTAAAATATGCCATTTCCACAGAGTTTCCTGTTAAATCATTTATTAAGTAGTTATGAGAAACAATGATTAATGGTTATTGCTTACCCATTCTTGAGCCATCATCCAGATTGTTGAACTCTTCAGTTTAGGCCCAATGAGTGGGTTCATTTGGGCCATATAAGCACATAGCCAGCTATCAACAATATTCAAACCACATAAGAAAGTAATTAAGAAGTTTTTTTTAAAACTAATTATTAACTGGATAGAAATATAAAACATCCTGAATATAATCTCCAAATTAATTTATATTAAAGCAAATAGTGAATAAAAAAAATACTTACAAAAGCCATGCTGTCGCAGCCGTTAAGATTAACGATAACTGGATTAACCTAGAAAAGTAAATGAACAAAGTGAATAAATCAGATATGATATTTAATAAAACAAATCGAACAGTAGAATATCTGCACAGTAGTACAGTTTTTACCCTCTATTATTCCCTTTTGGAAGAAAGATGGGTAGGACAATGCCTATTAATCCCCAGAATACAGTAATAATCAAACATGGTAAAACAGAAAAACCCATAGTGATAGATTAGAATTAAAAACGTTTGGATGACAAAAAGTGGGATGGGCCACCTTCTGAACACAGCTGACCTTCATATCAGCTGGTGCCTTTTAGATCTTATTTAAGTTCTCACTTCTGGGTTATAAGTTGCCTTACTAAAAAAAAATCAATTAAATAATTAAATTGTTTACTATTTTTAATCAAATATAATCCCATGGCCAATATCTCAGGTATTTGTGGGCCAATAATATATTTGGTGGGCTACGTTTTCTTTATTTCATCGAGGGCAGGTTACTTTTCAGTAGCAAAAGACAAAATCGTTCATGTTGGAGTAGTTCTTCTTATTGAGCTAGTTCATATTTAAGAATTATTTAGTTCACTCCGATTCTGGGTCAATATAGAGTAAAGGGTCCTTTACACGGTCAATATTATTGGAGCAATATAGTTGCAGGCAATATATCACACGCGCAAATTATATCAGTTAAGATCTTGCTTACACCAAAGGAGGGGTTTCCAAAGAGGTAATCTTTCTTTTTTGTGGAAATGAAAATGAATTTCCTATTATTTTAATTGCCTTGGCTTTAGTATTAAAAAAAATATATATGTTCTTTGTAATGTTGATATTATTCCTAGACATTAAAACGTTTCTTGTTTCAAATTGGTTCTGTTCTTGTTTTCTAATTATCTAATATTTAAAAAAGTTTAGTAATAAACAAAAATTGTTATTAAATTTTGAACAATAAAGTATCTATTCCCCATCTAGCCAAATATATTGCCATTATATATTTCAAAAAAATGAGGAAGAGAGGATCCCCACATAAAAAAAATTAAAGTAAAAAAGTATCACCCACCTACCCAAACATATATCCATAATATCTTTAAAAAAAAAAATCGAAAGGGAGGGAGGGGATGAAACTCCCCACAAAAAATAAAAGTAAAACAAAGTATTACCCACCTACCCAAATATATATTTATTTTATCTTTTAACAAAAAAATTCGAAGGGAGAGTAGTTGAGCCTCCCAAAAAAAAAAAATTTAAACAAAGTATCATCCGCCTACTCAAACAAATTAATATAACTCTTACACGTGCAATTATATTGACACTGTTTCAATAATATTGAACGAGCTTCAATAGAAAAACAAAATTGATAACCATTTTTGATTGACACCAATATAATTGATGGACCCGATGTAGCCCTTAGAGGGTCAATATATTGACGAAACTCGATATTGACCGTGTAAGGGGCTCTTCATAGTGATAATTCCAGCATCTTCATATTCAGTTAAAATTATCTTATTATAATGATTAATTTATTAAAAATACATGTATAACAAAATAATGTAGTAAATTAAAATATATTTCTAAAATTCAGAATCATATTTTCCAGAGGTCTTCAACCTCGTGTCTTCGGTTGATAGTAATTGAATTTTTGGACATTAGCACTTCCGAAAAGTATGTAGAAGACGTTGGTAGCGGACATAAGTATGAAGGACAACCACATAACTACTCTATATTGTGATATTGTACTCTGAAAAAAAAAATGGTTATTTGTCATTTTAAAAATATGAATTCAATTATTTATAATAATTACTTATAGATAAGAATTAATTATTATTTATATTAATAATTTTTTAGTAACATTTTTGTACCAACATAAATTAATACACTTGTCGAAATTCTTCTTGCTTAATGACACTAACAAGGGGAGTCTACATAGAGTGAGTGGGTTACCGATACTACTTCCGATAATATTTCATACTTCATGTAGTTCAGCAATTTAATTTAAAATCAATTTAATTTCAAACAAAATTTATGTAATTTATTTTTGCCTTTGTTTTATACCGATATTTAGGTTATCATATTCCAATCGATTTCTTTTTCTGTGCAGAATAAGAAAAAAATATTGCCTATTGTATTAAATGAGTTATAATGTAAAATTTAGTCCTTTTTTTTTTTTAAATAGCTATTAGATGTAGTAATATAGACAGTTGTTATAAAAAATTATGCGTTTCAAAACGTCATGTTTGATGTTAAGTTTTTTTTAAATTTAAAAATTCCCAGGTTTAAACAAATGTACCGAATTTTTTTATGCTTTTCAAGGAAATTTTCAATTATTAATCGTCATATTCGCGCTCATTGGCATCGGAAACGGAAATTTACTTAATATCAAGTGAATCCGACATCATTTACAAGTTCTATGCTTATGTCCACGAAAACCCATCTTTCGTCCCGTTGTGCTACAAAGCAATTCGAGTGCAAATATTTTTTTAGTGTATAACAAAGTTGATATTAGTTTTTCGCACCTCAAAAAAATGAAGGGAAAATGCCCCAACAATTCCCTCCTCATAACACGCCGGCACCATAGGGTAAAGTTCGAGGTGATGAGGCTCCTTAGAGAAAAGGAATTCACCTGCTTTGACGAGGTCTATTGCATAGACAGTGAAGGCTCTACAAGATATGCGGATATTGTCGCGTTTCCCAGAACAGGAAGGACAGCGCTAATCTTGGATCCAACTGTCCGCTTTGAGAGCAACGACCTCGATCAGGCGGGTGAAGTGGAAAGGGAAAAGAGGAATATATACGAAAAATGCACCCCTTTCCTAAAAGAGAAATTCCGCGAGACCTTCGGAGAGAGAGAGTTCACCGTGAGAGGCCTCTGGTTTGGGTCTCGCGGAACGATCCCGGAAAGAACAAGGAGCTTTCCCGAAGAACTGGGTGTTGATGTTGGGGAGCTCGCGGTATTGGCCGAAAATATTGTTTTGGACTCCCTGGGAATCATCCACTATCATATTTATACCGATTGAGGACATCTGGTAATAATTGTTTATTAAATTTTGAATTGATCCGCTGTCGTCCTGTCTTTTTGTCTGCACTCTGGGAATTGCTTATGAGAATTTGTTATGAGAGGAAAGAGGAAAAAGAGAGAAAGAAAGGAAAGATATGACATATATATGTATAAAAAAATAGAAAAATGAAATATAAAAGTAATGTCCTTGTGGATTGATAGGTATGCTGTGTACGAAGCAACCCTATGTAGTAGGGCAGCATTACTTTTAATAAAGTATTTCTCTCTCTAGATAACTTAAAATTTCGGGCAAATCAAATTGAATTTTATATAACATAAACTTTGAAATTATATTTAAAAAATTGTCTCGGCTACTAGGGCCCATTGGGACGTGTGTCTAATATTTTCCGATGTATTATTACAAAAAAAAAAATGTTAAAATTGGTGACCGACTGACTGTAGATTCTTGTAAGTACAGTACATTATCTTAACAACTTCTTTACATGGTAGTCATCCAACTTTTGAATACGGTTTAACAAAAAAAAAGAAACACTTTACCTTTTATCTAGTATTTATTAAATTTGAGACCCTACAACTTTGAGTACAATAATCTTATTTAAGGCCAACATAAATTAAAACTTATTTAAAAGACGGTAGTGGGAAAAAGTTTAGTCTCCGAAAAGGCACTTCTGTAACATTAACATAACAAAAAATTCAACTCTGAAATTAAATTTTGCGGGGCTTTGGAGGCTCACAACAAAACGAGAAAAAATGGCTAGGGTTGGTGGAAAATCTTGAGACCCCAAATAGGCACTTCTCTAACTCTTATAAATTAATATGGAAGGGCTGAAGAGTTGTGGAAAACATAAAAAAAACTCCCATATGCCTGAATTTTGACCAAATTTTATGGTATTGTTCTGCCATTAAAATAATCCTAATACCAAATTTCAGCTCATTAGAGGCAAAGGATATATCTGAAGATGCCGAAATAAAATTCAGCTCTAAAAGATATTCTGGGCGACTTTATGGACTAAGTTATTGTAAAGCAAGTTAATAAATGATAAGTTATTGTTACTTAATAACAAGTGTTTTTGTTTAGCTTACGGCCTCAGCTGAGAAGCAATCACTAGAGCCACGAAGCTGATCCTCTTCAAGGTAATTATTCACCCAGTATTGTTAAACTTTACATATAGGTTATATCGTGAAGCATAGACGATGGTAAAGACCTATATGCATTCATGCAGATATTCGAAAGGGGCATCATATGCTGCATTATGGAGAGACCTAAGTTGAGAACGTGTAGCGAAGACGTATTAATCTGGAATTGTATGACCTGATAAGTAAGCCAGGTGTGGTCATAGTCATCAGCCTTGGAAGGCTGCGGTGGGCCGCCAATATGGCCTGGATGGATGACTCAACATTACCAAAAAAGACACAAACTGCGATACTACTTGGAACAAGACGACGTAGACGGTTTATGCTAAGATGGCAGGATAGCGGCTCCCAAGTTGCAGGATCTCTTCTTGAAACTGAAAGATGGCAAGCGGCTGCAAAAGACCGTGACATCTGGTGGAGGATGAACCAGGAGGCCATGACTCGCTAGCGGGTTGTAGTGGTTAAGAATGTTTGAATGAAGTTATTGTAGAAAATGTAATACATACATCGGGAGCTAATGCAGCAACCAATGAAGGTCCGATGGCACCCGCAGTAGTTCCCAACCAGTGGCTGGTTGAACCAATTGTGCCGCCGTAATTTGTCGAAAGATCTATTCCATTTACCTAATAAAAAAGTGTTGTAAATTACCTTGGATTGTTAAATCTTTTAGAAAAAATATTTAAAAACACTTAATTAAAAATTTAGGAGAGAACATTAAATGATTAAAAATCAGAATTCGTTAGAGCTATAGCATGACTACAAAATCTATTACATGCGTTACTAAAAAATCTATATCATTCATAAATGTGATCTGTTTTCTGCTTTTTATAGGATATAGAAATGCGGTAGAGCAGTTCTAAATCCTATAGTCTGGCTTTGGCCGTGTACTGTGTTAGACACCTCTGCGCTTATCTTGTTTTTGAAAAGTTGTACTTGCCAATTAAAGTGATTTTTGATATACTAGTGCAGTTTACATTATAGAATACTCATTTAAATTTTGAGCGAGATACGTCAAGAATTGAAGGAGATACGAAGAAGTTAAGGAAAAGTATTTCCCAGTAAGTTGTCAATCCCATTATCTCTTAGTATCGGCAAGATATATCTCGCCAGCTCCCATCGCTACTTCGATTGATAGTCCACGGTCAAGGTTAAAACTTATCAGCTGTGCTTGTTATTATTGCCAATATAAATTATTTCGATCGTTTTTTAAACTATATAATTACAATGACGGTCACTAACGAGAATTTGTTGGAGGTTATCAGCCGTAATAAAGAGGAATCCAAAAGTTCGCTTAACAAAATATCAGTAATTCTTGACTCTTTAATGGCTGAAATTTATAATCTAAGGGAAAAACATTTGGAACAAGATAAAAACATTAGTTCATTAGAAAATGAGATAAAGTCCTTAAAGAGAGAAAGAAAAAAAAAAAAACTTCTCTACAAAAGTAGTTAATGTGTGCCTGTAAGTTAATGTGGAATTACCAATATACGCCATTAATGACTGTTTTCGAATTGGTAAAGGTCGGGAACCAAGACCAATCCCTATTGCAAATTTTATCTGCTTTACTTTTGTATAGAACGTGTTTATTCATCGATGCGATGGATAGTTTTCCTGATATAAGAAAAAAACTCGAAAAATTGCAATAAACACGAGGCAATTTTTTTTTTCTTCAAAATTAGCCATAGTTGAGGACGTATATCTCGGAAAATAAACGAAGTAGCGAAAAAAGATATATTGGCAATCATATTGAAATTTTCATTAGGTTTAATTGTGTATAGAACGTCTTTGTCGATGCGACCGATAGTTTTCCTGATATAAGCGAAAACCTCAAAAAAGTGATCTTCTAGGGGCCCTCACCCCACATCTGGCTTACTACGCTAGTCCAAATAATGCACCAAAATCCAAAATAGTGTCCTCGCCATTTCTTCCTATAATCATTCATTGACTATGTCAATATAGCTTCCTCACCATTTCTCTTGTTTTCAATAACTACCTATATTTCAAAGTTTGTCGTTTGGGAATTAAATTTACAAGAGGAGACGCTTTTTAATTATTGTCTTGTTAACGAAATTCGGACGCATAATCAAAAAGTTGATGAAATTAGATAAAATCGATATTGGACCGACTAGGTGGACCAACATTCACAGAGTACACTTTCAGTTAATTTTTTTAATATAGTCTAAAAGCTTATAACCGCATATAAATATAACCTCTGTTTTTATATCACGCTCACTGTCTACCACATTTTAAAGACATTAACCATTCCTAAAAATCAAGAACATTAATTTTACTTTCTAGATAAAAGTTGATAAAAATGGTACCAAGTAGATCTTTTTTCGACAATCCCTAATTTCTCTCCAACCTTAGCTAAAATTGTTTGTGCGGTTTTTAAGATAGAGACGTTTCGGGGAAAATAAGTTTGCACACATGTAAGAGCGAGTGGTCACGGAATAAGAAAAATTGTATGCAACATCATTTTTCGCAACTCCTCCAAATTTGAGACAAATTGCAGGAGTCGTATTTGAAATTTTGGTATATCAAAGAAAATCCAAAGCATAAATCGGGAATAAACATTGTCGATCCTGATTACAAATAATTTTAACCTCCCGCACGAATACAATCATACAATCTCAATCTCAATCATACAATTACTTTCTCACTACCGAAGGTAATGAGGTAATAAAATATAAGGTAATAAATTAAATAAAGGTGTTAAATTAAACTCTCCTCCAGTACAACCATGGATAAAAAATAATTTAGTTATATTAGTTCATATATTATAATACATACTAAATCAAATGGGTAGGAAATAAATCATTCTTTTCTACCTTGAGAGATGGATAAAAGGTTCCCATACATCCCATTCCAATGATCAAGCATATGAAGGCACAAGTTCCATCGCATTCACAATAACTAACTCCAAGAAGGCCAAGGCTTGGTAAAGCTGATCCTAAAAAATAATAATACTTGACTTCACTAGCGGATCCAGTATTTCATTTTGGAAGGGGGAGGGGCTTCAGCCCGAAAGCTTTTTTTTTTTCAAATATAACGATAATTACTTAGGAAGAAAAAGAAAGGAACTAACTACTTAGATGAAATGGTGTTTAAGTGAGCCTTGAAGTCCTATTAAATGTAATTACAGGAGGTGATTATTTAACATTTTTTTTCTTAAAATGTGGTATTATTTTACCATTGGGGGGGAAGGGGAGGGAGAGAGGAGAAGGGAGCTTCAGCCCGAAAGGCCTCTCCTCCCCTTGGATCCGGCTTAGCTTGAATTTAAATATTATCAATACTGATTTTAATATGTGTAAAAAATGGAGTCATCACCATTTTTAAATATACGTATCTGATTTAACCAAAATAAAAATTTTACCTTTTATCTTAACGTTTCTTATTTCTAACATATTTAAAAGAATTGGGCGGTTGTGATTTTCATTTCAAGTCCCGCCCGATGCCGGGAGCATTTATAAATGGCATTAATCCCCTACCTCTCTTCGTATATCCGAAAAAGCGAGATAGGGGAGAAAAAAAAGACCATTCAGCTCTCTTACCGTTCTGGCTAGTAGAGGTCGGTTACCTATGTTCGAGAACAAGAAAACGATTTGGATTGTAGGAGATATTTTTTACTTCTTTTCTAGTACACTTAATACGGTAGAGATTCCAAACTTAATCTTTCTTTCAATAATTTTTCACGTGGTAGTGATATGTTAATTAGGGATGAAGTATTATAACGATGATGGTTTAGGTTATTTGGTACCGGGCCATACGTGGCCTGGCTATAAGGCTCATTATGTCCATGTCTTCCTGTAGTTTTGTGATTGCACTTGCACTGCATTTGCACTTGCATTGCAAAGGAGAGATATAGTTTAACATCATCGGCATGTAGATGATACTGGGAATGCAGGTTTTAGAGTAGGAGGTCATTAATGAAGATGGAGAAAAGGATGGGGGGCAAGGAGGAACCCTGAGGTACCACTTGGGACAGGGATCGAGAACCGGAGTGAGTAATATTCGGTATAACGATATATTACTTACGACTGCCAAGGAAGGAGCGAAACCACCGCAGGACACTAACTGATAAGGACAGATCATGAACCTTGGAAAACAGGATATAGTAGTGAACGGAATTGAAGCCTTTGGAAAAGTCAAGAAGAATAAGGATGGTTAGTTTTTGCTGTTAGTTAGTAAGTTTTTGCTGGTCTAGAACTGTATGGAGGTCTTGGAAATTTTTTATGAGGGCAGACTGAGTGGAATAACCAGGTCAGAAACCGAACTGGAGGGAGTGTAGGAGGTTGTTCTGTACTAAAAAGTGGGATATCTGGGATTGAACTAGTCGCTCTAAAGATTTCAAGAGGTTTGAAAAGAATTAATCGGACGGAAATCATTAAGAGTTAATGGGTTGGAGGTCTTCTTCAATGGGCGAATTAGTGTGGTTTTTCAGGATGTAGAGAAGGTTGCGTTTTGAAGTGAATAATTATAGATATAATAGTGGGTTGATGGTTGACTGTAGTGAATAATGAAGAGAAGGATGGTTGGGGTGATCATTAAAAAATAAATATTATTATTTATTTTTGCCATTTTTATTATGACTGATCATCCCAACCATCCTTCTATTCATTATAGATATAATAAGGGATCGGGAGAATGGATGACAGCGCGACTTTAATCAGCCTGACTGGAATGGTATCATAATCATTGGTATGGGATTTCTGGGTGGGCTTAAGGAGATCATCAGAAATAATGTGTGGGAGGGGGGGAAGAAAATATCAGGAATAAAAGGGGAAAAATAGTTAAGGGTGAAAACAAATGAGACAGGTATATTGTAAATCTGGAAAATATCGTGGGAAGATAGAAATGGGACCAATGCGACAAGGAGTTTGTCTGAGGAATCTAGGATAAACAGATCGAGCCATGACTCGGAGAATTGGGTATGATGGATTGGATTGTAGGGTACTATGTAAATTCTGAGGGAATGCAGGAGGCTTGCTACGTAAAAATAATCAAAGGATGGCATAAATAAATTCGTGTTAAAGTCCGAAGAGGATGTCATTGGAGAATGAAGGGATTAAGTTGTAAGGAGAAGTTTCAAATGATTCATTAAAGGTAAATCGAGAAGGACGATAGATGACAGTAAACAGAATGGGAGACGAGATTATGAGGATTTCGTCAAAGACTATATTCAAGGTGTATTCTATATTTTCCTTGTCTGCCGGGCGAACCAATATCAGTGTTTGTTGGTTACGGACATTGCTTCACTTAAAAAAAACCTTGTGGGCGTCGTTTTCTTGCCAGCCAAGGTAGCCTGTTGAAAAGTCCCGGACAACCTTTCGTCTCTGGACAATTCATTCCTAAGCTACTGCCGAACGAACCTCATCAGAAGCTGTCCGGGCGTACCATCTTTGAAGTGGATATTTTCAAGCTTCAAACTCAGGCCCATTCCCGTCCACACGCTCATCACTAGGCCCATATGAGTCTCCCCAGGTCTAACTGGGACTCCCCTTATTTCTACTGACCTGGAAAGCTGTAATTGCTCACGCTTGTTGAGCCTAATTTCGAGCTCCGAGACCCGGGACTTGAGAGTCGTGTTTTCCAAGACTAGTCCGTCAATTTTAGTTCTTTGACCTCGTTAGCATTGCCATCGAGAGAGAGTTTTAATTCCTTGACTTCAGTTGTGAGGCATACATTAGCGCTTGGGATGTGGCGTTGACATTTGGTTGCTGTGGAGCCGATCTTGGAGGGCTAGAGCACTTATCACTCGGTTGGATATTTTTTGTCTAATTCTTTCTTGATGCCCTTAGCCTTTCAAATTCACAGTTGTCTGTATTTAGGCATCTGCCGTAAAAAAATAGCTTGACACATAGAGATAGAACTTGTAAACTTTTTTTTATCCTCTCTAGCTATTGGTTTGCAAATTGGTCATAAAACCATCTTGCCTAGAATAAAAAATGTAATCACAGAAAATATGTGAAAAAAAAATGTAAATAAAACTAAAAACAATTGACGCAACATCAACTGTGACAATGCGCTCCCCAATCCTAGTCAACCAAATAAAATGTCCTAGGTAGGTATGTAATCTACCTGTAAGCCGATTAATTTTTGGGTTGCTTCCTAGCTTCTCTCGACACGAGATATAGGCGAAATAAAGATTCAATATGGCCATTGGATACCGTACTCTTAACAGATAGGTTTAAGTTTATAAATATAGTAAAACCCCGTCTATAAACTACTAAAAACACTGATTAAATTAGAGCTAAACAACTGTTATTCGAATCTGTGGCCTGGCTATAAGGTATTTGTTCTATTTACAGGGAAAAACCGAATTCAATTTGAAATTATCTGAACACCTTTTGTAAATATGGCCATTCTATTGTTGAAACGGAGCAAGTCGTATATAGTGGTAAAAAGTGTACGAAAATTTACATCTAAATTTATACCTGATGCCAAACAACTGTTCTCTGTAGTTAATTATTACTGAATATTACGATTTCATTCCTGGTAAAAGGGTCTTGAATGTTAGTATATAGTCGAAGTCGCTTACCTATTGTCGTAAATATTACTCTGTTCCATGTGAGAGACACTATTTTTTTCTTATCTATCCAATCTACAACGGCACTGGAAGCGAAAGCGATGACAACCATTAAAAGATAAGCACCTCCAAGGTACATGCCATTCTGGAAATAAAAGTGATGTTTAAATTTGTTCCCTTATCTACACAGAATAATATTTCAAAACGGATTTTTACTCACACTTTTGACGTTAAAGCCCAGAACAGAAGCCATGAATTTCGGAATGTTGTTGATCATAATAAATACACCCCAGCAGTGGCCCCACAACCCGATAGCCAAGGCATAGACCGGCAAGTTTGTACCAAAATATTTCCAAGGCATGTCAAAAAACTTGACTTTCTGTAATTATAAAAGTTACTTAATGTTTTAAATCGCTGATAGCTACAACAAAATATTTTGTACTGAAATTTTGTCTTAAAAATACCAGTGTCAATATTTATGGCAGGAGGTCCCAGCCATTTTCTACTCGAGGGCATATTTAGTTAAGTAGTGGTCACCATTTGATTATTTGATCCTAGATTATTCATTTTCTGGTGTTGTTAATAAGAATAAAAAAAAAGCAAATTACATAAAAAAATCATTCCATACTATATTCTTATATAAAATAAATAATTAGTTAATAATAAATTTTAAAAAATAAAATTTCTTTGTAAGAAATATAAATCATTTTACAATAGAGCATCTACGGAGAAAAAAAACAACTATTTTTTTCATAATGATTTATTTATATAATTTCATATTTTATTTTCCTCTAATATTTCCTATTTAGCATACTACTTGTAGCAGTTCTAAACTACAAAATATCACCTTTAGAGAATAAACATGTAAAATAGTTACATAAGACCTTTTGCAACAACAGTAGAGAAATACTATAGATTGTGATAATTTCCCAGCATTTCATTGGTCAGTGCTTTATAAAATAATGACTATGATATGATAATCTGAATTAATAAAACAAGGGAAGGGCATAGGAGCACCTACAATTTTATTAGATATGTTTTTTTAAACTTTTATTATGATATTTACAACTGTATTAGTATGAATACATCAAGTAAATGTGTACATAGGAATATTATCACATGAAACACGCTTGTTGAGAAACTACCCATTGGTAGCACTCTAATAATTTGTCTACATGAGGAGATCACGAGGCCATCTCCTTTTCAGATGCCTCGGAGGGTTATCAGGAATCGAAGAGGAAGCAAGGTTAGAAACAAGAGGATTCGGATGGTTATGAAGTTTATTATGGAAGGATAGGTATCTGGATTTGGCCAAATCGGAAACATATGGAACATTGAGGTCTTTATGGATTATTTTATTTGTGACAAAGTAAGGAGCATTGAGGATTTTACGAAGGATTTTGGATTGTAAAGATTGGATACGAGAGGAATTTGATGGTTTAGTGGAGCCCCATCAACTCCATAAGTCCAAATAGGTCTTATTATAGTCATGTATATGAGTCGTTTGTAATTCATTGAAAGTTTAGAGCGTTTGTCCAGTAAGTGTTGGAGTAAGCGGAAACGTCGAGCAGTTTCTTGTCGTTTCAGTCTTGTATGAGGATTCCAAGTGAGACGTTTGTCCAGCTGGAGTCCTAGGTATCGGATTTGTTCTACAGGGATAAGTGGGGTGTTATTAAAAGATACTATAGGACAGCAAGTCATTGGTTTACGACGAAGGGTAAAGGTGATTTGATGGGATTTATTGGAATTTATTTTAATCCTCCAGTTTTGACACCATTCTTCAAGGTTTGTGATGTGTGATTGAAGAGTTTGGGATGCAATTGTTGGATCATTATTAACTGACAGGATACATGTGTCATCAGCATACGTAGTGATGACAGTGTTAGGATGGGTTGGGATATCAGCTGTATAAACTGTGTAAAGGATAGGACCAAGGATACTACCTTGAGGAACTCCGGCAGATTGAGAAAAGAGGGATGAATAGGTATTATTGTAATTTACTTTGAAGTGTCTATCAGTAAGATAGGAACTGATGATAAGAAAATATGTAGGGGGAAGGAATTTACGGAGTTTGTAAAGCAATCCCGGATGCCAGACTCTATCAAACGCCTGTTCAACGTCGAGAAAAACTCCAGTGCAATACATTCCGCGCTCCAATGCAGAGGAGACAACATCTACCACACGATGACATTGCTGGATAGTGGAATGGGATGTGCGGAATCCAAATTGGTGATCAGGGATTATGTGGTTAGAATCTAGGATGGGATACAGGCGTTTTAAGATGAGCTTCTCCAGGATTTTGCCCATGATGGGTAAAAGAGAGATAGGACGGTAAGAGGATGGGTATTCTGGTGGCTTTTTGGGTTTATTTATCATTTTGACTACAGATAGTTTCCAAGGGTCAGGAAAATATGTGGAACGGAGTACGGCGTTATAAATAAAAGTGAGGAATAGAATGGATTTTCGAGGAAGTAGCTTAAGAATATGGGAAGTGATTAGGTCGTGGCCAGGAGCTTTGCGGGAAGGTAATCCGTGAATAGTATTGGATATTTCGGAAGGATGAAATGCTTTAGGTCACAATGCTTTAGGTAATAAGTCATCACTTATTAGATAAGTCACTGGCTGTCATGGTGAATGCTGATTTTGGCCACGGGACAGGTGATGCCACTGGATTGAGGAGCTCTGGTTTATCTCTAATCAATATTTACAAATTTACCTGTTTTTTCTTTATTGATTCAAAGTATGTATCCAACTTAGATTTTTCCTTTTCGCCCAACAAACCTTCAGGACACAGAGTATGGTTGTCATAGGTCATAAAGAAAAACAGCAAGGACCAAATAAATCCGCAACCTCCGTAGATGTAAAATAGCCATTCCCATCTTTTTTGTCCCAAAGCGTTCAGTACAAAACCTGTTATTGTAACTGAGCCAAAGTTACCCATATGAGCACCTGTTAAATAAAAATAAAATCAGTGATCCCAGAGTTGGTCGGAAAGCCAGTCATAAAGAAATATTTATACATATAAAAATGTGTTAAATTAAATTATCAAAAAATGATTTATTTTGTTTTTGACGGCGGTGTGGCCATGTAGGCTAACGGGTGTGCATAGCACCATCACCTGATCACCGAATTTTTAAGATAAACAAATAATTACAGGGAGTGCAAATCCCGGTGTCCGGTGGGACTTTTAAGTTGGCATAATTCCCCCGTCCTCTCTCCCGCCTTGGGGAAGAAACCCATGTAGCCTAAACGGAAGGAAGGGGAGACGAAATGAAAGTTATATATATATATATATATATATATATATATATATATATATATATATATATATATAACTTACGACTGTTCGAACAAGAAATAATAAAAAAAGAAAGAAAGGTTCCGAAATGAAACACGTGGTTGCTCAAATAAGACTGACTTTATTCCCTCCCCCCCCTGCTATATATATAGCCTTATGGTTTGTTTACACTTCTGGATAGGATTAACTCATATACAATCTTACATCTAACCATAACTCCCCCCCGCCAGTTTATGAACATTCCTCATAAACTAATGCAGGGTTACCGATATAATACATAACAAAACAAAAACAACAAAACAAAAATAATCTTCCTTGGAGTTGCTACACCAGCAATAGTAAAAAAAAAAAATTAAAACTTATTCTTAATAAAAGTGACACAAACTCAAATAAACCTTCTAACGTCTGTCCCTAGCTTATAGGAGACAGAAAAGAGGATATACCATTTATTTACTTTAATGACTCCATCTCTATCGGGAGTTTCAATTGTTCTATGTGAACGGTCCTCCGTTTTCTGGGATCATTCAGACTTTGGATCGTACAAATATTGTGCTCGCGAAGTACAATTACTTTGAACGGTCCTTCGTAGCGTACCAATTCCTTCCCTCTATTAGATCCGACCCTACGATAGACTATCGTCCCTATTTTCAATTCCCCCATTCTATCTTTGAGGTTCAAATTGACCTTCTCCACCCTTTTCCGTTTCTCTCTCTCTATTTTCGCTTTCGTTTTTTCCCACACTTTCCTTACCTCCGCTCTGTTACAGATTATCAGTTGAGCTTGTCCTTCGTCCGTGTCTGTTTCCTTCCAGTCTCGTCGCCGTATATTTACTCCGAACAGTACCTCGACCGGAGAAAACCCTATAACAGAGTGGATCGAGTGATTGTAGGCTGCTACTGCCCTCTTCATGGCTACGTCCACTTCCAATCCCTGCTCCACTTGATAAATACGTAGATGGTCGCTTAGGGTGCTATGCAACCTCTCGATACTTCCCCTGCCCTTTGGATGTCCCGGTGTGTTGAAGTGCCAAGCTATATCCAATCGCTTAGCCTCCTCTCGTATGGTAATGCTGTCGAACTCCCTCCCTCCGTCCGATGTTATGCGATCCGGTACTCCGTAGAACTGGGCCCACGTTTGGAGAGCTCCCACAACAGCCTCCGACGACTTATCCTGTACCCGATGTACCATCGCTAAATTACTGAAGAGGTCTATCATTGTAACCCATTTAAAACCCCTCCACGTGAATGTATCGATTTGCACATCCTTCAATGGCGTATCTCCCATAGGGGTTTCCTCCTCTAATCCTTGAGGTGGACGTCTATCATACTTAGTGCGCGCGCACACTTCGCACCTCCCAATGATTTCCGAAATTGTCTTTCTCATGCCGTCCCAGAAATATCTCCTGCGCAGTGCCTGAAACGTTTCCTGTACTCCCCGATGATTTGTCTTGCCCTGGTGATGTGCTAGTGTTACCTCCCTCTGCTGCTCCCTGTCCGTTAACGTTTCGACTAAGTATTTACATCTAATAAATGACCTGTCGATGCCTATTTTTTCTGATCTCCAGATTTTCTTGATCTTTTCCCAGATGGTTTGCATTCCCCAAGTACAAACGGTGAATTTTTCCTGGCTCCGAAGCGTCGTACAAAGCCTTACAAATCTGTTCTTCTTTCACCTCTGGTTGGGACCATATGGTGGTAATCTTCTTCTTCCCATATTTACTGAAGTCTATCTTCATAAGCCCCGACGTTCTGGTCTTCCAAATCACCTGTCGTCGCTTATCATTGATGATCTCCTCGCATTCCTCCATGTCTGTAGGCCTTTCTTCCACTGAGCTCTCTTCTCCTCTCGATTCCTCTGTTCCCGCATTCTCGGGTTCCCCTTCACCCTCTGGTGTCCACGCTCTCAAAAACTGCCGCACGTCCCGCGACGACTCCCCTTCTTCCTCCTCGATAGCATTTATCATTATGGATCTGGACTGCCAGTCCGCTTCCACATTCCCCTTACCTGGCTTATACATGACTTCCATATTGTATTGACTTAAAAATTGCTTCCATGACCTCGAGTGACTCTTGCCGACGATTCCTGCAGGTTACCTAACCATTGCAACGTTCTGTGATCAGTATGCACCTTAAACTTCCGGCCAAAAATGTACTGTCTAAAATGCCCTACCTCCCATACTATGCCCAAGAGTTCCCTTTCCAGGGCGCTATACCGCGTCTCCGCTTCTGTGAGTCGCCGACTTGCATACGCTACTGGCTGTTCTCCATTCAGTTCCTTCTTGAGCAAGTACCGCCCCCAACTCATACTCACTCGCATCCGTTGTGATGATAAACGTCTTCGCAAAGTCTGGAAAAGCAAGTACCGGCTTATCTTGTAACCTCGCCATGCACTTCCTTACATTGTTCTCTATCGCTGGTGTTATTATTATCTTCCGGCCTTTCTTCAGAAGATTGTTAAGAGGTGCTAAGTACTCCGCCATTTCAGGCACAAACCGACGGTAATAGTTCAGCGTTCCCAATAATCTACGGATCCCTTTAACATCTCTGGGCATCGCCATGTTTTGTATTGCCTCTACTTTCTGTTTATCGGGCCTGATTCCTCCTTGAAATCGAGTGTCCCAAAAATGTTATCTCGTTCTGTCCCAGAATCGACTTTTCCACTGACAACTTCAGCCCAAATTGCCTTAATCTGTCGAATACGCGACGCAGATGATCGACGTGTTCACCTTCATCCTTGTTGAAGACCAGGAGATCATCCATGTATACCTGACAGAAAGCTTCGTCTGGCCCCTCTCAAGAATTCGTCCATAAACCTCTGGAAGGTTATGGGAGCGTTCTTTAACCCAAATGGCATGCGAGTAAATTCATAATGCCCCAATCGAAGGAAAACGCCGTTTTGTGTTGATCCCTGGGGTTCATACGCATTTGATGATAGCCTGCCTTTAGATCAAGAGTACTAAAGATTGTGGCCCCGCTCAGTCTGTCAATAATATCGTCAAATCGTGGAAGCGGGTACTTCTCGTCCAGGGTGTTCTCATTGAGCTTCCTGAAGTCGACAACAACTCTGTACTTCTCTTCTCCCGTTGCGGTCTTCTTCTTCACTGCCCACAGGGAACTATTGTATGGTGACGTGCTGTCCACGATGATGCCCTGACTCTTCAAACTCTCCAGCTCTTCCTTGATATGGCGTCGTAGCGCTTGTGGGCAACGTCGCTCCTTCACGTACGTCACCTTTTCCTGTTTCAGCGGAATCTCATGTGCCGTCCTTCCCGTTGCGCTCAACACTTCCTCGTCTTTGAACAAAATATGCGCGTATTCCCTCTTTATCCTCTGTACCCAATGTTCCGCTTGTTCTATTGCCCCAATGTTCCCTTTCCTTCCACTCTCTTCTTCCCGACCTATTCTCCTGAAACAATCCAACCCGTACCCCTGTAGTCTATTCTTGGTCTAACTCTACTTAATAGGTCACATCCTATTATACCCCCGTACTCCCTCGGCATATTCTCCACTACGTGAACCCTCAACTTCCCGCTTCCTGTCACCCATCTGTCCAAATCTAATTCTACTTTCCCTTCCACCCTACAAGGACCACCCAAAGTAATCAACTTACACTTAGAAATTTTTATTCTAGGTATCCTCTCTCCTTTACACAACTCCTCCAACATCTGTCTACATAGTATTGTACTAGAACTTCCCGTATCTACTAAACACTTTCACCTCCCCACAACACTTATAATTGGCAAACCAAGGCACTCACCTCCAATATTATTTATCACCGCGTGGTTGCCGCTCCTCTGCCCCTCTTCTCATTCGTCCGTTATTCCTCTCCTTTCTGCTGCTGCTCCTCCTTCTCCGCTCCTCCTGCTGACTTCTGCCTCCTCGAGCTCCTTTTACTACCGTCTCCTCTTCTTCGGTTCCAGATGTTCCCGATGAATCGTCTGGCGCCGATGCTGCTCCTCTCTTTCTCCACAATCTCTGTGCGTTCACTTCCATTGGCTCATCTCGCCCCATGTCTCCGCGTCTACTCATATACGGACATTGTCTCGCGATGTGCCCCTCATTTCCGCATTTGAAACATCGGGTTCGCGGTCAATTCGCCACTAGGTGACCTATCTTTCCGCACCCATGGCATCTCCTGTCGTCCTTTGTCCATTTCCTTCTTTCTTTGCCTGGCTTTTTCTCCCTCATTACCGTCCTTTCTCTTGTACTAACTTCTCCTCCTCTTTTCCTCCACCCCTCCTGTCTCGCTTTGAACCTCCCGGTTTCTGCTCTCCTATACGATACTCTGTTCCACCCATTCTCATTCTCCTCATCTCCACGGGCTGCTTCTTCCTCCCGAGCGCTTGCATCAATCATCTGGGCACACTCCACAAAACTCTTGTCCCTAAGTAGTCCATCCTTCTTTCCCGTATCTCTACCCAGCTAAACTTTAAGGATGGTTGACAAGAACGCCATCCTGGCTCCTGTTTCCGCCGCATCAGCTACTTCCCTCGTCTTCTCAGTTACACTATTAAACCGTGCCAACAGGTTTGCGGCATATTGTCCGTTGGTCTGACAAGGCTGTTTCCTCTCCCGAAACATCTGCAAGATGTCCTCTTCTGGAGCCGATCGGCCTCCTCCAAATGCCTTCTTCAGCCTAGTCTTCACAATGT